GCCCGCCACGACGACTGCCCCGAATGCCCCCTCCGCAGAGAACCCCGCGCAACAACAGCGCACGACCAACAACGACGATGACGATGATGATGATGACGACGAATCAGAATTTGATGAATTAGATGGTATGTATACACCTCTTTTCAATCCAATTCAACATATATTCCCAATAGACCAGTTTTTGACTAAACAACAATGTATCAGAGGTCCTCGACGACTTCAAACCCAAACCATCCCCCGCCCCCGCTAAACCCGATGCCGCGCAACCGTCAGCCCCCGATGACTTCGACGAGGAGGCCTTCCTCCGCCAACTCGAACAAGATATGGCGAATATGATGGGTGGTATCGGTGGCGGCGCCAGCAACGACGCCGCTGCGGCTGCGGCTGGCGCCACCGATAGCAACGACGGCACGCTCGACAAAGACGCCGAGGCATTCGCCAAAATCCTCGAGCAAAGCGGCGTCTCACCCTCGGACTTCCTGAAACAGCTCGTCGGAGACGTAATGATGAAAGGCGACGACGATAACAGCACTACGGCCGCCACTGCGGGCTCTTCAGCAGCACCAGCACCAGCATCATCAACACCATCAACCAGCGGCGGTGGAATCAACAACAACACCACCGCAGCACCCGAAACCTTCAACGACACCATTCAGCGCACAATCGAACGGATGAAAGAATCCGGCGACAAAGCCACGGCGGCAGCCTCGGAGGACGACATGTCGGATGACCTGGTAGCGCAGCTCATCAAGGCGATCGAGGCGGGGGCATCGTCAGGCGAAGGTGGTGACGAGGGGGATCTGACGAAGATGTTCATGGGCATGATGGAACAATTGTCGAACAAAGAGATTTTGTATGAGCCGATTAAGGAGCTTGATACGAAGTTCGGGCCTTGGATCAAGGAGAACAAGGGCAAGGGGAAGGTGTCGGAGGAGGATATGGCGAGGTATGAGAGACAGGCGGGGGTGGTCAGGCAGATTGTGAGTAAGTTTGAGGAGAAGGGGTATTCGGATGAGGATCCGAAGTGTAGGGAGTATGTGTGGGAGAAGATGCAGGAGGTAAGTCCCGCCTTTCAGACTTCCTTCCTTTATTTCCCCTTTTAGTGGTCTAATGCTAATTTTGCTACGATAGATGCAAGCGGCGGGCAACCCGCCTGATGAGCTGATTTCTGCTCCTTGGATGGAGGATCTTAAGGGTCCCGGTGGTGGTGCTGGCGCGGGTGGTGTCCCTGATTGTCCGCAGCAATGATATGAGTACTAGAATACTAGTAATACTATATATACACTGGCTGAGAGCCAGGATTCCAGTTCATATTCATGTTCAGATTTGGTGTTCGTAGTGTTGGGAGAACATACCCCTAAATATACCCTATACCATTGGTACTAGTACAAGTGAATAAGCAGCAGTGTGCACCTCCGCATGCCAGGTACTACTACAACACACGATTGTATCAAATAGTAGATGAATACACGAGTATGATTACAGGAGATAGATACTCAGACTAATTGGCTATATTATATGATCTGTTGATCACTATCTAGATAGTTAAGGTAAGTAGGTAAGTAAACCCCATGTCATAAGCACTCAATCCATGCACACCATTCAACGCCAAACCATACATATCATGCCATACCATGCTTTTGCCCTGTCCACGATAACCAATATGATAGTAGTAGTAGTTGTGACAGTCTCGTCGGCCCGCAACAAGACATTCCATATCCATATCCAATACAGACACACACATACACACACATGAAGGCGAAAATCACGACATATCCATATCCTGACTATGAGCGAACTCCCCACTTGATCCAGGGATATCGTTATGTCCATCATGCCCCGCTAGATCCATGAACAGATCGTCGTATTCTTCTTCGTCGCTGAACGAGGTATTCATCCCACCATTACCTCTACCACCTGAATCAAACCCTCCTTGGTGATACTGCTGCTGCTGCTGCTGCTGATTCAAATACTCCAACCGCTCCATCTCAGCCGCCTGTTCTTGCAAGTACTCGTCCAGAGCATGTGCGTCTACATCATCTGAGCAGGAATTCATTAGCACTCTGACCACAATACCAGAGTCATGAAGAGAGGAAGAAAACATACCAAATCCATTCATATAATCCTCTTCTCCCTCCTCCTCAACGACACCCATCATCTCCTCCGCCCTCCTCCTCATCACCTCCCCCCACCTCTTCTCCTCCGCCACATGCTCCATAAGCACCAACTGCTCGCCGCGATCTCCGAACCGCCCGTCATCCCGATCCCGCTTCACGCGATTCAGAAACAGATTCCGGCGTGCCGAGGGAGACGCACTTGATTTTAAGTGCTTGTTCATGGGGTTGGAGATCGTGTTGGCGTAGCGGTGGGCATAGTTGGGGGAGGACTGGATGTTTCTCTGTCTTCTTGAGAATTGGTGTGATTGTTGTTGTTGTTGTTGCTGTGACGGGGTTGGGGATGGTGGTGCTGATGCCGATATGGAGGGGAGTTTGGTGGGTGTTGGGAGCGTGAAGGGGCTGGAGGGGAGGTTGAATTGGGTGTTGTTGGAGGCGAAGATATTGGGCGTTGGGGTGTTTGTGTGGCGGCGTGGTGAGAGGGGGGATGGTCGGGTGGGTGTGTATTGCTGGTGTTGGTGATGTTGAGGTGGTGGTGGTGATGACCCTGGTTGTTGCTGCATGGGGAGAGTAGCGAACATCATTATGGATGTCTTTGGTGGGTTGATTGATTGATTGATCGATTGATGTAATGCGATTCAGGTGGGTGGATGAATGGAGGAGGATATGTCACGCGTGGAGGTAGTGATAATATAGTGCAAGTATGAATTAGAACGTATGATCGTCACTCATGCGACAGAGACAGAAGTAGATAAAATTGGGAAGTAATCGCAATGGCAACTCAATCGTATCTATCCAGTTGATAGTAGAGAGATGGTTGTCCGGAGAGACCAGCAATGGCCGCGGCGGAACAACGTGAAAGGCGGCAGGGATTCGCGAGCGCGTCCGACACGACGCCACGTGCCCACTAAACTGCTTCGGGATATATTGCATTCCTCAGGCTGTCAGGCACCACAGCGTCATTGACACCTCCGCTGTGCGACGCATCATATGTAGACGGACCATATGATTATGCGGCGTTTTGCATCGTACATTATTATGATCGATATATTCCGAGGGTCTTAATGACCGATCAAGGCTGCTATACACCTGGGTTGTAGTAGATGGAGGCTGGGTCTTAGGGCCTCTGACCGATCATACTGTTCTATTTTGAGTAATTATGAAATGGAGATAGGTACGTTGCTATATGGTGCTGCTGAGTGTGGATGTGAGATAGACTGGATCGGCTTTAGATAATGCAAGTGGATGATAAACTCACATTGCAGGATCGCAGGTTCCTGGTGCAGGGTTCACTCGCTACCGGCATATAGTGTGGATTAAGACATGTCATGGAATGTGCTAATTCTTACCGAAGTCCACTGTATTAGATATGATAAACGAGATTTGGGATTGTCAGACGCTATCTTGCAAGACTGCCACTACATCATTTACAGTACTGCTAAGGTCCTTCTCAAGTCATTTTTTTGATTAAATACATACAATCGAAAGCTTTTGAAGGCTGAGATCGGGGACCTGCAATCCACAGCAGAGACAGAGATAGGACACTTCGCCGCTCACTGCTCCACTAGAAAAGAAACAAATGCTCGAGGGGGGAATCAAACTAAATCGGCCAACCATAAATGCTAGGACAAAATCGCTGTGCTAAGTAAAAGGAGCGTGACATCGGAAAAGACCCGACGTATGGTCTATCAGAGCGAGAAAGGAGCGGTAGCTTCTTGAATGCAAAGCAAACAACCCAAGATAGCAGTGAAGAAAACGACAAATCAGAGGATTTCCTCTCCACAAGCGCCAACAATAACTGCGTCATAATCGTACAAATTTACAGTCTCAAGAACGGTATCAGACCAGACCATATGCCTTCCCTGTTCGTTACCGCAGGATGAACATAGGAAACGGGTGGTGTGTTCGTATCATTGATAGAATGCCCGGTCGGCTTAGAAGTTTGATGCAGCATTGACAGGTCCAGGGTTGTGGTACTGGTCAAGCGTGGTCTTGAAGGGCGTGCCACCAGCACCCGGGCTGGGTGCCTTCTCGCGAGCACCTGCACCGACTGCCGTACCGCTCATGAGATCAGCAGCCTCATCGTTGTCTTGGGCAGCCTTGCGAGCATGGATCCTCCAGCCAACAACGGCAAGGGCACCGACGATGATTGCACCACCCACACCGACGACGACACCGATGATGATCTTCTTCTGAGAGGACGAGAGACCAGAGCTGCTGTTAGAGTTATCAGACGAAGTGCCGCTCAGACTAGGGTTGCCCGTGGATTCAGAACTGGCGGGAGTCGACGTAGTGGTGAGAGTGGTTTGGACAGGGGTTCCGCTGATGGTCTCGATGGTCGTGACCGTCTGCACGACCGGGGTTGCGGTGGTCTGCTGAGTAGTGCTTTCGACGGTGGTCTTGCCGTTCTTGTCTGTTGTAGTGACTGCAGTTGTCTGCGCATTGTTGTTGTTATTGGATGACGTTGTCTGCTGCGGCTGGGTAGTTTGTTGAGGTTGCTTGGTCGTGGAAGTAGTCTCTTCCGAGCTTGACGTAGTTGTAGGCTCACTGGTAGTGGAAGTGCTCTCCGAAGTCGAGGTAGAGGACTCAGATGTCGAAGACGATTCACTGGATGTGGTAGAAGGGGCCTCTGTGGTAGCGGCGGCAGCGGCAGAGGTGACGGCGTTGCCTACACTCGTGACTGCAGCGCTCTGGCCAGCGACGACAGCCACGAGGGACAGGGAGTAGAGGAGGAACGAAAGACGAGCGGCTCGCATGATGGGCAGGTCGGATGAGATCGATCAGTCGGACTCGGGATATTCAAGGCGTTCTTTCGAGGCTGCCAGAGCCAACACGGGTGAGGCAAGAGGACAGTGGAGAGAGAACCGAAACCGAGGAGGCGAGATTACAATTCCAACGCGACACGGGGTGCCCAGATGGTGGGAAACGATCGTTTGTAGGGTGAGAATCGGGAGGACAGCAGGAGGGAGGACAGAAAGAGGCTGTCGGGAGATATGATTCACAAGGAGGGGTTAACGAGTGACTGCAGATATAGAGTTGGGGGGGCGTGGTGGTGAGGTGTGGTAAGAAGACAGGAAAGAGCGTAAGGAGGCGGGATGGAGATGAAAAGGGACTGGAGATGAAAGAGAGACGGAGAGAGGGAGAGAGACGAAGGGAACGGGATGGTGGAAGGGCACTGGCCGGCTCAATTGGGGGGGCCACCAACGGGGACTTTGGCTGCGCAACACCAATCCCAGCGTCGTGCCCAGGAGTCGGCGCTCTCTAGCGTCGGCGCTAAAGGACATGCCAGCCAGTCAGCGGCTGCCAGTTGAGACAGTTCTGCACAGGGGCGCCCCTCGTTTTGTGTTTTTTGTGTTTTTTGTGTTTTTCTGGTGTTTTGGTTTGCATTTTTGGGGCGCCTGACTTTCCGCCCAGTATTTGGTATTATGGGTACGATGGGTATTCTTCTTTTTCTGCCCGTTGGCTGTCACGGCTTCTTGTCTCGGACTACTATGCCCAATACGGTGCTTTCTGGGTCCTCCTAATTCCATTCTAACCTCCTAGTGAGGTACCCGAACAGTAGTGCTCCGGATTATTCGGCTAGAGTGAGGAGCAAGCAAGTCCATAGTATGGTAGATCACAAAGCGATCTTACAAAATTAATGAGTTCCATCAGAGTAATCATGGTACACACGTTGCTATTTTAAGGCATGTACCATGGGTCCCTAGGTACCGGTTAATGACCGTACCATAAAAAACAACTTTGTTCCTTGGGAAGAATTACCTAAGACTCGGCACCAACCAACAAACAACAAACACTGAATCTATCCACAATCTACTACAATGACTGGATATGTGTATATTCCGTTAACTTTTTATGCTTCTCCATGTGGGATTGTTCCCTTCATTGTATCCGCGTGGCTCCGGTTCAAGAGAAAGAAAAGGAACAGTAGTAAAGAAATTTCTGTAGTTTCCGAGCACCCACTTCTCTCGGTGTTTTCCTGGATGGAAATACGTAAATTCTCTCTCACGTGTTTCCCTTCCGAAGAAATCTTTCCATCTTTCCAAACATAGCCATCGACGTGTGCCGGCTCACCCGACTGCAGCACTCGTCCTACCTTCAGTCCTCCCGAAACTCCGTGCGCTGCAGGGCAGCTGCCCGCTTAATGGACGTCAGGGCGGCAATTGGGCCGGTGACTCCGTTCCAACAGCGTTATTGCTGAGCTGTCTTTCCTTATGGCAATGCCAACGGGGCTTAGTAGTTAGTCTACTTCCCCGTAGCGTTATCACTAACCCCAAAGACCCTGCATCTTAAGGGTCAAACTGGTCTTATTCGTAATGATTCATCCTTCCTAAACCTTAGCCTGGGTGCCACTCGACACTTTCATAATAACAGCTGAATCATTATTCATTAGCCTAATCATCGTCTTCTCTCACCGTGAGAGAGGGTTAGCTAGCTCGCTAGCCACTTTCGAGTTCGAGTCGGGTGATCGGCAGCATATGACGGTTCTAGATTCCTCTCTGCAATTTACAAAGTATCCAGTTGGCCGTCACTAGACATGACACGGCGCTCTGGAACGTTGCTGTCCTTATTAGACTCCATTTTCCTGCTAATTAACAGACCCGTGGGGTTGACGACTTCTTAAAGTGGTTTTGGTCTCGATGGGTTCCAGTGTGTTGTGTGTACTCGTAGAGGTTACGTATATCTTCTCCGTGGTGCGTGTGCCTAGACCGTTCCCCCATAACCCTCACAAGTAGAGGATATTACGGGTCGATTCGGGTCTCTGCAGCCACTCCGTCCGCCAGTTGATCGCGTGGCAAGGATGTGTGATCTCCGGTTGCTTTTCTCCTAGTTACTTGCTTAGTGATCGGGGTTAGTCAGGGCGTTCGTTATCATTCCCTTCGCTTCGCTTGCATTAGTTATTTACTTGGTATGTAATCAGTTATGGAAATGTCAAGTGACTCAGTTGGGATATTTCGACGAGGTTAGTTTACGTATGTGCATACATCCGTAGTATGTAAGTATTTCCATCCTCTGTATTCTGTGGTCGCACAAGTAACACTTCGCATGCATATCCAGGTTACGCAAAGAATAAAGTAGCCCTGGCAGCGAGGGCACACTCGTGCTGGGGAATCCCTGGGAAATCGGCCCTTGAAACATACAGGCCCTGCCATCCGGATTTCCCGACATTGTACACATCACATGGGGGATAAGGTTTTAGTCGTGCCCCAGCCATGGGCTGCTATGACCAAGGGATAAGATCGGTTCTGCCTAGGAGGTTCGGATGATATAAGCAATGGATGTGCTTATTAAATTAGTCCATTGAACATTTGGTTACGTTCGACCCTAATAGAGACTATATGTGTACGCTTCGACATTTCAAAGCCCAACCCAACTGTCCAAAGATACACGGTCAGGCAAAGCGGATGAAGCAATAGAAATTGTTCTCCGGATGGAATGAGGGATATAGCTCATGGTGCAGAAGAGCTACAGCCCAATCTGTATCCGGTATACCAGACATGCACGGTATATAGACAGAAGAATGGACAGCAACAATAACATAAAAACAGAAAAAGAGTATATGAATATTGATGGGTATCACAAGTCATAGAAAGTAGGGCTGTCACAAAAGCCCGGATGGAAGAAACTCCACCTTCTCATCAATGCTTATTGCGGGGGTTCCCTTTCACCTGGTCCTTCAGCTCTTCCTTGAAGTACTCAAAGAATTGGTTCAACTTCGAAGCTAGAGTGAGGGGCAGGTTAGTATCAAAGGATACTACACAGCTACCACGACCAATTCACGGCATGGGCGAACTTCATACCAGACTTTCCAGAGTCAGGGCCATGCACCTCTTCCAGTGGGACACCAGTCTTCAGGTGATGGACTTTGCGGTGAATCCCCCCAACCAGTTTATGGAACGACCGGCTGGCCAGCAGCTATATGTGGCAACATGAGCATCAAGCTCAAGTAATTGACATTATCATACACCTACCCTAGCGGTAAGCCATTCCTGTATGAAGGAAACTGTTAGTATGGAGCTTGTGTGCGATAGTCCAGATACCTCTGCCTCAGACGCACCTCGAGGGGCCGTAGCAGGAATGCGCTTTTGAGAAAAGCCCGAAACATCTTCAGTATGGACTACGTTAATAGGCGGAATCCGTGGCAACACAAGCTAGGCCAAAGCTTGAGTGCAAAAGGGATGAAGCCAGCGCACCGTAGGGGGCTGGTGATAAGCGAAAGGAGAAGGAAAAACGCGTTGTTGCACCCTTGAAGAGAGGAAAAAAGAGGCAACTGTGAGGTCCAGCCACCAACTGAGTTAAGCCTGAGGCTTGGTGACACAACAGGGTGTTCCACCAATCAGGGTCAAAGGACTCGACTCTCCGCCCGCGGCAAGTTGTCTCGGAGAAATTAATAATCCGGACGGTTTAAAGGGATGGTAAGTGGATAGATCGGCCGCCTGAGGCCGACCATCATGGCTGGTGATGGCCGGTTGGATGAAGATCTCAAGGCACCGCTGGAGATCTGAATCATGCTTGGGACGGAGCATGGCTCTGAATGGTGAATGCAAGTGCTTTTGTAGTCTCCGTTCCTGAAAGATGCTCTCCTGATTACATCAGTGTTTTGCCATCCAACCCTTAACTAAAGCATGGAAGCCGTCGTAATGCGCAACTAAATAATAATATTAATAATAAAATAAATCTCCTGAAGGGATCCATACCGTATGGACCCCGAATACTTCTGAAGAAAAAGAAAAATTACTTGGAAATCGAAGGATCGTTTTTCGTTCGATACATACAAACTCTGCCAACCTGTCAGAGAAACATCTCCTTTTCTTTAATATTTTTATTGACTGCCCAATTCTGCTTCTTTTCTCTTCCTGTATACTCACACCTATTCTATTACTCCAATCTTACTCTCCTTTACCACTACATTATAATAACTTATTTAATGACTCCATTGATTGGACTGCTGGCCACGTCCTGAGGTTTTGAAAGAAAACAAGACGAGAGAGAGAGTGCGGGGAGAACAGCAATTGCCATTCGGTGTCGCGAGGGGGTCTTGCATCAAATACTCTCCTTCTTTTCCTGCTGCTGGCCGGACCCTCTCGCCTGCTGTTCCCAGGTCGCATTTCGTTGACAGGGTTATTACTTCATCTTGACTGACCCGGTGGTTCTCCCTGTTCCTCCATTCCCTTCTTAAAATAAATATTCCCATCTTTACTACACGTTGCAGGGGTCGTGGGCTGCACGAAGAAGTTGGCTGTCGGGACTTGTCTGCCGGCCGAGTCATCTTCCATATTATCGACTGCCAGGCAGTCTTCCTATTCGGCCGCGCGTTGTTCCCGTGAGATCCAGAAATCTGGCCAAGCATAATATTACGTCGAGGGGCAGCTTCCACAGCTGTCCCGATCTGTCCACGCTACAGATATCATCCCTGCCGCATCCCCCCAACGGCGCGCACGAGGATCCGCCCGACGGCATCGAGGGGGAAGTCATCACTGCCCCAACCTCCCGCTCGCCCTCGCCCGATACCTTCAGTCTACGCAGCGGTCCCCGAAAACTCGCAGCGACTAAGAAGCGGGTCTCGAAGAAGGCGCGCGGCGTCCTGGGCAAGGTTCGGGCCTTCCAGAGGATCGCTGCGGCCAAGATGGCTCATCCCACCATCAAAATCGATACCAGCGTACAAGCGACCAAGCGGTCGCTCCCCGAGGATAACGACGATGGCTTCGAGATAATAGATGGTCCGGAGAACGATGATCCTGGCCTGGAAGCGCGCGATAATGAATCCGTTCCTCCATTTCTCTGCCAGTCGGTCCTAGGTCAGTATGCGCCCGCTTAGCACTTCACCCCGCTTGCTGCTTCTGGGTCTCCCAGTCGTTTCTGGCGCGGTTGCATGTGTTGCACCTCTATAATATGGTCTACAGCCTGACTAATACAACTGTTTTGTGATAGAAATCCATCAAAAATTCGAGGAACTCGAATGGATGCAGCGGACACGGATACACGAGGGGATGTTAGCCAACGACCCCTCACACCGTTGGGCGCTAGAGGGAGACCCCGAGGTCAGGGCAAGGAACCGATATGTGAATGTGCAGGCATGGGCCAACTCCCGCATCCATTTGCGGGTGCCAGAAGGCGAATGCGATTTTATTAACGCGTCGCCGATCGTCCTCGAGGATTCAGTCTCGCAGCAGGAGAGACGGTATATCGCGACGCAGGTGGGCGCATACATTCTGTCGAGTGTTGAGGGATAATTGCTAATCCGCTGCCATGTAGGGACCGAAGCCTGACCATCTCTCCCACTTTTGGCACATGGTGTTCCATGAAAGTGATGATGTAGGCGTCATCGTTATGCTCACGCAGACATTCGAAGCGGGCAGAGAGAAATGTGCTCAGTACTTCCCACTGGACCGCGAAAACCCCACGATGCCCCTGCGACGTGTTGAGCAAGACCCTTTCGTGAACGACCACCATCACCAGCAAGCAGACGAGGACCTTCTAGGCTATGTTACACTGCTCGAGACCCAATGGGATCCCACATCTCGCTCGGAAATCCGCAAACTTCGGCTCACCCTCGGCACCGAGTCAAAGATTGTCTGGCATTTTCTCTTCGCCGGCTGGGCGGACTATTCCAAGCCCGAGGGCGAAGACCGTGATGCGCTCCTTCAGTTGATCAAACTGTCCGGTTCGAAATGCACCCCAGCAAACCCCCGCATTGTGCACTGCAGTGCTGGTGTTGGCCGGACAGGCACCTTTATCGCGCTTGACCATCTTTTGCAGGAGCTCGAGTCCGGCCAGTTACTCGAGGCAACTGACCCCGACATCGACCCTGTCTTTGAGACAGTCAACCAGATGCGCGAGCAGCGAATGATGATGGTCTATAATGAGATGCAACTCCAATTTATATACGAAGTTCTACGGGAGCAGACCGATCTAAAGCTCGGAAAGACTGCCTTGCCCAGCGGGCGCAAGTCGGATGAGAGGTCAACGAAGATGGCCAAATTGTCGACCGACGACAGCTACCGGCCATCCTCCAAACCTGAGCTCGAACCTGCTGAAGATCATCGATCTACTCCTACCCGGAGCTGGTCGGGCACCCCCGAGGTTTCCGATAATGAATGAAGCTGGGAACAGTCAGTTCCCGCTTTAGACAACATTATTATATTACCTTCCCTCGTACATATATAACATTCTAATCGCCTACTGATGTTTTTCTTTTGCCATGTTTGTCTTTTTTTTTGCCATGACTAGTTACGAGTTCTGACCTGCATCTTCACCATGCATCTTTGCCCTTTGCGCCACCCTGCATACTATGTTTCAGTATACGACCTGATGCTTTTATTCCTTCAATGTTCAGGATGCTTACCTTTCCGCAAGCAAAACGTCCTGGGCATTGCCAGCCGAGGCTGATGTGCTTACCTCCCGCGCGAATCTCTCTCTTCAGCTTTCTTTTTGTTTCCCCCCCCTCCTATAGCATTAGAACTGGTGTACCATACTGGAATTGTGGATCTGCCTGGAAATGAATAACGATGCATCTGTTCATACATGTGCCCTGAAGGTGTTCCTCTCCTACACTACCAGAATACTACCATCTGAACAATCACTCAAGATAAATCAAGCGTTCTTATACTATTAGGTGGAAACAAACTCCCCCTCCTCTTCTCTGTTATCCTATGTACATCATAATATCCTCGGAGGGTTTATAGCAAAAACCAGAACCAGAACCAGGAGTAAGAATAGAGATAGATAAGGTCGTAGAGGAGAGACGCAGATATAGAGAAAACACGAACAGAATGTAAAGATCAACTCAAAACGCCGGTAGATACGGGTCGGGTCATGACACGGTCGTAGCGAAAGTAGTAGGTGTGAATAGATAGGTATGGTAACTTTTTCCCTTTCGTTTCCTTTCTGTCTGCGTAGCATAGCAATCATCGAATCGGGCGGGGTTCAAATAGCTTCCCTATCATATGACGACGGGGTGTGACGTGTATGAGTTAGGGTTATATCGGGTTGTCGCGGTGGGGCATTTAGCATATAGAGAGTGCATGCGTGATAGAGAGCGACAGGTGGTGATGAGTGCATCCACGCCAAGTAAGCGTATACATCATAATCTCATGCTCGGCAGAAACGCTATTCTGCGGAACAAAGCGGACTTCACGGCACAAGAGACGTGAGAAGCATGATAGACGGTCAATAGATAGCTAGCGAGGAGGAGGCGCGAAAGCCAGAGATCTAGCTAGCTAGCTAGCTAGGTTGCGACTTTAATCACTCCGCTTCTTTCCATCTTCAGCCGGCGACGTCCTCTTCGAGGTATCAACGGCCAAATCTCCAGACTCGTCCTCCTCATCCCAATTATCGACAGCGTTCTCATCCCAGTTATCTACCTCCTGCTCTAGGCTCATAACGCCTGTTTCCTGGGGTCCCAGACCCTCCTCCTCGTCGCTGTGGTGGCCCGTCACTCCGAGCTCGACATCGTTCTCTGTGCCGTCGCCGCCCAGGGAACCGAAGCGCGCCTTGCGTCGCCGGTCAAGCATGCGCCGGTGGTACCAACCGCAAAGGCCGACGGCGCCGAGACTGCCGACGATGTTGGCGAGGAGGTCGAACGCATCGAAGGACCTGCCGTTGGGAAGGAGACCTTGGACGATTTCGGAGCCAATGCCGAGGACGAGAGTGCAGACGACGAGGGTTAGGTGAAGGGTGCGACGACGGGTAGTGTCGAAGATCCAGTAGAATATGAGGGAGAGGAGGAAGAAGGTGACGACATGGAGGAACTTGTCATTGGGTTGAAGTTGGGACGGAAGAGTAGATGATGTGCTGTGCGGGAGGAGGCCGATGTAGGCGGCGAGGATGAGGAGGAAAAGAAAGGCGCCTGATGGGAGTGGAGTTAGCGATGCATATTACGGAAGTATTTTGGTAATAGTTGGTGGTATGGGGAGCTGGTGAAGCTCTTGAGGTAATCGGACGATTAGGTATCATAGAGCTGCACTTTGGCTTCGGAAGAGGTGGAAGCGGGTAGAAGAGCTCAATGGATGGGGAGGATTGGGGGAAAAGACATACCCGCGAAAGGGTAACGGATTCGCATGATGGGCGATCTGGAAGTAGGACGTTTAAGGGGGGAGATGTGTAGAAAGAGGAGGCCGTGGAGGGGAGAAAGAAAGGCCGGAAGAGGAAAACTGGATGATGAAGCGATGAAGATGATGGCATGTCATGTGGTTTAGCTTACGATACAGACAGACAGACAGACCGCAGAGACGCAGCCTCAGGCTGAAACTTGGGTTTATTGTGGTTGAAACATCCTCGGGAAACTCCCTGCCATTCTTCTTGTCCATCGAGGCTGGAGTGTTGCTTGTCCCCGTTCAGTTCAATACATTGACGGGTTATTGCTCTCCTCGTTGGATTGGGTTTTTTTTTATTTAATATTAATGCGGATTCACTTTTTTTCGGCTCATTCCTTATTTTTCACAGTGTTGTCTGCCTAATTTCATTCCTATATCTTCTTCTACTTTGCTAGTTGCTTAACTGCTGGCGTCAACGAATTGCGCGGTTGGTCTGAAGCTGCGGTCGCCGTTCCGCCTTCACGCTCCAACTTCATCTCATCCGTTCGCGCAGAGAACCTTATAAAGAAGCCCTCCAGTCCCCCATCAAATCCCCCACTGTTTCATCACTTGGGGCCTCCAAATCATCGTCCCTCATTTCCTGGCCCCTGTCCCCTAATGTATATGTCTTTTTCAGCGTCTCAAAAGGCTCCCTTGTACCCTAGCTGGACCTGATCCGAACCGTGGAGAAACGAGCCCCCCTCGCCCGCCCCAGAACCGGGGTCTTGGAGCGAGCATGTCGCTCGGACACCACCACGCCTGGCTCCCCCCAGGTCATCTGCGCCCGCCGGATGATTTCCATGATGCGCGGTCTGTCAATGGCTATCCCAAATCTTTTTCCGGTTCGCGAACCCCCCAGATGCGCGCTTCGGCCGACGCCGACGGGTCTCACGCGGGCGGTCTGATATCAGATGCCGATATTGCAGGCGACGAGGACCCGCGCATCGCCATGTTCCGGGATCTGTACAAACGCAGTGAGGCGCAAATAAATTCCCTCTTTGCCAACCAGAAAGCTGCCGAGGATGCCCGCCCTGCCATCGACTCCGACGAGTCCCAAGCCGAGAGCCAACGCGCCGACGAACCCGCTCCGCCCCCGGCGCCCCCCAAGAAGCCCGCCAGGAAGTTAGATGACGATGACTACGATGAGTATGACGACGAAGATGACGCTGAGGATACCGAAGCCACATCTCCTCCCAAGCCCAAATCTCTCGCTGCGTCTCAACTACCTAGTAGTTTCCCATCGCCCAGCCGACCGCCCAGCGGCTCCGTGTCGGTGGGGCCCGATGCGCAGAAGGAGACCAAGAAAGAGACATTGGAGGATATCCGCAAGAAGCTAGAGGAAGATAAGAAGGCGACTGAGGAAGCTGCCAGAAGAAGCTTTCACACACTCTTTTATACTTTAGAGAATGATAGAGATGCCATGCTGGACCAGCAGCGCCTAGAAGAGTCGGAGCGACAGGTGGAAGCGGAAATGTCAGGCCAGGCGAACGCCGGCAACAATGCGAATCCAACCTCCAATGGATATGGGTCGCTGAGTAGCGCGAACCTGGGCGCCTCGAGCCTGACCCTCAAGAACCTGATCGCGAGAATTGATATGAAGCGGAGCTTGGTCCAAGCATCCGATGCGGAACTCCGAAGCCTGATGAGCGAGGTTCGTAAGAACCGGAGTAAGTGGGCTAGTGAGGACAAGATTGGCCAAGAAGAGCTGTATGAAGCTGCGGAGAAGGTGCTTAGTGAGCTCAAGGCGATGACAGAGCATTCAAGCGCGTTCTTGACTCGAGTAAATAAGCGCGATGCGCCTGATTATTATACAAGTGAGATACCCCGACGGACAAAGTGCCACGCCGTGCGCTCAGTTGCTGACCTCCTGCGCTAGTCATCAAACATCCGATGGATCTGGGAACCATGACCAAGAAGCTGAAAGCGCTGCAATACAAGTCGAAGCAGGAATTTGTCGATGACATTAATCTAATATGGTCGAACTGCTTCAAGTATAACACTAACCCAGAACACTTCCTCCGCAAGCATGCTTTATACATGAAGAAGGAGACGGAGAAGCTTGTTCCTCTGATTCCAGACATCGTCATTCGAGACCGCGCTGAAGTCGAGGCAGAAGAGCGCCGACTGCAGATGGCCGAAATGGATGGCGCCGAAGAGAGCGACGACGAACCGATCATGTCGTCCCGCGGCCGCAAAGCCCCCGGCAAGTCATCATCGAAGAAAGGCACTGCGCCTGTTCGAAATACTCCCAGCGGGTCGGAGCCGCCTGGCCAGAGCTCTCAGCCACCGGGGCCGGTCCGTTCGGACTCTGATGTTGTGATGGAGGGAACTCAGAACGGGCTTGTAACGCCGCCCCCGGGCACACAGACGCCATCTGACCCTGCGGGCGTCAGCTCTGGTGTACCTGGAAGCCAGGGTGATGCTATGGACATTGATGGGTTAGTCCCGACAAGTACCGCACTGAGCGCATTGCCCGCGTCCGGTGTGGATTCAGAAGACCCCGAGTACAAAGTATGGAAACAGGTCACGAAGAAGGATCGTGCTCTCATTGCCGCAGAGAGGCATCGTCTCTTTAAAGGTGACAAGCTCAACTCCGATGAGCCAGCATTGCTCCGTACCAAAGCGGGCATGCGCCGGTGGATCAGAAACCAAAAGCACAACCTTGCAGAGAACGACAAGGCGCGAGATTCAACAGCACAAGGCATGGAACCTGGTGCTGCAGGTGAGACGCTCGCGGAAGGTATTGAGGTGGACGAGGATCGAGTGATTCCCGACTATTACGATGTCATGTCCGGTGTCCCCGATCTACCTTCTCAGCTACTCTGGAAGGAAGACTCGGACGGCAACATTGTGGATGCGTCCGAAGAGTTCTTGAGGATCCTCCCGCAAGGCTCATTCACTCAACCAGATAGTAAGCTGGCCCGGAAAATGGATGCAAACATGCGCCAAATGCAGGAAACGCGAAAGGTCTGCTCGAAAATCGGCATCGTCAAGCAGATGCAACTGCAGTCTCAGGTAGGCGATCTCTCAAATCGTGATGTTTCTTCTGTCTAACTCTTCGAAGATGTACCAGAATCAGTTTCAAAAATACCAGCCGGAACCCTTCGTCGAGCAGGATGTGTCTCCTCATGTGATGAACGACGGGGGCCCAGTCATTGCTCCTTGGGTTTGCAAGGCGGCCTTGCAGCGCTCCGTGGCAAAAATCTTCTACCACACGGGGTTTGAGGAGTATCAGCCTTCGGCCCTGGATGCAGTGACTGATATTGCCTCCGACTTCTTCCAGAAGATCGGCGAAACCTTGAAGTCGTACATGGAATCCCCGAAAGTTCCGACTACCGACGCGTCCGAGGCTACGGGTACAGCTCAGTGGAAGCGAGCGTATACGGAGCCGGAGATCGTACTACATACTCTCTCATCTGTTGGCATCGATGTAGAGTCTCTGGAGTCTTACATCAAGGACGATGTGGAGCGGCTCGGGACGAAGCTCTCCACAGTTCATGACCGGCTGCGCTCGCTGTTGTCCGAGCTCCTGCGACCTGCGCTTGCAGATGGCGGGGAGGATGGCTCCAACGCCTTCCAGGACGGCAGTGAACAGTTCATCGGCGGTGACTTTGCAGAAGACATCGACGAGGACTTCTTCGGGTTCAAAGAATTGGGGCTGGACAAGGAGTTTGGACTTGCCACCCTCAGCGTGCCACTTCATCTCTTGCAGAACAGGATGTACAATGCCGCGCAGGCACAGAACACCAGGTATGTCTCTCTTATTGTATCGACTATTGCTTGCTTGATACTGATGTGTCTTGCAGTGCTGCCCAAGCCGTCACTCTCTTTCCCCCGCCCGCTCCCTATCCTCGCATCACAAACGACTCTCTCTCTTTGCAAATTGGGTTGGTTCAAGAATTCTTCAGCACCAAGCTCCAAGCAAACAACAACGAGCCTTTGGTCGAAGATCTTGAGCTACCACCGAAACAACGACCCATGGCCGCGCGACCTCGTCTACCGGCGTCCGGCAAGATCCCGCCGCCTTCCGCTCCTTCGGGCTTGACCACCAGTCCCCAGAAGCGACCGCTCCCGCCCTCAGCATCGGGGCAGTCGGGCGCTAAGGCTGGTACGTCGGAACCGAGCAAAAAGAAACTCAAGAAGAACGGGCCTAGCCTGGGCGCTCCCGACTCGACAGCCGAAGGAGACGAAGCCGCCGCCGTTGGAGGAGATGGCAGCAAGCCGTCGAACGGATCGTTGTTCACTGCCGCGTCAGCGGACGAGCCCTCTGCTCCGGATGCAACTAGTAAGGGTGAGATGGCCAACTCGACCGCGCCAGAAGGGGCTGGTGCTGAGCATCAGGCCCCAGCTGGGACCTCAAACGATGACCAGAATCCCAACCACGACAGCGCCGCTGCCCTACCAAACGGAACGGCAGATGAAGCGTCATGATATGATCTGTCCTACCTCAATGCCATGATCGCTATTTCCCCCCGCACTGTACTACCTCACTATACCATGATTATTTTACCCCTATCTCTTTCTACCAATTCTTATTTCCTTTTTCTTTTCGTCCATGTCTTCTTTGCAGTATATTATATCGTCCACCACTTATGTCTTATCTACCTTTTACCCACTTTTGCTTCTTATTCTTCCTCACTTGTTTTTTTTCTTCTCTCATCGCCTGTTTTCACTCTTGGATGATATATAGTGTGCGATATGTGGCGTCGCGCTTCTTCTTTTCAGCTAGCTGCCTTTACCCGAACCCACGTTTGAATTCGGTTCGAGTTCGAGCCCCTCTTGTCCTATCTAATCCCAGCATTAACAGTGTGCGACAAGAGAACGGAATTACAGCGGGGGGAACACACAAAAAACAGATATATGAGATACACAAATACAAACGATGCATCCTTGTTCAGTGTACTTGCCTTGTATACCGTGACACGAAGATCATGCGTAGCTGTTCAACATATATTAAACTAAGGGCAGGGATTCAATTCCTTCCATTACGATCTGGCCTGCGTCTACATCAGCCCTTTTGTCTTGGCTTGGCTTGTGCGTTACTTCTTATCCAGTGTTCTGGACTAAACCGGGGTATCTGCCAACCATCTACTAGATAAGTGGGACCCTGTAATATTCTTTCTAGATCTCACCAGCAAACGCTCATCTGGTACTACCGTGTAACGATAACCCATTCAGACGGTAAGTAGCCAGCAGGATAACACAAAGACAGACGGACAGGCAGGCAGGCAGGCACCTACATAGTACCTCCATCTACCTCCGAGATGCAGCAGCATCGGCATGCATACATGGCATGATCAGATCCTATCTATACTAATCTAACTGCTCCAACATACATCCCATTGCATCTGAGTACTCCAATCCACATCAGTTATTGTCTGTTTGTCCCTGCTCAGTCAGAACTATCAACCACATAAGCTTGTAATCAACGTAAACAACCACACCTCATTACCTTTCCTAGCCTGCTCAGATTGTGCAACATCCCACTTCCTCACTATCAACCACTCACTCACTCATCCCATCCCTTCTTAATTAAGTAGACAGACAGACAGACCACGTAGGGCCTGACTAACCGACTCCCAAACATAGTAAATCTGAACCATCCTTATGTTCTACAGTAGAGATTTATACACTCCGTATAGGACAGTCATAGTATGTCTAATACACTGACTGACCCACAAACGCCCCGTCTAATATCCTATCTCACTACATCGTATCATCATCCATCCATATATCCATAATCGCTTATAAAGGTACTAGCATTTATGAGAAAGATTAAAGTAGAAGTCTCGATTCAAGCTCCACTAGTTTACTCGTCCAGCAGATTTGGATGTATAAATAGGTAGGTAGGTAGTATTCTAACCAGTAGGTATCCTAAGTCCTCGAATTATAGCCCTACTCTGCTTTCCCTTACTCTACTTGACTTCCCTCCTGGCTGGGTGATAAAATATGCAGCTTGTTAATTTGCTATTTACACAGTCTTCGCTCTTACTCTTACTTGTTTGAGAAATCTGTGGTGGTTCGATGTTTTGTGGCGCGTCTCCATTTGACTTTGTACGATTCCTCCATTTTGGCTTGCCGGTTGTTGGGTTCGGCGCACCCGCTTCTTGGCTTAGCCTGTCCTATACGGTCTGGCTTGTCCATACCGCATCTGCAACTGATGAATCATTTGCTACTTGGAAGTAGTCTACCCATGCTTCTACTGGCACTACGAGCTCTTGTGGACAATTGGTAAAGCAATAAGATCAATTGAAACTCAAGGACTATGGTACGGTACGCCAATGATCTGGCCTGCAAATCCCCATCGACCTAAACCCTCCCACCATCAAGGCTAGTTAGTTAGAGTCAGAAGGTTATGCTACCTGAACTTCAACGTTGAACCAACGCAATCCGAGTACGACAATAGCAAGCAGATTAGACGATGTACCGGACATCGCTGTGTAAGATACTAGAGGAAAAAAGCAACCAATATCTCCACTAATGTCAGCTTCTGCCTAGATGAACCACATCTGCCAGGGCAGTCTGTTCCTCCGGTTGATGATTGGCAGTAGCTTAGGGTCGATTGGCCTGTTCTTAGGCTTGGGATTCGTGAGCTTGATCGTGTTACCGCTCTGTGGACCCGAGCTGGCCGGAACATCCTCGTGGCTGCGGGCACGGCTAGCGATAAGGTGCGCATAGTAAATAGCCGGGTCTATATGTTTCATATATGTTAGCACTATACACCTCATAGAGTGGAAGTAAAGGCGACTTACACAAGGAGACCGAAGTCGTGGACCGAATGTACTGGTAACAATGATCATAAATCATGTTCTGAAGCTCATGGGGTTTGTGCTGCATCTGGTCGAGGATGACATGATAATGAACGGGCCGCGAAGTTCCCTGCAGAGCAATGTGCGAATATAGGAGGAAATCCCAATCATGAGGGGAGGTCACATCTTTCTCGATTAGAACACCGGGCAGCGGGTTACCGTTCCTGTCTGCAGCATTGCGATCAGTCGGCCTCGGGAATGCTCGCAAATGGTGACGCTTGTTAGCAACAACCACAGTGATCTTACCATCCCACTGATTCTGGTTGTGCTGCGTGATGACACTCTTGATGTTTATGACCTCTTGCTTAAGGACGTGCTCAAATTGACCGGAAGACACACCGTCACGGAAGTAATAGACGTACTTAGGCGCGCGTCCCTGTCCGACAGTGGACATCCATTCACGGACAAGAGGGGCGAGCATAAACTCCATACTAGTCCGCGAGATGATCTCTACACGGTCCATGTTTGCTTCGCAAGAGCCGAAGTAGCTGCTGCCATAGGGATCCTTGGACACGGAAAGTGCCGCCATTGAGGGTGACCAGACACCCATGGGAGGATGGGTCACGTCAGCGCCAATGATTATTGAGCCTGGCCGCAAGGATGCTCCTTGAACCTTTGACACGGCGCGACTTGTGACTCCTCCAAGCTTAGCGTTCACCTTCATTAGGACGTTGGAAATATATTGGGCGTTCCCCTTGATGACATGAGTTGACTGCATGACCTGGGAGGGCACGCCCCAGCGGCAGTCACACGACTTCTTGATGCGTGTATAGGTGAAGGAATTTTTATCCGGAACGATGACAAGAAGCAACTGGGGGTCCTCTTGGTTTGCCTTTCCGGCACCCTCATACAACTTTTTAATCGCGTCACCGATGTCTTCTTTAAGCTCGATGATCACAGGACGGCGGGTAATACTGCCTCCATGTCCAGCATAGGTCTTCATAAAGTTATCGGCAAATTTGACTACCTGGGCCTCGTTGATAACGTTGCGTCTTCCGGGGAAATAGCCAATTCCCCATGCTTGTAGGGGATGTGTATTTGGTGTGTAGAACTTCTTTCCACGGAGATCCCAGCGGCCACTAGTTCCAGGCTCAATGCGCTGGTTGTTGCCGAACATGACGGCGGGACTTGGGAGAAGCCGAGCCTTGGTCTTCATCATGGACTCACTGATCTTAAGCCCGAAGTTGTTAAGGACAGGGTCTTTGTCATGGGCAAGTGTCTTCTTAGAAGTCATGATTGTCTCGAGCCTCTCTGCCGGACGAGACGCCGCATACTTGATCATTGAAGCTGTCTGCCATTCGTTCAGCTTGAAAGGATAGCGCTGCAGACCCTGAATGGTCAAAACCTCCATGGGGTACACCACGTCTTTCTTCGTCATTTCAACCATGGGAAGTGCCCAGTCGTTGAGAGTCAGGTCATACTTGCGCTTGAAGTACTGTTCAACGCTCATGCGGTTGGTTTTGCCGGTGGCCTTGTCTTTGATGTCAATCATGTACTGGCGCGCATTGCCATTGATAAGCCCCTTGACAGTGAAACGGACACCCAGGACTGGACATCCTCCGTAGAATGGAGCCACGACCAGCTTCCGGAGCCGTCTACTGACTTCTTGGAAGAGTTCGGACTCGGTGACTCCTCCATATCCATCTGCTTTGGGTTTAAGAAGATGAGACAGATGCTGATGGTCTCTGGCTTCGCAAATCTCCATTGCCGCGCCAGTCAGGCTAATACGGGACCAAAAGCATGTATTAGAGACGTCAACATTAACGACAAGTCTACCGCCCTGAAATAACAGTTAGATCAAGGACCGAACTCAAGGTAGACCAAGGGCGAGCTCACCATGGCAGGTCGAATGGATTGATACATTCCCTTGAGAGCGATAACGCCCCCGCCGAGCTCCTCCTTCCCTCCATTTTCATCGAAGAAGGAACGTTTGAGGGCCAAAAGCCGCGAGGAGGGATGTTCCCTGAGAACATGGTCAAGGAAATCTAAAGAGCGATCAGTTTGTCTCGAGTAACATAGAAAGAGTGAGTACTTACTCATCGCCTCCAGCACTCCGTCGTCGAAGGACGCCTGACCAGTGAGCCAAGCATTCAACACGGCCAGGTTGACTGTTCTGGTGTGCCGGACAAGCAGACGGAAGGTATTCTTGTCTTTGTCTTTGCCTGTTCTTGCAGGGCGACCCTCTTCAACATCAAGATTGATCTCTTCGTTGAATTCGGTCTTGTAATGGTTCATCGACCTGTTCGTGCCATAAGCAGTGCCCTGTGGAAATACTTGTTGGTCGACCTACCATGCAAGCTTCGAGCCATCGAAGACGATGCTCTTCAGGTTCTCCCTTCGAGCCTTTGAATTCCACACTTTCTTGTTGACAATGAACTTCTCCAGTCCGCCGCCGATATGAACCTATGAAGATTAGCAATAGCAGAGTGGTTCACCTGGGGTGGCAACCCACATCATACTGGTAAACGGTGCGGCTGGGAAATTTCGTAATAGGGTAAGCGTTGACTTGGAGTTCGACCTCCTTGCCTGTAGTGTTGAAACCTGGACGGGGGACAGTCTCGACTGGTACAGAATACTTTCTCTCCTCGTCAGCGCTGCGGAATCTCAAGTGACGGAGACCCCCGGTGAGCTTGTTGATAGCTTCAATTTTATCCATGATGGAAAAAGTAACGCAAGATAATTGCTTCGATATGGTAGAACGAAAAGAGAAGGCGATAGAAGAGGATAACCTGCAAAGAAAGCACACGATAGTAGGAAAATAGAGAAGGGTGGTGGAGAAGGAAGAAGAAGGAACTCTGGAAGAGAGATCAATGGGATACTTATAATCCTGTCAAGAAACGGACATTCCCACATATTGTGAAGCAAAAGAGCCAGTGAAATAGGAATCTTGAATATCAACTTCCTAGATCGAAGGAATGGTGGAAAGGTGAATCCCGGCAGGATAGTGGCAGCAGGCGGCGTTTGCCCAATGACATGGGGTGAATAGGCAACCTCCTGCAAGTCATGCTGTTCGAAATGGGTTGTACAGAGAAAAAAGACCGGGAAGCTCCCCCAAATTTGGAAGCAGGGGAGAAGGTAATGGCTCGGGGGAAGGGAATATCCCGGAGATTCCCAGCACGCATAAAGAAGGACGGTGAAAAGACCAAGGGAATACGCCGTGCGACACGGCCCAACGGCGGTGACAGGAAAGCCAGTGCATTACACCACATGATGCATATTGAACGAATCGAGGGAATCCAAACAAAGGCCTGAACTTACCAAGTGGTTGATCGCAAACGCAGACATTGGCAGGTCCACGTTCTTGCACATGTCGGTCTTCAATCTAGGCCGGTCCAACGCCGGGTCCGAAAGCGGAACATCTCTGCTCGCCTGCATGGTTGCGACAACGCCGAGAGATTTTGGTTGTTTATTGGTTTGTTTAGGTTTGGGGCTGTTATTATGATGGTAAATCATCGGAAGAAGTAGACAGGGGAGAAGCGCTCAAGAGAAGAGGAGTAGGGTGGAGAGGAAGAAGGAAGAAGAGGGAGAGGAAGAGAGAAGAGGTCTTTTATACCTTGACGCCCGCGAAAAGGACTAAGTCAGATAAGAGAGGATGAAGTCGAAAGTGAGGATACAGAGAGAGGTAAGAGGATGAGAGGATGAGGAGGAAACAGAACGAGAGAGCCAAAACACGTCGAGGGAGAGTCGGAGGGGCAACAACGCGTGTTAAGATTCAGATGAGGAAGGAGCGAAGCAGAGGAGAGCAGCCTGGATTGATCGCGCCTTCCTTGTTTGTCGATTATACAAACTGAGGCCTGACTCGATGGAGAACCGACAGTGAGGTCAATCTGGATAGCGTCGGATTGCTCAGACGATATCCGCGGTCTCTACTTTACGAAGATTGCGCGGAATTGCATACAATGTCATTTGAGATTTGCTGGAAGAGAGTGCTACAATGTTCAATTGCTATCAATTTTAACGCGAAAAGATCAGACGTGATATTCCATATCTGACTTATCTCCAGCGCTTGGTGGGCTTTTCTTCCATTTCCCTTAAGCTGTGCCATTGGACCGCAAGCTAACAAATTCAGAGACTTCAGATGAGATTACGATTCTTGAACCTTCATATCGAATCGAACAGCTACGGTTTACGCACTCGGAACGATCTTTTCACGGAGAACGAGCGAGACACCACGAGCAGGAATGGGAGTATTGGGTGTTCACATAGGGAATACCCATGAATGATAGCAAAACCCGCTACTTGTGTCATGGGGTAAGCAGCATATATAAAAGAGCAGGGAATGTACTAAGAAAGTTAAGCAGGCAAGGAGATAGTCTAATCAACACATTTCTCACTACGCAGTTGATTGCCATCTACCTTCCGAGTCATACTGTCTCTCTCGGCTGTTCTACAAGGTTACTTCATTTGTTTATTGGCCCCTATCAGCATGGCCAATCTTCCCTCAACTTCTTGTAATCAGCTAAAATATTCGCCTAAGATAACAGTCAATAGTCCTCAGCCGGCAAAGTAGTATACACCAGAGGGATCCTCCATGGACATGGATCGTCTATCCAAACACTGGAAGCATTCGACGAGAACTTAGACAAGAAAAGAGCCCCCCAAACTGCCAGTAAAACCAGATATATTACTCACAAATACAACACTAGCACAGCAATCAGCCAAATCTAATCCCCACTCAGATCTAGAACAAGCTCATCCAGATCATCTGAATGCTCTACACTAACAGCACGACATACTCTCCAGTCCAGGAAAAGAGCACCAACCCAGATAAGCAAATATTTCCCTCCATCAAGTCGGTCGTCGCTCATTTCGCCCCACCATATGCCTAAGTACTGGACATCCATAGAATTCCGAGAGAGATACATAAGTAGGCAGTACAGTACGTAGATAACTACCTACGAAAGGAATTCTACGTGGGGACTGGTGTCAAGGTCGAGTCGGCATCACGTGTACATGCAGTGACTACTTCGGGGTTGCATTCTAATAGGTAGCAAGGTGGGTAGGTCTACGCCCATTAGATGTTGGATACTAAGCGAATCTCAGGCAATAAGGGTGAATAAAACAGTGGAGAACGGTCAGGCTTAGCTGGGTATAGTGATGCTAAAGGGTGGTGTTTCAAGACTCTTAATGAGGATATTGTCAGTCTGATACTGCACTTGAAATCCCGTCTCCAATTATATACTAACCATCTACTATTATCTGCGCACTATATGTATCTCCGGAACCAAATCATTATATACTTTTAGCCCATCACCAGCACTGCAGCAGTTTTTCCTTGAGTAGGGTATAGAGATTACTCCACCCCACCAGTCGTGCTCCTCCGCCGCACACCCAACCTCTGCATCTCATACGCCTCGCCTCTCTCCAAATCATCCTCAACCGCCGACTCGGACGAGCTCTCATCCCGACGCATCATAACCCCATTACCTCCACCCCCATTCTTCGAATCACGATGATCCTCATCCCGACCAGAAGCAGCAGCAGTAGCAGCATCACTCAGCCCGTGGGTCCCGCCCACGCTCTCCATAGTGAATGGACTAGCAGTCGGGGCATCCAGAACGGACAGTTCCTCCTGCGTAAACCACCAGGGAAACAAGAACGAGCGGACGGGGATAAGCAGCAGAATAATAACCGGGAAGCCGATGGCAGCAATAGTCTGGGTAATGGCAAAGGTGGCACCGAAGCCGATCAACTCCAGGATAACAAACACCCAGATGGAGAGACGGCGTTTGATGCGCTTGAGCGGGTTAGAGGCTGGCGTGAGGCCGCTGTCTTGGGCGAGGAAGATGAGTTTCTGGGTGATGCCGTTGCCTTGAAGAGCTTGAACGCCCATGATGAAGAAGAGGCCGGCCAGGACGGCCTGGGGAATTAGGTGCAGGACAATAAGCAGAGGGCCGGTCATGGTGCCCAGGGTCATGAGGCCTTGGGCGAAGTTGCTGACGCGTTGCTCGACGACGTGGTCGGTGACGCGAATGGCTTTGCCTTTGTTGGTGTCGTCTTCGTCGGCGACGTCGCGGGTGACGCAGAGAGCGGCTGTGTGGAACGGTGCTTGGGGGATGAGACCGTTGGGGAAGGGAATACCCAGGAGACCGGCCACGAAGGTGGTGATTCCGAGCAGCCAGAGGTCCCAGTGGAAGCCGGCTGGCTTGCGCAAAGGGAACTCGGTTCCTTGGGCGATAAGAGACGAGACTATATGGTCAGTCAACCGAGTATGTTTTTATCCTGAATGTAGACTTACCATTGTGGTCAAAATAAAACAAAATAGTCAACAGCACCGCAAACGGAATGGCAAGAAACACATCGCCGACATTGATATCCCAGAAATGAACCAGCCACGGGCGCTCCTCCGTCGGGAAAAATGCTTTGCTCGTGGGCAGCCTCGCCACCTCGACATCCCTCATATGGCCGATATGGACGAACCCGGTAAAGAATACAATAGTCAAAGGAGTGCCATAATCCTCCAGAAACTTGCGAACCCACCGCTTGAAGAGACTGCTGTTACCAAGCTCACCGCAAATCCAACCACTCATAAGCACCAGCAAGGCGACCATGATACTGAGATACGCGGAAGTCTCGCCAGCGGTTCCCCACTGCCTAGTGAGGACCTGAATACCCTTTTGGAGGTAGATGAAGGCGACGTAGAAACCAAAGATGTCGCAGGAGAAGCGGGTGACATAGGTGAGACCATTACAGGCATTGGTGATGGCAAGCAGCCAATGCATAATCAACGACCATCTACAATGATCAGTACGAGAGCTGCCAAAGAGAGAACGCGGAAAGAAGACTCACATCCCAATCCAGCACATAAACGCCAAATAATTCGTTCCCCGGGGCGAGATAATATCATAAACCGTGTAATTAAACACAGTAATAGGACCTTACCAACCAATCAACATACACTCCACCAGCAAATGAAATAGAGAGAGGGAGAGAAAGTAAAACATACCAGTAACACCCACAATAACCAACGGCTGCGCCGCAAAGACCGAAAACACCACAGCAGCCAGCACACTCGCAAGCAAGACCTCATTAACGCCATAACTCTGGTTTGTTTTTTCAAACATATCCAACGAGAAAGCCAGCGCAGGGAGGATACTACACAACCCGAATCAGCACACTTTCTCCCCCTTCCCAAACCAAATCCCAAATAAACACAACCAACACCAAAAGAAAAGAAACAGGATTCAACCCACTTAGCAAAATACATATACACCGTGGCCGGCACAACGCGATAATCCCAGGCATCCGTCCAATCACTCCAATAGAACGGAGCCCTTCGCTTCACATCCTGAATCATGCCGCGGAAGAGATGGATTTTGTACCATTTCTCATCCTTCTCATTCCCGGAGGGAGCAGCATTACCGGCACCGCTACCAACAACGGATGATTGATACCTGTGGTCATGATGGACGTGTGTACTGTGCTGAGAGCGGATACTGCTCGTCGGGCGGAGATGTTGCGATTGCGATTGCGACTGCCACGGCCGGCGCGAATGCGAGGACGACGGGGGGAGGGTTTCTCCTACTCCTCCGCCGCCGCCGCTGTGGGAGCCGGAGGTGGAGGCAGTTGGACCTTGCATGGTTCTATTGAGAACTCGGCTGTGCTGGCCTCAATATACTACAAGATAATAAAGAGCAAAAGTAAGAGTGTACGTAAGGAGCCTAGCTCTCTGCCAGCTCCGGCGGGAGGAGAAAGTCTTTCGCGACAAGCTCAGCCGAAATCTTAACTAGCTATCCGGGGAATTGTTAAGTTCGTTTCGAGGAAGGGAAAAAAGTGTGGAGAAACGGCCGGCCGGCTAGTAGCTAGCTAGCTAGACTGGCGGCGGCGACGGCGAGTCACGGCGACGGTTGCGGAAACCTTCACGCAAGCTGAGTGATAACTGGGGTGATTCTGGAAAAGCAAGCAAAGGAAAGTGGACGGGAAATTGCCACTACTTTCTTGTCTAATGAGTATCAGGGACTTTGAGAAATAAAAGTCTTTGACTACTAGTCATGAATCTACCGGTAGCGACCATGACTAGTTAGTGCCTAACGTCATTGGCTTTAGCGAGCGACGTTTTTTGCCGACGGGCAGCCATGCGTACATATTGCAGACAAAAAGACGGACAGATTGATGTATCTATCCCGTGCAAAACTAGTTCTCGTGCTTATTAGAAAGTGGAAGCAAACAATTACAGCAGAACGCTTGATGCGGAACTACCTAAATATTACACAGAGTTGTTTAAAACTATCATTGCCAGTGTCCTACGTGCACTATCAATTTACCCGGGCCGGAATCCACTACCGGTGTCCCTAGCTATCGTTTGCATCAATATTAACCACTTTTATGTCGCATCTCATCTAAGCGGGAGGAGGAGGCGGGGGAGGCTGGTCACTAGGCGGCTGTTCATCATGTCAGTAAGTGGTAGATTCAATTAGATAGATAGCACATACCGGAGGCGGGGGACCCTCGCCAGGAGGCGGAGGGGGTGGGCTGCCAGAGCCGTAGTACATTGGCGGCATGCCCGGCGGCGGAGGTGGAACACTCAGACCCGGAGGAGCGCCAGGAGCACCCATGCCAGGGTAAGTAGGATAAGCTCCGTATCCATACGATGCTTGTCCGCCAGGGGGCGGCGGGGGAGCAGCCTGTTGCCAAGGAGCAGCAGCGGAGGCAGCAGCAGCTCCAGGTGCACCATAACCACCGTGAGAGCCATAGCCATAGTCGCCGCCGCCGCCGCCACCGCCGCCGCGGCCCTGTGCAGCCCATGGAGGTGCGCTGCCGTGGTCGCGGGAGCCGTAGTCGTCACGGCGATCGCGGCCTCGCTGCTGCCAGGGAGCCACGTCACTGGGAGGAGGTCCGCGCTGCCATGGCTTCACGTCGCGGTCATCATAACTTTGATCGGGGCCAGCCTCGATCCGGCGAGGGACATGGCCGTCTTCGCCGGGCGCGCCACCAGACAATTCTTGCATGAGTTGCTGAGTGATGTTAATACTGTGTACTGTATACTTGAGAGAAATTGCAAAAAGCATACCTCCATCTCACGGTCGACAGCGTCACCGCCGCCGATAGCCCTGCGGCCACCGAAGCCACCGTTGTTGTTGCGCCAGTCGGAACCGCGCTGACGGTCGGGACAATCACGGGCCATGTGACCAGCGTTACCACAGACGCGACAGATGATATTGGCGGTGAAGTTGCGCTGCTCAGGGCAGTCGTACTTGCGGTGTCCGATTTGACCACCTGCAATTGTTAACATTGATTCCAACTGGAATAAGGGAAGGATACGTACAGTTCTGGCAGGCCTGGTTCTCGTCATCACGGAGAGTACCGTTGAGTGCGGCCAGCTCTCGAAGCTGATTCCTCTTGAGCTCGTTCTGACCCTCAGGAATCGAAGCGGCCTGTTATCCATTAGCACCTAGTACTCATTGTGCAAACACCTCAAGGATACGTACCGTCTCAATGACATTGTGCACCAGCTTCTTCGCCTTGTTAACCTTCTCCTCAGTATCTGCCATAATCAAACAGTGAAGATCTTCTTCCTGGTTGCTGGCGTGAGCGGCATCAGAGCGACCCTTTCCTTCCTTGACGGAGCCTTTACCACGAATGGCAATCTTGGCACCAGACTCCGACTCCATCTTCTTCAGGGTATTACCACGAGGTCCTATGAGTAAGCCAACTTTAAAAGATAGCAAAAAGCTAAGTGTTAGTGCAAGCTGTTTATAAATTACTTTCAGGCGGGTGAGTGTGAGCAAAAAGGTGCAAGAGGAAGAACAGGTAGAGCAAGGGTTCGCAAGAAGCGAGCTGGAGATAAACAACGCCCGGCGGCGAAGTCTTCATCAGAAGCTCGACTCGAGCACAGCATAGTCAAGGAGTGCAGAAGAGTACAAATACAGCAATGGTTAGGAGTTAGAGGGTTAGTTATCATACTGAAGTTAATCTCTGGATAGTCATTCACAGGCACATAGACCTTCTCCTGGGTCTTAGTAGGACGTCTGTAGTCAGAAGGCGGGTGGTAGTTAGGAATAGTCTTCATCGCCTTTTCGACGAGTTTGTGGCGCTCATCCTCGAGACGCTTCCGGTAGCGGTATTCCCTAGTGTTTACACGTCTGCCAAAGTTATCGTACTGAGGAGGGGGGGAGGGAGATCTAAGAACCGTTAGTCATGTCCATAGCACAGAATGGGACTGAAGAAGAAAGGGACGAACCTATCCCCATCAGCCGGCACAACATCATTGATCCTCAACTTCTGGCTGATCTCCTCAATCCGCAAATGCAGGGTATACGCTTCCAGCTGTTCATTGGTGAAATTAGCCATAATCATGGTCGGCAGACCCATGAGACCGGCAGCCTTGTTTTCCTGCGCATCGCCCCAACGGTTACGCTTCTTGCGCTTCTTGACGCCGTCGGCGGGGGGTTCAGCTAACCATAGCATCAGCAGCCGTATAATATAAAAAAAGATAAGAAGAGTATGTACTCACCGCGGACAGGGCTCCTGCCACGCTTATAGGCCGAATCACCAGCACCAGGCATAGAAGCAGGCGTCGCGGTGCGACTCTCATCCTCCGGGCCCTCCTCACCTCCAAACCGTCTCCGGCCCAGAGGGATGTTATTGGACCCGGTGATTCCCTGGTTGCGCCAGGCCATGATGGACGATTATTAATCCCTGTTGTTAATGTGACTGATATACGAGCAAAAAAGAGAGAATCTTTTTCTTTCTTTCTCCGCAAGATCCTGGACGAGAGGACGGCGATGCGATGCGACCAGAGAAGGGAGATGTGGCAAGGCTTTTAGGCCGGCACGTGGTGATGACTAAGCGGGCGGAGGGAAGCAGAATATCCAGCTAAAGATGTATGCAGCTTTCAGTAACTAAAGCACAACTGTCTGATTACTTCACCATCAATACTATCTCACAACCCCATCACTGCAGATTCAAACAGTCATATCCATCATTACTAACTAAATAATACTAACAAACTAATGCTTAGCATCCGCCTTCATCCCCTGCTGAATCCACCCCTTCGACTCCTCCGCAATCTTCTCCGCCTTGGCCTTATCCTTCAAGAGCTCCTTAATAGTATGCGGACTCGGCACATGCCTACCCTTCTCAACGCCCTCCCTAGCAGCCATGCGCTCCTCCCACGCCTTCAGATTCGGGAACTCCTCAATATCAACTCCCGCCCACCCGGCCGCCGCAACCCATCCCCAATGCGAAATATCCGCAATACTGACGTGATCACCAACAAGATACCCAGACTTCGACTTGGCGAGGTGCGCATCCAGCACACTGTATAGACGTCGTGTCTCGTTGATGTAGCGGTTCACGCCGTACTCGATGCGCTCGGGCGCGTACCGGTGGAAGTGGTTCGCTTGGCCTTGCATGGGCCCGACACCGGCGTTCTGGAAGTAGAGCCAGCTGTTCTGTTCGTAGTATTCGCGGGTTCCCTGGGGGTAGGAGATCTTGTGGTCTTTGTCGTATTGTTCCGCCAGGTAGGTGAGGATGCTGCCGGATTCGAAAAGCCGGATCTTGGACCCATCCGTGAAGGTGTCGGTTAAGGCGGGGATGCGGCCGTTGGGGTTGATTTCGAGGAACCATCTGTGTTGGTGGTTAGTGGTGGTGAGTTGATGTGAGGAAGGGGGTTAGGGAGCATACGGCTCTTTCTGGGTGTTCTTGGAGATGTCAATCTTCTCGACTTTGTAGGGCAGACTGGATTATCGCTTTAGTCAATTGCCGATTATCCCAGGAAGGTGTATGTTTGGCATACCCAAGCTCCTCCAGCGCAATGGAAATCTTAATCCCATTGGGAGTCTGCGCAGTGTACAGGGTAATGTCGGGGCGGCTCATTGTGGCGGCTGTAGCTGTAGCTGTAGCTGTACTATACAAAGAAGAAGTAGAAGAAGATAATAAATGCACTCGACTCTGAACAGAAGGACTCCGTGAACCGAAGAACGAATGCAAGTAAATGGATGATGATGGGGATGATACAAAAGAAGATGCAGAGCGACGACAACAACGGGCATTAAATAGGCCTCTAGACCCTACACGAACCCCGCTCATGACCGACCAGATAACTCTACTCCTCCACGATGATTAATGCAATGGAACAGCTAACAATGTCCACTGGTTGAGGGGGAGTTAACTAGTAACCTTAGGGAACATGATGATGCCATTTTTGGCTGATTCATCCGTGGCCCCACTTGAGCTTGAGGTTTGATTTCTAAGCTACTTACTTTTTCCTGCATCGAAGTGTTTCTATCGGGGATTTTATTTTCTTATCGGGTGGGGATAGGTCGGTAACTATAATATCATGCCGGCTTACTGTACGGTTAGTTTATGATTAGGATTGCGTGATTCGTAGTTGGCAGGATTAAGGACAGGGGTTGCATTGGAATGCTCGTAGGTGCAGGTTAGTAATCTACTGCATTTGTTACTGAGGAAATGCATCGCTGCTACTAGTAGTCCTTACTACTATCGGTGCTGACTGCTGTCCAGGAGTCCTACGGGGTTGGAAGAAGCTGACCGGAAACAGAAAGCATCGCGGAAACATACGGAGTACAATGCAAATTAGTAATACTCCAGTTGGCTTCCAAAAAAACACGAGCACAAATAAGCACAAATAAAGTTATGCAAAACTGATTGTTATGTGCAATCGCAAGCTTCAGAGCCAAGCCATACAAAGAGCAACTATATATACTACCCTAGCTATATAAAAGTATAAACCAATAGCAACCAACAAAACACCGAGAGGATCCAACACACAGGTAGCCCGTAGGCTGTGGATAATCGGAGGACACGGCCGCCAAGCGTCGATGTGCTGAGACACGAATGGGGGCCGAATGAGCATTCACTCAAAAGGCGGCCATCCACCAGCCACCTTACCAGGTAAAACTCTCCTCGATGAAATCCACCTGCGTTTGGTCCTGTCTCTTGCGGCAGACCCGTCGAACATCGTCGCTCAGGCTTCCGTTTCCACATACCAGCACTCCCATTGCTCCGACCTGGTTCTCGACCTCCATGTTGATCAGGGTGTCAACATTAGGGCGACCCGGGAACATTTGAACGGTAGCGCTGGGACTCTGGATTTCCTTGGTGTTGCGCGGGCGCGTGATGAACAGCATGATCCGGAGGACCTCACGACGGCGGTCCATCGCCAGAATGCTAGTCATCCAGGGCCGGATCCACTCGAGATGTTCGGGGGACTGGATGATCCAGACCAAGGTAACGCGACGGGCCGCCACGGTCCCTTCGGCAAAGCCCTGGACGAGATGCCGCACAAATGGTACTTGATGTGTGATGCCGACACCGCCTGCAAAGAGCATGACCGTGCCATAAGAGTCCATGGTATGAATGCTACCATACGGGCCTTCTGCGAACGCTCGCAAGGTTACCCGTCCACCGGCGGAGCTCTGAGCACGCTGGAACAATTTATCGGTAAAGCCAGTGCGGCGACGGATCAGCAAGGAAATGGTTGTCTTCTGGAGGCCCGCAAGGTCTTGCTGGGTCATAGGGATACCCTTTTCGCTTGCGGGGAATTCCTCGGCTTCGCTCCACCCGACGGAGAAGGGGTGGCTCATCCAGAAACCAATGGATGGGATATACAGGTAGATGTGTTGGCCGGGCTTGAAGGTCCAGGGCCGTGCCATCTTCAGGGTGATTCGCAGGGCATCGCCCGGCAGGGCCTCGACCTGCGCTGTCGTGGACTCCCTTCCGCAGTTACGGTACACGATGATGAGGATGCGAGCGGCTCGCTAGGATCTATTGTTAATTATCTGTCTCATCTTCAAATAGGAAAATGGTGGCTTACCTCGAGAGCCCAGAGGATGATGGCGGCGAGAAGGTAGTTCTGGGACACCATACCATCCAAATGTATCCACAGGAAGGCAAACGAAAGCACAACGAACACGATGTGGAGGTGAAGGAAGGTCTCGTAGAATGCATGGCGAATGGGGGAGGGAGAGTGCACAAGGAGGGCAGTGAAGGCGCAGGCAGCCTTACAGTCAAGTTAGCCAAATTCAAGCGTGATTTTCCATGAATGCTTACGATCAATCCACTCAGCATGAAGCTGCTCTCTCCAAAAACCATCCCAACGATATCCCAACCGGCTATACACCTATCAGCACACAAATGAACCATGGATTTTTACTAGGGCTGCAACATACCTTCCTGGGCCTTGGGAACCGCCCAAGCGAACACATGGGCGATCGTCTCCAAGACGACAATGCGAGCGAGCCAGCGGTGAATCAAATTGAAGGTGTCAAACGGCACCTGAAGCAGGGTGATCAGGGGATTGTTCCTGCCGGCCATGAGCACCACCGGGATAAGGTTCACTGTGGCCATGGTTCCGGTGCGGTTGCGGATCAGGCCCGCAACCGTGGACTCCTCGGACCCATAGGGTACTGTAACAACGCAAAGGACGATGTTCATGACGATGATGCCCACCAGGATGAAGGAATGGAACCGACTGGGCAGCGTGCCCATGTTGACAGCTCGGGAGAGCTGAAACTCGCGGTTGTGGCGGGTACGGAACAACGGGGCATAGATGATATGGTTGTTGATTTTCGCGAGCATGCTGTCGGGGTGAACGAAATACCGCTGGCGTTCATTGTTGAAACTTGCCAGTCGCCTCATATGACTGGCAAGACGATGCCACATCTTCCAGACATAAATGAAGGCAGCCATTAGGCCAAGAACCAGCAGAGTGAGACGAGCGAGATCATCGTTGAGCATCTCATAAAACGCCCAGCCCCCTCCTCCATGGCGCTTTTCGAGCTCTGCTGCAGAAGCAAGTCCGACCAGGGACGAGCAAAGAAGAAGAGAATGCATGTTTGTGTGTGAATTGAAAAATGAGAAGAAGAAAAAAAGAGTGGAAAGGATATCTCGACAATCGACGTCAAGATGTACTAATAGGGGGATATTTCTTGCAGGAGAGACCAGCTCTACCCAGACGGACTTTTTTCTTCAGAAACTAAATGCAAAAGAAGAAAAAAGGAAAGAAAATCCCGAAATGATCCTCGTCAATGAACCATGCACGAGACCCAATGAGGAGTATATGAAGTCTCTAGTTGTTGGACTGGCGTGGGGAGAGCAAGAATATCCCACGTCCAGCTGAGCCAGGGTTCACCAACAAGGGTATTGTTATGGCGCTTTGTCGAGCAGCGGGAAGATCACAACTTGAACAAAGACCAAGCGACAAGGCTGGCGGCGGATCGAAAGGAAATACGGTAAAAAGCTTGGTGTGTCTTGATTTACAGAGAATGGACGGTCGCCTGGGAACTGGGATACTTCCGTGTGGAATCTCTCGACAGTGGCGGGCAACGGAACGGAATGTTCAAAATGGAAATATGAACCAGTCACACCCTTTGCTCTTCAGCTTCAGAAAGGAAAAAGGTTCTGACAAAGAATGAACGAAAAAAACCGGTACCAACAGCCAACAACTACCCAACAGCGAGGCAGAAGCGAGCCAAATCGATTGGGGGGCGTGGGATAGGTACCCAAAAAAATAGCAGGGATAGAAGGGAAAGAAGGGACTGACTATCCTGTAGCCGATATGTGAAAGGGAAAGCGCTTAACAAAAGGAAAAGCAGGAGAAGAGGAAAAAGAAAAGTCTACGAAGAAGAAGAACGAGCAGAATAATTGAGAAAGATCTCCAGAGGGCCAGTGCCAAAAACCTTCTCAATCTTCCTCCTCGCCCTTGGCTGGATTGGAGCATTGCGGGTTAGCCGGCGACTCATCAGGGCCCAGCATCCGGGCCCATCGAGTCAAGTCAGTGCATCGCGATAAGTGGAGAGAAGGGAGAATGAGGTGGAACACTGGACAGGTCGAGCCAGGTCACCAAGAGACGCTGGGCCCGTCCGGGTGACTCCTGTCAAATTTGCCTTCCATGCCAAGCGAAGCGGATATATGAGGCCATCGATCGAGTTGAGAGGGGGGGGGAGAGAGAGGATGAGTGGGTTCCTAGATGAAACAACCCAGCGGAGGCCGGATGAGATCTCGCGGCTTGGCTGGAGGGAGCGATGACCGTCGCCCTTGCGTTGTAGAAGTTTAAGAGCCAGTTAGCGAGCCAATCTTGGCGGCGAGGGCGGACAAGAGCGGGCCCCAAGTGGATTTGGCGCGGTTTGAGGTTTGAGGATGAGCAGAAGAAAAGAGTCGGAGAGTGTCAAGATAGGCAAAGACCTTTTCCGATATGGCGAATCAGAAGAGATAATAATGATAGTAGTTCTAGACAGGAGTTCTTGTCTTGAGTGGTGTGGCCATGATTGCCGGTCATTGCCTATTTGGCTGGTGATATCAGACAAGAATTACCGAGAACAAGAAGGAGAGACAAAAATAAGGGCAGAAAGAAAGAAAGAGGGACCTATTCTTGGCACCGGGAGACCCGTGATCTGACTGATTGATTATTCCTCTTCCTTCTTCTATGCTTAACATATACAAAGTCTCCGGGAATAAACTCTCTGCACAATCCTTTCTCTTGTGTAACTAACTTACCATGTCTCTCTCTCACACACATCATGATGAGACATTAATTCTACTAGTAGATACTGATATCAACCACACGGCACACCAACCCCCAGCCAAGGATAGAAGGATTGTTAATGTTTTACTTTTGGGGGGGAAATAGTAGTCTAGTAGTAGTCTACAGCAAGTTCCTATCGTCACGCCTTCCCCAAAGCAGCAGGTGGAGAAGTCCCTCATTCATTTACTCATCGATTCAAGAAAAGTGGGAATTAATATGGGATGAAAAACAAACCGTCATTTCATCAATCAGAAGTAATATGATTATTCCTGGGGTGATTTTGGTAGTTGATGAACTTGTCGGGGTGATTAAATTAATTAATTAGTTTCATTTTTATCCTGATTTATACTTCCCTTCTGCTGTCAGTGCATGATGATATATGTCATCTGTCAATGTTATTATTGTTAAGCTACAGTCGTGCGACAGTCTTGTCACTGCGGCTGCTTCACTTCTTCCCGCTCAGGAGGTGACCGTCTGACTGACTGACTGACAGATCGTGGGGGTTTATGGTCTTCTACTTACTGGAACTACTACTCTACCATTCAGTAATACTACTTAGGGAGTTTCAGACAATGAAGCCATACCTAACCACATTAGTTCACCTACCAGGGAATTTAGTTATCCATTTTCAAGATCTACGATAGAACAAAGCTAAAATTCCGTGCCCATCCCATGCCACATAGTATTTCCCTTTTTTCCCCCACGGCAAATCCAACCACCGGACCCAAGAATCAAACGAATGAATGGCTGTTTTTGCCCGCGGGTATCATTTATCAATCAGTCGATCAATTCAGAAACCAAGAAGATCCTCCAAAAAAAAAAAAAAAAAAAAAAAAAAAAAACCTAATCACTCAATCAATCAATCAATCCACACCCTACCCAGAATTAATCGGTGGCTCCATCCCGAATTCGCCAGGAAATAAAATGGTCACAATAATACTCTAAAATCAAAATGAACATGGACAGACCAGACCATCCCATCAACGACCCAGTGATGGGGTTCGGTCTGAAAATTGAGACCTCGCCAACAATCATTGCCAATTTCCCAAAGCCCGAGCGAAAGTAAAAAGCCACAACCCCCGCGCTCACAAGGAATTCAGCTCGTTCTCGCTGTCATCATCAGAGCCAGAAATTACCCGCTCGACAGGGGAAGATCGCGTACGAGTGGAGCGTCAAGGACGCTGCATCTCCGACGGTGTGGGAACCAGTGTTGGAGGAGGAGGTGGTGGTGGTGGTTGTTGCCGTCCCCTACTGGCGGTGCGGATCGGCGGCTTCACCACACGGGCTGATCGATGATAACCACCTTGGTTTGGGGAAGTCAATCTGATAGGATCCGCGCAGGAGCTGATGAGTGTGTTCGGGCCCTTCTTCAAGACGCTGGTCTTGGCCTGGGGTAATTAATACACGAAAGGGCCCGTCCGTGTCCGGGCGGCTATCGGTGCAGAACAGGACGCGCCCGCGTATCGCTGGCGAGGCGCTGGCCGTAACTGGAACTGCAGCCCTCGTTCCTCAACCGAAACTGAAGTCTCTTGGGAGACGGTGGCCTCCAATCAATCCATCCCGCACCCTTGTGTCCCGCTCATCGATGGCGCAGATGTCACGCAGGATGCAAGCCTCCTCTGGAAGGTTCAGGGCTGGGCGACCTGCTACTGGTTGGAACATCGACGCTCGGCTCTCGCAGCAGCTGGGCTTGAAGCGCCGTGGGGAGCCAGGCGTTTGGCAACTGGCGTGTGCTAGCCTTCCAGTCCCCTATGCTTTCTTCCTATCGGTACAAGTGAGGTGGCACATCCAATACAACCCCCGCCAATGCTATTGCTGTTCCGCAGCCACCTTGTCGAGCGGAGGAATTCCCCCGTTACCATCAGCTGAGCAAGCTTCCATATAATTGCGCGAATTTCCCGAGGTATCCTCACAGTATTGAAACACCTATTGGATAAACTCTACGAACTGTTCGACTGCATTGCATCCTGTTGGTATACCAACAATAGGCAGAACAATTCTAGATATTCCTGCGAACCAATGACCTCAGGCATTTGGCAGCATCCGCTCATGCTGGGTCATCAGGCTCCTCTCCTCGTCTGAGAAATTACAGCCCGTCTCTGGGCCGGGTTTCTTGGTCAGCGGAGGGGTGGTAAACAGTCAGGGGCTTGATCAGTCATGGCTTTCTACTACTGCTGATTTTATGTGTAGGGACACCTAAATAGATCCAAGATAGCTCTGTATGGTTAGGATATACAGCGAGTCGCAATCCAACGGACCCAGGATCGATGCAAAACTGAAATAAACTGAGAGATACTGGAAGTAACCGGCAGAGACGGCGGAATGAGAAGATGTAAACATTGCTGCTGCTGCTGCTCCTCTGGATGCAGTTAGCGCCGATAGCCAGGGTCACTCGCTTTCAATCCTGACTATTAATGACATCGACTTGTGTATTCCCAGCCATCTAAGTTTAGAGTTGGATATTTTGCTACAAAGAGAGGAGAAAAATGAACCAAAGACATAGCATCGTTACAGAGTCGTATTGGGATAACCACCGATCATCGTATATAATACATAGCATGCGAATCGCCCGGCCTGGCTATGCACTGCCCGCGATAGAGAGAACCCCATGCCAAAAGACGTGAAATGAACAGGACAATAGGAAGAAGAATGAAATAATAACATAGAACCATCAGCACCCAATTCGGTGCGGGAGTAGAGAGATTTCTGCAAACGGCCCGCTCATCCAAAACATCAACTCTTTGCAGGGATATATAGAGCCAAATAAATACCTCTATTAAGACAGGCATAGTACAAGGAAATAAACCCAAGATAATTTTTTTTTAGCTCGGCCAGCGGCCATGCACAGGGAAATAGAGGGTAAGAGAAAAGAGATGAGACAACCCATCATGCTTAAGCCGAAGACTTCTTCGAGCCACGGAGCTTGGGGTTGCTGGCAGCAGCGCGCTTCTTCTGCTTGGCCTTGGAAGAACCGGCATCACCGCCCTCGATGAACTTCAGCAGCTCATCGACGCTACGGGAGTCCAGGGAGGCACTGCCGGGAGCCCTGGCTCCAGCGACCTCGGGAGCAGTCTGGCCAACCTGAGGCTGGATCTTGGTGCCGAGAGAGCGAGGGTTCATGTTGACCCGGCGCAGACGGCGAGCCTGGATGTCCTTGGCATGCTTGGCGATCGAAACCGCGTTCTGAGTGAGCTGCTCCAACCAGGTCTCGGCTTCCTTGGTGTTGCGGTCGTTGGGACCCAGTTGGCTAAGGAAGATGTTGTAGGCATCACGCATCTTGCCAACGGCACCCTTCGAGTCCTGGTCAAGAGCCAGCGCCTGGGCCAGCTGGAACAGGATGGTCGCGGTGTTGATCGACTGGCGGCCAAAGAGAGACTCGCAGACTTCCAGCGAGGCCTCGAACCACTTGCGAGAGTCCGAGTACTGCTTAAGGTGCTGCAACATCACCGCGGCGTTGTTCATGGTGGTGATGGAATCGGGGTGGTTGGCGCCATAGATGATCTTCCAGAGGTCCATGGCGTGCTTGATGTAAGCCAACGCAGTCTTGGTGTTTCCAGAAGCGTGCTCGAAGAGACTGAGGTTGAGGTAGCTCAGAATGGTGTCAGCGGAGTCCACACCCAGAGTACGCTCAGTGACGATGACAGCCTTGCGAGCCAACTCGACGGCCGCTTCCTTCTCGTCGGTCTGGTAGTACAGCATGGACAGCTGGTGGTAGAGCTTGGCGACCTCAGGGTGGAGGATGCCGTAGATCTGCTCGTGCAGAGACAGAGACTCCAAGATGAGCTCCTGGCCCAACTGCTTCTGGTTCTGCATAAGAGAGATACGACCGGCCTCCAGAGCCTCCTCAGCAAGGGAGCTCCTGGGGGAGGCGTCCTTGACCAAGGGCACAATGTTGAGGATGTCATCAGGGACAATGGCAAGGATAGGCTTCTCCTCCTTGGCGGCACGGGCGGGAGAGCTCGAATCGCCACCCTTCTTCTTCTTCTTGTTCTTGCCCTCCTCCTGGGCAACACCGTTGGCACCGTTAGTGGCGGGGGCCTTGGCAGGGATCTGCGACTTGTCGAAGATGAATTCCCGGGCACCAAGCTGCAGACCGAGCTTGATCGACAGATCACGGAGAAGCTGCAAGTGTCTAAGAGAGTTGAACCACTCGGCTTCCAGGGTGAAGCGGTACCGAATGGTCACCTGCTTCTCAATCGCAGCCCGGAGAGTGGCAGGGGTGGCCTTCTCGAAGGAGAAGTCGCCTTCGGGGTAGATGGAGCGCAGAGAGGCGTCGATCTCGGCAACAGGGTTGGGGTTGACATCAGCACCCAGAAGGCAGTTGAGCAAGTGAGAAATGCAAGAGGCGACAAATGGCGCCGGCACGTTACGAAGGTATTCGTTGGCAATGTGCTTGAAGGCACGGGCAATCATCTCCTGGACAAGGAGAGTAGACAGGGCATCGAGACGAGAACCCTTCTCCTTGGACAGCTGAGCCAGCTTACCAAGGTAGCGGATGTTGATACCACGCTTGTGCAAAAGCTGGCTGAGGGACTGTCCATCCATGGGGAAGCCGACATCACCGTCGTGCAGATCCTGGATCAATTCGGGCATGATCTTGGAGCGCAAGTAGTCGCAGGTCTCACGAACCTCCTTCTCGTCCTGGGCCCACTGTTCCTTCTCCTCATCGGTCTGGGGAACCTGGCCGCTGCAGACGTCGGGGTTCAACGCAAGCGAGAATCCGGAGATGTCAACGCGCTCCTGGTCCTCCTCGCTCTTCTCTTCGGAGGCCTGCTCCTTGGATTCGGTAGCCTCGGAGGATTCAGCCTTGGCAGCATCGGCCTCAGCCTTGGCGCTACGGCGGCGCTCGACTTCGGCCTTGACGTACTGGCTCATCTTGTGCCTCCAGTAAGATTCAACAAGCTCCAGTCTCAGGACGGACATGCGGTGCGGGTAGGCATCGCTACCTTCCTCCTCCTGCCACATGACATCCAGGGGAGTCACGCGGTAGAGGTCAAGCACGTACTTGCGGCCATCAGTACCCAGAAGACCCTTTGTCTCCACGCTACCCTCAAGCTCGTGGCGCTGGCCCTCCTTGTCCCACACGGCGTGCTTCTTGACGCGAAGAGCCTTGGACATCTTCTCGAAAACAGACACAAAGTCGGGGTGAGTGGCCACGACATCCTTTCCTTCAACACCACCATAGTCGATCTGGTGCTCACCGGGCTCACGCTGCTTGAAAATACCGGGGACAATACTCTGACCAACGATACGCTTGCCGAGGTAGTCGACGACAACAGTTCCCGGGGTGAAGAGACCGTTGATGTCGAGCTGGTTGACGGCCTTGATGCCCACAACATCCTTTCCGACAGCGACACGGGCAGCCTCGTCACCACCCTCGGAGGCGAAGGTGCCAACACCGTCAGCACCGAAAGAGTAGAAGATGTTGTTGTAAACGAAGATCTGAGCATCGCGGCTCTCAGTGGGGTTCAGAGGAGCGACCTCACCACGAGCCACCAGGACGGCACCGCGAGCGGCGGCCTCGTTGTAATCAGCGAACAGCTTGGAGGTCAAGCGTTCACGGAAAACACGGTCCTGAACAGTCTCGCGAGGCAGCTCCCGGGTAGTCTGGAACTCCTCGTTCCAGTCACGGAGGGTCTCCGCGTTGTCAACGCCGGAGATGAGGTAGTTCTCCTGGGAACGGGTGATGTCTGGCTGGTGAGCGTTCGCAGTCGAGGTGGGAGGGGGAACAAGCCACGGGTTGTTGGGGATGGCGTTCTGGAAGGGGAAGGTGGTCAGGAGATCCTTCTTGTTGTTCGACTCCTGGAGGGCTTCGAAAGAGGCGTTGAAGGAGGGCGACAGGTGAGCGATCAAGGTGAGCAGCGAGTGCGCGCGGCCACTCTTGGGGATGGTCTTCGGGGAAGGATCGAACTTCATGTTCGAGTTCTTGTTCACGTAGAAGCCGGAGATGTGAGAGGTGATCTGGAACTGCTCACCCTCGTTGGTGGTGACCTGGAGGTAAAGCAAGTGACCCTTCTGGCGGAGGTGGTAAGGAACGGGGTTCCACGGGGAGAGAGAGATGGCCTTGACGGTCTTGGGAAGGGGAGCTTCGGCGCGGGGGAGGATGGTCTTGAGAGAGGGGGAGCTAGTAATGTCGTACTTGGACAGGGAGTGCTCCTTCTCCGACGCATCAGCCACCTCAGCGGAGATGGCATCGTGCAGAGACAGACCAGCGCTGATACCATGGAGGTTGTCAACCCGGTCACCCGCAGCGCCAACCAGCTCTCTCATGCGAACAACGTGCATACGAGCTTCCTTCTCGTTGTAGGGATCCTCCACCAGGGTGATCTCAGAGTCAGCCTTCAGGTCAGGCACCTCGGACAGCTCGACGAAGTCATTGATGCGCTGGCCGTTGAATTCGAGGTGGAAGCAGGTGTACTGGAAGGTGCTGGGCAGCTCGACAATCGATTGGCGCACATCTTGAACTTGTTCTTGGCTCGACACCTAAGTATTCGGGTTAGAAGGTCTTTGAATCATTCCTCTAGTCGCATGACACCTGTAGACATAATACCCACCATCACCTGGATCTTGTAGGGCTCATGAGGGAGCTTGACGGTGATCTGGAAAAGACCTGTAAACGATGACTCACGGTCAGTAACATGTACGCAAGATCGAGTCATAAGCGACAGGAGACGTACCACCGGTGTTATCCTCTTCCTGAGTTTCCTCAGGGTGGTTACCATTGGTGAGCTGTTCGGGAGTCTCTGTGGGCATAGTTAGTTTTACTGGACATACAACCAAGCCGGGATCGGTGATTGACGGCTGGGAAAAGCAGGCGAACCTTTCGAGTGCTCCAGTTCGCCATTGGTCTGGGCCATTATGACGGACTAATTGGTAGTAGATCGAAGGGGAAAATAGAGAATAGAATAGATAGGTAGCACTAAATAAGACAGAGCTACCTGATGACGGCTTGTGTAGAACCCCAGCAAGAATGGAAAGCGGGTGGCGGTGGAAGTAGTAAAGGATGAAAAGGATGAGAAAACGGACGGGGGAGAAAACAGAAGCAAAATGGTATGATACAAGGACAAGGGGAATTGAATCGAATACAACCCGACCCCGTACGCAGGACAAGAAAGGGAACCCCAAAAAAAGACCCGATTAAGAAAGAATTGGCAGGATGGAGGGAAAAGGTTGAAGCTGGAGAAGAGCACACGGGGAAGCCGGGCAGGAGAAAATTTCGCGGATGCGGAATACCCTCGGAAGTGCTCGGGCGGTGGGAGCCAAAACCGGCACCAAAACTAAACGGGTGGTGGATTGGTGGATTCGTGGATTCTCCACAACAGTTGGGACGATGCCCCGGCGACCAGATAAGGTGTGGATAATGGAATATAGTACTTTGTTGTAACTTGTAAGTCGGCATCATCGTGAGGTGAGTAACTTGAATCTTAACATCTTAACGCGACCCAGGACACGAAATTGGTTTTGCGGAGAAGATCGATAGTTAGTAGGTAGTGGTAGTAAGTAGACCATGGCTCTCGCGGGCAGAATTGAACAGTGAGATCATTGCCGCAACCTTACTTTTGTGCGACCTGGGACACACCTGTCACCATGTTTGCAGTATGCATAAAACTCCTCCATTGAATGATGGTATTGAGACCAAGAATCTGTTGGATTATACTGTAGAAGAGGTCAAGTCTCTTCAGTCTGGACTCGCCGTTCATCTGTTGAATTGAACTCCCCTTTGTATCGCCACCACTACAAAGTACTATCCACTAGATAAAGCACGAGGACTGAAAAGTGCATTATGGCTGGAGGTTTCCTCCCATATCACGAACCAGGCAGTACGTTGACGATGCCTTCACCACTGCCATTATCATTAAAAACTGACCACATCAGTTGTCAACATTCTCATCCTAATCTCCTTCTTTTTCTTCCTCTCACTAGCGGAATGGATCTCCTCCAAAATCATCCGCGCCGGCATCATTGGCCAGATCGCCGTCGGTATCATCTACGGAACGCCACTGGCAAACATCCTGCATGCAGACTGGCAATCCACTTTCCTTGCTCTAGGTTATATCGGCTTAATACTCATCATCTTTGAAGGCGGGCTAGGAGCCCGTCTTGACCTCCTGAAGAAGAATTTCTTCTTGAGTATGATTGGCGCTGCAACAGGGGTTCTATTTCCGATCGGACTTTCTTACCTGCTCTTGTACTTGGGATTCGGTTATGGTGAGTATGCGTTACTCGATTAGGACTCTCAAAAGTGACACATCCCGGCAGGTGCTGTTGAAACCTTCATCGTGGGAGCATCTTTGTCTGCTACTTCTCTCGGCACTACCTTTGCTGTTATTTCAACCGCTTCCAGCACGGTCGATCTCGCCCAAACTCGCGTCGGATCGATCCTCGTAAGCGCAGCTGTCATTGACGACGTTGTCGGTCTGGTAATGCTAAGGTAGATGACATACTTGCCTGAAACCCACCTTCATCACGGTTTAACTCATTTGATACAGCGTCATCAATGATCTGGGCGAACTAGGCCAAGGCCACTCTGTCAATCTAGGCTGGCTAATTGGCCGCCCGATTGTAGCCTCCATCGGCATGGCTATTGTAACCCCTCTGGTAACAAAATTCCTCTTTGCGCCGCTCTTCCGCCGCTATATCGAGTATCACTTCGCTCGATTCGACCACATCTCCAACATCATCCTGATGATCTTGGTCCTCTGCGCATTTATCAGCATTGCCGCGTATACGGGGACTTCCATCCTCTTTGGTGCGTTCCTGGCTGGTACATTCCTGACTTATATTCCCAGTAAGCACCCAGATGGACCGTTTGTAGTCATGAGCCGAGAGGAAGGCGAAAGAGAGGAGAATAAGAGTCCGACATTTGTACACACTTTCGAGCGGTACCTGCTGGATGTGCAGAAGTATCTTATGGAGCCTCTCTTCTTTTCGAGTATCGGGTTCGCTATCCCCTTTGTGCAGCTTTGGACAGGGAAGAGGATATGGAGGGGTATTGTCTTTACTCTTCTGATGCTTTTTGCAAAGGTATTCACTTTCCACTCTCGCTAATTTTGTCTCTAACATGACAACTAACAATGAACCAGCTCATCGTTGGAATCTGGGTCCCACTTTGGCAATTACTATCCGGTTCCAACATCCTGAGCAGAAAAGTAGCAAAAGAGTATCCTAGGGAAGAATATCACAGCGACGAGAGCACAAAACCAGTCTGGTCTACAGTCTGTCTCTCCGGCCTACTTCTCGGCTCGGCAATGGTTGCCCGCGGCGAGATCGGCCTCCTCATTGTCGAGGTCGGGTACAATGAGACTTCATACGTGAGTGAGGACGCCTTTATTACCGCCGTATGGGCGATTCTGCTTAACACGGTCCTTGGTCCTGTAACTGTGGGGCTGCTGATGAAGTTTCATGGAAAGGAGATAGGGGAGGGGGCATGGGGGCTTCAGGGGACTGCTCCTGCTGCTGGTGACGATTCAAGTATTGATCCCTCACTTGGGTGATATGCAGGACACCACTGTCTCATCATGTTATCTACATGGTTTCACTACAAGCCATTGCCTTACTAATGACCTTGAATCTTTTCCCAAGACTCATGATGACATGTGTCAGAACACCAGGCATTCCCCAGCGTACGCATTGAACCATTCATGCTCAATCTGGACCAAACCCTCCTCACCAGGTGGCCTACTTCCAGTTCCAGCTCAGCCAGCTATCTACTTGCCAGATTGTCGGCTGCTGCTATCCAGTTCCTATCTCAGCGACAAGTACCAAGTCAACTCTACAGGCAGATTTGTGGCAGATGAGGCTCAGGGTCAACAAACACAATGGCCAATAAGGGCAATAACTTGAACTCAGATAAATTTCGTGTCGAAGGATATCTTGGCTTCCCTTTACGCCGTGGCATTTTCAATCTCTTGAGGCAGCATTGAAAAGTGACTGTTTGGCACAAAGCACCGTCCAAGCCCAGAATACCACACTAGCCTAGCCTCTTGCAGGGATGAAATCCCCGAACCCGGCAGGCACATCCTTCTACCCCACTTCTCTTCATACAGCGATTTTCCTGCTTCGAGTTAGGGCTGAGTTGCATGAATTCGGCACTAGATGAATTTCCTGACAACGGAACCACTCTTGACCCTGTCTCTCGTCCTGTTTTCTTTGGTTTGATCTATGCAGGATGTTTGCAATCATTACACTTGGTTCGGATCATCGCTTCTATGGGGGTTATATTGCTGGTGTTATGCCTAGGGGTTGGATGATGGGCATCTTTGGATACCGAGATCAAATGCCTTTCGTCAAGGATACAACGCAATATGATTTGTTAGATTTGTTTTTGTTTTAAGATAAACAGGTTCTCGCAATAGACAATTTCAAGTCTCGATGGTGGCAGAATGAGAAAAAATATTCGCTTTCTTCAGAAGAATAAACAACACGTCGAACGCGCACGGGATTGCAAAGCACAACTCGATAGCATGACCACTCAGGTTGATCAGCTGTAGAAAACATCCTTGTTCTCAGGATCGGGTCGATATTCGTCAGACGAGCTGCTATCTTCCGCCTGTTCCACCAGAACCTCCGCCTTACAAAGCAACCAGGAGGTGCGGCCTGTGTCCTGTTGCTGCATGTCTAGAGGCGCATTGTGGACGGGCACAAATTGGGTGGGGGTATCGTACCGGAACACCCCTGGTCGAACAACGAGAACTACCCGGCCGCGAGGCTTAGGGATGTACAGCGGAGTCTTTTCATCATTGTCGAAAAGAATCTCGGAAAACATAATTCCTGTAGAAGTATCGAACTGCTTCAACTCTGGAAGTTGGTGGACTTTCACCAGTCCCCCAAGCATTACCTCGTGCTTGGTGAAGCCTTTTGCGCTACCTTGGAAAATCTTCGCCAAGAGCTCACGACGTTCAGCCCTTTTTTGGGAATCAGTCAACTTGACTAAAAGCAGCTGAAACAGGCTGTCCTCTAGAAGCTGGTCTGCCAGGTTTCTTGCTATGTCTGCCTGCCGCTTGCGGCTCTCATCTCCGAAAGTGTAAGGCAGTTTGTCCCGAGGCGACTTGAACGTATGGATGTCATCTTCCAGGTTGGCAAGACCAAGTGTGACCATTTTCCACCAGACCGCATTGACTGGGCTTGCTGAAAAAAACCAGGGATGACAGCCCCGCCAGTCAGATCAAGAATGGCCCATTAGCTTAAGGGGGAGCGAGTGGAATTACTTACACTCATAGTATCTGTTATAGAGATACTGAAGTCGCCCAGGAAATGATCGATCATCCTCATCGGTATCATCGCGTTTCCCATCTAGGAAATCGAACGGTTTATCCAGAAAATGTGTGAATATGAATTTGTTGATCATTGCTTGGGCCAGGTATAGCTGGAAGTCATTACGACAGGTGGGTGCGAGTAAGGATTGAATTGTGTCCCAAGACTCTTGAACGCAATAGCCATCAAGGCTTTGGATGATCATCTTTTTTTGTTTCTTGGAAAGTGATGGTGTAGTCTCACGAACATAGTCTCCAGCCCAACGTTTGATATTCCTTCGCATAGTCCCATAATCGCGTTTGAGTGAGTTGATATTTGGATTGTATCCCACCTGGCTGATTGCCATGCGGTCACAATGGCTTTTATAGGCTTCGTAATCCTCGGCTGTCAGATGCACTGAATTCTTTCTCGATCTTTTCGAATCAGCAGACGGCGGCTCACCCCCCGATGATTCAGTCGTTTGAGGCTCAGGTGGCGCTTCATCGGTCTGGGGTAAAGCATTTTGTTGTTCCTATGAGAAGACCAGGCATGTGAGTAGGGTCTGGAATCTATCAGAATTCGGGGGAAAGGGGAGGGTGTATAAGATGGATGCAGAATGGCAGGTGGATGGGGAGTGTACTGACAGCCTCGGCTTTCCTCTTACTATTCCGTGTACTTACCATGGTGCTCAGATTCAATGGACAGGCAGAGTGGATATGAGAATGAGTATTGGAAGAGAGGAGATGGGAAAAAAGACAAGGAGGAAGAAGGAGGTTGTATCACTCTGGGCATCAACCTCCAATCCCGTGACTTGGTCTCGTTTCCCAAGCCCTGAAAACGCCACAACAATAATAGCGAAAACCCTCTCTTACCCCGCCTGCTGACGGTTTCATTATCTTGGGATTGTATAAAATCTATGGTCTCTTGGGATTGAAATTGTACGAACCAAGGGTTACGGTCTCTTTGTCTCGAACCCGTACCGATCCTCCAACCAATATCACGCCTCTCCCAGTTCCCGCTTCAAAGCTCTTTCATCTTGGCCATCATGCAGAACCAGAGACTGGTCGTTGGCATCGATGTTGGTGCAAGCAAAACAGGTAAGTATCAAATCCACTGGATGCTTCCTTCTCTGACTGTGTTTTATCACTCACGCGCCTGGAATCTCAATAGTGGTTTCCTACTACGTCACGGGAGTTGACAACCCGCAAACAAGATTCCTCCTTCTAGACAAAGACCCGATAATTCCTACAGCGATTGCCTACTTGCCGGGGGGTGGGTGCTATGTTGGCCGTCAGGCTCAGGCTCAAGAGAACTGCATCTATTGGATAAAACATATGTTTGATGATGCTCGTGTTTTACAAGACTCTGATGATGAGCTAATCAAGGAACTTGTCCTGTCGACATATGAGCACCTACCTCCCAAGCAGCGCGAAGATCCCTACCTTCTTATGTCAGATTTCTTGGGCAAGATATTAGGACATCTCACGTCTGTCTTGAAAGACGAACTTGCAGTCACAGGCCTGCCACAAGACTTCGTTTTTGCTACGCCCTCAACTTGGTCAAGAGCTGCTCATATCAAGATGGAACAGGCTGTCAACTCAGCAGGGTTCACAAAACTTAACGGTGCAAGAGTCCATTTCATTTCTGAGGCCGAGGCGGTGGCCGTATATGTCGTCAATGGGGGAGAAATTCAGATGGGACAGGAATGTCAGGTAAGTATTCAATTGAATGACACTGCCCTTATAATTGAAGTTGTTCACTTGATGACTGGGGCTTTCTCCAACAGGTAGGCGACGGAGTAATGGTCGTCGACTGCGGCTCAAGTACAGTGGTAAGATCTCATTTGTGATAACCAGATTGTTCCTGTACTAATAGAACGACCAGGACATAACTACAATCCAAGTCGACCAGCAAACCCCGTTTGACTACCAGCGGCTGACTGCTTTCACAAGTAAGCAACACCAAGGATGTCGTGATTCCAGCTAATTCATCACAAGGTAACGCCTGTGGAGCCGTTCAATTCCAGTCGCTCATCTATAAAGCACTGGAGAAGAGTCAAGAAAACCGTCCGGTGACAAGAAGGGCCAAGCTTCCTGCGTTCGCCGATTGGGCCCGAATAAACTTTCCTTGCGGTCCTGTAGCAGTCCCCGATGTCAATGGGTTTCAGCACTGTGACATGGAGGAGATCTACGATACGGTTGCCGCCAAAATTATTGGCCACGTTCGACAAGAAATTGATTGTGCCAATATTTGCGCTGGAAAAAATATTGTCAACGTACACCACCCTCTGGTTGCTCTTCCCGCTGGATCAAATGGCTAACAAGTTTGGCAGAAATTGATTTTGGTTGGAGGCCTTAGTTGCTCTCCCGATATCTCGGCAAGAATCCAGCAAAGGTGTCGAAACGAGTTCAATATCAATGTCCACCAGCCAGGTCAAGCGTAAGTCTGCCACCCTCCTTATCATAACACATCCCACTTTCCTCTTTCTAGGGCTTAACAACATGGTATAGATTTCGAGTTAGAGGTGTTTGCCTAGGTAGCACACTCTGTGGTATCATTGGAGGCTCACAACTGTCCTTTAAGTTCTGGACAAGCTATCATCTAGTCAATGCGACTAACCAATGTACCGAAGTATTCAGAAAGGTAATACGTGGTCCTGGCCTGCGAAGTTGCTGCCGGTGTGATAACCTTTTCGCAGGGAAAACGCTGCAACGAAGAGCACACCGTGCTTGTCCGCATGACACTGACCCGAACTGAGGATGGAAAGTGCACCATTCCGGTGGTAAAGAGTGACCATCCTGGAGTATATGTTTCAGTCGGGACAATTCACTGCAACTTAACGCTGGTCCCAGGGAACTGGCAATTTCTGGACGTTGTGATCAATTGCCGGGCCACAGTAAGGTCCGAAGAACGACACCTTCCTCCCGAGCGCATGCTCCATTTCGCTGTGCATGGGATAGTAGGTAGGAAAACTCGGCTTGTTGGCCACACACGAGTCGTTATGCAGCATGGATTGTAAAACCACTGCGCTCGCAGTTTTGTTCAGCTACTGTGGGCACAATGGGTAGGGGAGAAAAAGGAAGACATAGAATGTAGAATGTTCTGGGCGATTAGAATGTCAATTACTGTCGGTACCGGGTTGCAAGCTGTCTTTCCTCAACGCCTCTCTTGAATTATACTTCGTATGATCTGTCATGTAGACAGCGCACAGGAAAAATGGAGTGAGCGGAAGCTGTACAACTGTTAGGGCCAAATCTACTGCCCCTTACCACGGTACGGAAAAGTCTGAACAAATACTACTAAACCACTTAGCTGCCCCTTCCTTGACTCAAAAGGCCTTTCCATACACCCACTGTCAGAACATATGCCCCACCCAACTGAATGTCTTCTCCCAAACATCATTAGAAAGTACCTTTTCCCCCAATGAGAATGACGCTTTAGGATGCCAGTCTTGCTTGGATTTGGTTTGGACAAACAGAACATTCCTGTAACAGGATCTCTCCACACTGACCGTACAGGAGGTGCAGCTCAAACCTAACACGCCCTTGCTCTGTTGAGGCAAGAAGATAATGCCTGTCCAAGTATCAACTTATGTGGCCAACCATATCTTGGTAGAATCCCGCAAGCACGTCCCAAGAGAGGACAAGGCGTCGCAAGACGCCGATGAGCAAGTTTCTCCAATCCCTAATAGTATACATGTGTGTGCAGTGGGGAAATATATTGAGTGAGAACTTGGGACGAAGAACCGAGTTATAGGGGCGATTATGGCTATTGAAGGGGGGGGGCGGCATTTCTTTTCAGCTTTGATTCTGGATGTTGCTGTGTATGTCCATGATGGTTGTTTGTGGGAGGAATTTATTGATGGAGACGATACTCCTGCACGGTATAAAGCAAGGGTTTGTGTTAGATCCATCCAACTTCTTTGCAATGAACGAAGTCGTGATGTCCCGTCTGTGGGGAGTTGTTCGTGTTTCAGATGGTAATAGGGACGGTACAAACTCTGCTGGATCCGTCAAGGCATCTGCAACATATAGTGTGCCTCAAGCGATATACGTTGGTAGTGTTGTACACATTTAGCAACAAGATGGCCATCTTGAGCAACTCCGATATGAGGAAGAAGTGGTCTTGGGTGGGCGTAAGTCAGCCATTTTAATTTTGATCTCAGAGGGTAGACGCCGACACCAATGGGGGATCTCAAACATTGACAGTCGGGAATTAGCTGTATGCAAATAGAGGCTGTGGATAATATACAAGTGCATGGGGTCAGCATCTTCTCTTCCTGGACCAGAGTAAACTTCATAGTGACATCCGTTCATCGAATTATGGTCTAATTATTGTGTTAGTAACTAGATTTGGCTCAGCCCTGTCGCTGTCACACTCACATGTTTTAATATCATGTATTGCTACGCCCACCAAATCACTATAAGTAAGAGTAGTCAAAGAAGCTTTTACTAGTAAACGTACTCTGCTTAGTGCATTTACTAGGCTTAGATGATCTTGACTGCAGCAGAATATCTACTACGGTTATTTGTGAGAAGTCAAGTCTACGTCTTCAGGCCAGTCATGTATAGCAGACTCACTCACACCTTGACATTATTTGCGAATCCTTACTCTTACAACCTTTCCCAACTTCATGGGCCAGAGATATCTTGATCTTGATACATACGCGCGCAGGCATGTCTTTCGGGCGCAGGTTGGATGGATAATCGTTGGTGGGCTTAATCCCAGCAACCTCGACCTCTCCCTGTCAGTCTTTATCAAAAAGGTTTGGTGAAAGTAGGCGCTTCTTGACACACATTAGTCATATCTGAGTAGATCGGGCTGGAACGCAAAGATCATTAGAAACGTGCATCCCCTTTGGGAACCGGAGTGTCAATGGGTCAAGGCGGCAAATTTGGACCATTTAAAGAACTGAATAAATCAAGACAAGGACGGATAACGTAATCAACGGTCGGACGGGCCACACGGTCAGGCGGGCCATCTGGTAATACTATACAAAAGATATCTTTTTAAACATAATATATCTCTACCATCCAGGTCTAGAAGAATTAGATTTCTTCTATATAGATTTTAAATAATATAAATAATATCTATATACCTTCTAAAAATGAATATACTTTTACTTATGGACTTATCATATTACAATATCTGTATTTATATGTATTATATAAGAATCTGGTTTCATTATCAAAGTAAAAATTCTAAAAATCTGAAAAATTCATGGAATACTTATTCTTATATATATAAACTATCTACAAAGTTAGAGCTTCATAGAAGTAGTACTGGTTGATATATAATAGAATCAAAAAGACATCTTTTATATGGGATTTCAGGATGGCCCGCCTGACCGTGTGGCCCGTTCGACCGTTGATTACGTTATAGAGAGAGAAAGGTGACAAAGAGAGGGCTGAAAGAAAATCAAAATCGTGCTTCAGTATAACGAATACGATGGAAGAGAGGGAAGGGGGAAAATAAAAACAAAAAAAGAAGATGGGCCCGAACCGCGATTCGAACGCGGGGCCTCTCGCACCCAAAGCGAGAATCATACCTGTTATTTAGTTAGACACTGACAGCCGAGACAGATCATTTAGTTGAGGGCTGCTTACCACTAGACCATCCGGGCTCGTATACGTAATCAGGTGGCAAATAGAAAACAAAGGGTAAGAGAGGAAAGATTAAGAAAGGTTAAAACCAAAAAAGAAGGAAGATAGGCCCGAACCGCGATTCGAACGCGGGACCTCTCGCACCCAAAGCGAGAATCATACCTATGAATTTGTTAAACGATGAAGGTGGTGGAATGTTTGATTGGATAAAGCTTACCACTAGACCATCCGGGCTCGTATGTGGGGTTCTTTAGCCTTTTGCTATACATATATGAGGAAATCTCGGTCCATACTAGGTTTTTGTTGCCCTTGATGTGCCGTTGGCAGTGTTCAAATATATATGTTCAAGACTGCTGGAACGCTGGAAAAATTTCTGCGTCCGCTTTTCATTGGTTTCAGCTCCATGATGCTTATTCATCGCCGTCGGCGACCCGTATTTTCCGCGGCTACTGTGTGCCTATCGGCATTTATGTCCCTCAAGTTTCTTTCACTACTACTAAGTAGTTTCAAGCTTTTCGACTCACCCAGAAAGTCAGTTGGATACCGTTTTTGGGATTAATGTTATATACGGCTCAGACTGGTCCCTAGTAGAAAATACCTTTTTTTTATTACCTGTTTCTTGTCTAGCACGAGACTAGACTTCGAGATGCAAGTATACCTCTACAACTTGTGATTTGTCCTATATGTAGTAACTTGATGGGCCGCTAGCTTCGCGCAAGAACATGGAACAGTACAGAACTGATTGACTATATTTACCTACAAGTCCCCGTGGAATTAGTAATATGCCACTTATACATACTTTAAGGATGTACTTTACAATCCTTCGTCGTGGTTAACACTTACTAGTTCTTGAAATCGTATTCAATATGCTGGATATATATCGGTGGGTTTTTTAGTCTGCAATGCATCAGTACTTAGTTGTATGTGCACCTGTATTCATGCATTCAATATTGATGATGTCGTTTCGTAAGAACCATTAATTGTGACCATGCTTACTTGAGCTTGCACTTGATGGACCAGTAAATTAGTAAAACCGTATATAACAATGAGAAGCTCTGGTGCCCGAGGAATCTGCATGGTATTCATATATAGACCTCGTGGACGATCACCAATCGTCGCAGCTCCAGGCGACTCGAAAACTAGCCCCGAAATCATTCATATAGAGAAGAAAAGTACGAGGTTTACATTCATAGCCCGTAGTACTTCAGGCATCGATGGTGCGACATCACACCATTGATACCGAGCTTTCGGAAGCGGCGCCTGAGCATTGAGGGTACTCCAGGCCAAAATAGCTCTTGTGTTAAGCCTCAAAATAACGGCTGGAGCCTTAAAGGGGGTCTGTGCTCAAATTCACGCAGCAGGTCCTTCAATTTACTCAATGCTTCGAGCCTTATGCTTATAGGTATCTCCATATTCCCAGAAACAAAATCCGGTTCATCGATGTATTTCCGGTGAAAGTAGTTACGTCCCACCAACGACGATAAATTCTCTCCATATTGTAGTCCACACATCCGCCGCAATATATCTCTTGCCTTAGTTCGATCGAAGAGTAGTGGGATTGCCTTGTCGCCAATATTCGCCTTGGAATACAAGAGCGCCACGCTGTACAAGGTCATCCGTGTCTTTGGATGCCAAGATCCGAGTCGCTCTGTAAATAACCGAAAGATGTCTTCGGTAGCTAACATGGCTGGCCAGTACATCCCTTTTCTGTTGTATGCTGTCTCGTGCATTGCAACATTGGTGTCCCATAGAACCTTCTCTATTGTCGACTTCGTTCCAAGAGCCTCTGCTGCCAAGTTGAGTACACCTAAGGAAGGTGACAATTGCTCTCTCCAGCTCCAGACAAGGTGAAAGTTCAGAGCCGGTCGATTGTTCTCGGACAGTACTTGTTGGAAATCTGCACTGTCTTCCCCGTTCATCTTCTGGAGAACGGCCCTTAGCACGATCACTCGAAAACAACCATCAGCGTATCTGATGACGGATGGATAGGAAACCCCCTTCAGGAGGCATATGATATCACCGGACTTGATCAACCCCACTGATTTCCTGATGGTCCATTTTACTTTCCACAATCTCTTGTAGCCCTCATCACGCAGCCCAACACCAGTCAAAAGCACTTGCAATATGGTCTTCGTGTGCTTGTCTTCCGTGGTGACAACGAAACCCAAGATCCTTCCACTACTCTGTATGCTCGCAAATTCCGTACCAGGCCAGGTCTTCACTGATATCTGTTTATTTAGAAGGAACCATATTAATCGTTGAAAAAGCTGCTCCCAGGACAGCTCATAGTTGGGTAACAGTCCAGGTGCTTCATGAGAATCAGAGCTCAGTCCCAGTAGAGCATAGATTTTATCATGCAGAATAGAGGCCTCGTTTGTATGATGCATATCAATCAATTCAGATAGGGTGAGCTTCTTCATTGGGTGCGTACCATACTGTGGACGAAAGATTGCTTCACGAATCAGATGTGTCGTGCTCATCACACTAGGGCCAGCATACGAGCGATATGCTTCGATACCCGTGGCAAATGTGTAACCGCTCATTCTGACAGGACCACACAGAATCTGAATATTCCGAGCGAGGCCCACCTCTTGGAGGATCTGCTACCTCTCCTTAGACATCGGATATCGCTTCGTGAAGAGCAAGAGGAGGGAGAAGACGGTGGGCATAGTGTAAAATTACTTACCCACATGCGATAAAACCACCCCCGCAGGAACAGACTTTTAATACCCTCAATGGGGACGCTTCCTGATGGCGGATTGGAATCCTCTCCAGAATACACTGACTCTGCCGCGACACGAATGGCTTCTAACGCCTGAGTACTATCATCCGCCTCCTCACCCAACCACACTATCACCTGGCTGGCCTGCTCATATATGCGCGCCATGTTTTGGATCTGCTTCTCTTTTTCTCCCACATTGTTCTGGTCGATGCAAATTGCGTCGACCCATAATGTCCGTTCAACTCTATGGCCTCGAAGCCTAAGGAGTGCGGAGTGTAAATTCTTTCCTACAGAGAGAGCCTGATTGTTGATTGAGATGTTACACTGTCCGTCCGCCTCATCTCCCCACACGTATGAGAGGGCATCGTACTCTTGGGCAATATCGTCCCGAAGGGAAAGGTTGGAAAGCTGACATTCAATCGGAGCGGCTCTGTCTTTGCTTGGAAGCAGACGGAGTATGCGGGTGCTGAAAGGCCCTTGATCCAGAGGAGAATATTCAAAGATGGGCATGGTTGAGAAGAGTAATACTTCTTTTGGGTCACTTGACGGGATGAGAGTCACGTAGCGTCGTTTTTAATGAGCATTCTACGGCCGCATCCTTCCTGTGTCAATGATGCAGTAGATGGAACGCCTACCCAATCCGTATGAGTTGGATGGCAGATAATGGTGCGTTTCAGAGGCCGTTGGTTATGCCGACCGTGTGAAACAAGCCAGCTAGATGTATTTCCAGTGGAAGCCTCGTGCACCTCATGATTCAGTAAAACCCTCGACTACCTGTCCTGGCCAGATTGGCTGGCTGAGTCTTCGCTTGTCCTTGGGTACCCCGCCATGGACAACGCATGAGTTTCCCGTCCTGTAAAGATAACTTCGTTGACCACATGAATTCTCCATCGAGATTAAATCATGCCCGCAGCCTAAGGGGAGTACCTATAACTAGCTGCGGAGGCCCCACTGACAGGACGGATGAAGGCATGAACCGAGAGCGGGGTTGACACTTGTTTAGCAAATCATTCAGCATATTGTTGAGAATGCTACTAGCAACGGGTTAGATTAATATCCTCATTGGTTTGATGAGTGCGGCCCCGAGTAACGTCGTTACCACTGAAGAACAAAATAGGAGAGAAGTATCCCATAGTAAAGTAACGGTGTTGGCCTGGGGATCATATCGGGTAACATTGGCTCGCTTATACTTTGGCATTTTTTTTCAATTTCCTGATGCATCCGTACAAGGTTGGTGGACTAGTAGCTATTCATAACATTGGTCCAATTAATCTCAACCATGAAGTTATAACATACCATAGATAAATTGTAGGAAAACGTGATTGATTGACTAATAATGCCCTCGTACAGCGATTCAAGGCGATGTGGACGAATTGTCTCGGGAACCAAAGCAGTTGGTCATCGATTATCCTGCCTGCTTCGACTGCTTTAGAGTAATGATTAGATACCGATAATGTAGTAGTATATGGGGGCATGTGATGAGCCACGGATAATCTCATGGCCGCGATAGCATCGAATATGCATTGAAGGTAGGTCACGTGAGACAAACTGGGGAAATGAAATTCGTCGAGATAAAACATCTGCAAGTCTAGATCTTAGACAAATAATGCAATATGAGGCAAGCCTGTTGTTGCTATGCTTTACCCACCCAGCCTGCACTGCAATAATCCACATCTGCCTCATACTTAATAGATCTGAATAATGATCAGCCACAAGGTGGGCCCGGATGCGAGGCGCAGCAGCGGAGTAAATCCACGCCAATCCGATCTGGGCGAGTAGTACCGACTTTTGGTAGCAGTACTGATTCGGGCCCGATTCCAACTCACCTCTTTTTCTCACCGTGCGCTGGCCTTCTTTCATTCATTATTCCTTCATTTGTCGCTGCTTCTGTCTTTCCCGCACCTTCTCTCTGCCCAATTTTCTGCCATTGGGAGCCTTGTTGCTGTTAGGATTCGACTCTATCTTGAAACAGCGGTTCTTTCGATGTATAGATAGAGTGGTGTGTCTCAGTTCTGTGCCGGACCCATCTCCGCCCTTTAAAAAAGTTCCACACACTCCTTTATCAATTTCATTCGATCTCAATTCTTCATATATACATACATCCGTTGTTTGATATTATAGGGTGATCATCTATCTCCCTCGGGATTATTATCCGGGAAATCAGCAGGGGTATCCGATACCCAGCGCAGAGAACCATGTTGTATCGCAATGTTCAACGATCCGTGATCTCTTTCTCTTGGGTTGGCCTGCGGACGCCTCCCAGGACAACAACCACCACAACTACTGCTACCCGCATAACAACCCCCGCCTATCGACGGGGATTCTCACAGTGCCAGATTCGGAGAAACACAGATTCCTCCTCTTCCGAACAAAATGCCACAAAGGAAGGTAAAAGGCGGAGGAATGACGACTCGGAAGATGAACCTACTCTGCGATCGACGTTGCTGAAGATGGGGGAGTCTGCGGCTACTACTCTTGCTTCGATGGCTGTTCTCGGGTAAGCTATCCTGATCTTTTTTTTTTCAATGATCTTTTCTTCATGCTAATGCCTGCTAGTATGGTTGGATACGCGTACCATCGGTACTACAAGTATCTTATCTTGGAGAAGATGGAAAATGCCTTCAAACCGGGTGATCCGGCTCTCGAGCTGGCCGGTGTGGAAGACGGAAAGCACCAGTCTACCTACGAGGAGCATTGGGTGCATCGCGATGAGCAAGCCAGAATGGATAGAATCATCTCCGGTAATGCTGGTGGTCGGTATTACCTGCTCGTGGGCGAAAAGGGAACCGGAAAGACGTCGATGCTTCTAGAGGCGATGCGCAAGATTGATGGCGAGGGTTGTGCCATGTTCGAAGCCCATGCCGATCTCGAGCTTTTCCGGATCCGTCTGGGAAAGGCTTTGGACTATGAGTTCCACGAAGAGTAGGCCTACTACAGTTTTCTTCTCTCATGCGTGCATCAAGTTGCTGACGCCACTTGAACAGCTACATCGGCAGTCTTTTCAGTATCAAGGGCCCTCGGGATACTACCGCTCTCCTTGATATTGAACGCGCTTTCAACAAATTGGAAAAGGTTGCTCTTGCCAGAAGACGCAGCAAGAAGTCGCCTTTGGTCTTGATAATTAACAGCGCGCACCTGATCCGAGACGATCACGATGGCCAGGATCTCCTCGAGGCGATTCAGCAACGGGCCGAACAGTGGGCTGCAAGTGGTCTGGTGACAACAGGTAAGCTTTATTACAGATCCATACATCTATGTTTGAGTATTGACGGAAATAGTCCTGAACAGCGACGAGTACTGGGTCTATGAACGCCTGAAGAAGTACGCTACCAGAATGGAGGTCATCCCCGTGCGGGATCTTCCTAAGGATCGAGCAATGGAAGCCCTGAGGAAGTACCGCAAGCAGTACTTTGGCCAGGAATTAACCCACGAGGAACTTGAGGAGGTGTACAATCTCGTCGGCGGACGATTGTCCTACCTCAACCGAGTTGCCAAGGCCCTAGACTACAAGAAGCTCTGTGAGAGCATCTGCGAGGCCGAGAAGACGTGGTTCCTCAACAAGTGCTGGATCCTGGGACCTGAGATGGACGACGATGTGATGGACCAGCAGAAATATGCTGTAAGTGCAACCTCCTCTGTCGATGACAAACAGACCGGCGCTCTGACCGAGATGTAGTCTGCGGCAATGGTGCTGGCGAAAGCACTTGTGGACAAAGGAGAGGAAATGGATAGGACCTATGATCCGAAGCTGGGCCACATCCTCCCAGAGATTCCTCTCCATGAAGCGCGACAGATCATGACGCGCGCGGACTTCATCCAGAGCTACGACCACGAGAACATCTTCACAATCGACTCGCGGGCCATGGTGCGTGCGGATTCGGTGCCTATGCAGAATGCATTCAAGGAGATCTGTGGCTGGCCAGGATTCGACGAACACCTGGAAGGCACTCTTACACGCATTGGAGATATTGAGAGCTTGGGACGTACTCGGGAGCTGACGATCAAGGACCTCTGGAACCAGGGCAAGTATCAACTGGTCATGCGGGACCACAAGGGTCGTGAGCAGGGTGCGGCAGAGTTTTCCGTTATGGAGAAAGAAGAGGAAAAGGAGGATAACTGAAGACCAGGTTCGGCCTGGTGCGCTTGTACGATGTATAGAAGATGGAGGTTCTCTGGGATTAAGTTGATCTCGGAGGAAATCTCTGAGTGTACTACTACTACATGTGCCACATGGTGGGAAGGTGGCTTGGCTGACCCATGTATTTAAAAGATTCGATTCAAAGCCACTTACGATTGTCTTATAGAATACCAACTGACTACATCAACTTCTTGGGTCTCTGGATTCCTTTGGGGGGCATCGTCACCGGTGACATCATGGCCAGAGTGCCTCTCACCGCCCGGCAGCTCATTCTGGCCATCGCATCATCCCAGCCTCATCTTTATTTCGCTGCTGTCGTTTTTCCTCTCCTCACTTTCCTCCCCTCTTCTCTTTCTCCCCTCTTCCTGATCCCTCCGACCCTGTCCATCACACCATCAATTCATATATCCCCTAAACAATCCCACCCACTAACAAAACAATGGCTCCCCGCAAGAAAGAAGTCCTCTCCGCGGTAACAGCAGCCGACGATGACACCGCCGAGAAGACGACGCGCCAACTGCGTCACAAGACGCGCCTGGACCGCATCCACCCCGCCGTGCGCTTCATCCTCGCCGTGTTCGGCAGCTTGGCATTGAGCTCGACGCTTTTCTCCCTGACGACGGGGATCACACTCGGCGAACTAGGCCGTGTGAGCAAACACCTCGAGACATGGTGGGAAGTAGGAGGTCTGATGGCCTGGAAGGCCGTCGAGGTCGGACTTGCCTGGATCATGGGCTTTGACGGTATTCCGTTATCCCCGTTTAAACCCCATATAATCATTAGCGAAAACTAATACATTGAATCTCAAGGCCGCGACGTCCTCTCCTTCACCTACCTCACCCACCTACCCACCTTCAGCCTCCTTTCGACCTTCTACAGCCTGCGCCCAACCACGATCCTTACCAGCTACTTCATTACTCTCCTCTCCACCACTCTCCCCTTCATCCTCCTCCGCAACCTCACCCCCCTCCACTCCTTCTCGGATTCCACGCGCATTCCTAACCGCTCCATCCTCAACGACCGCCCGACAACCATCTACACCACCATCGCCGCGGCTGCCATCTTCACCGTTACCCTCTCCCTCAGCTACGCCACGCCCTGGCTCCCCACCACCCTCGTCACCCACTTCCAAGACATCCCCGACGTCACCGCCATCCATGCCGGTCCCGCCGCTCTCCCCGGCCTATTCCTTTCCCTCCTTCCCGCTGGCTTGGCGGCGCGCGATTTCCTCTTCGCCAGCTCAACGGGTGCATCCTCCAGAAACTCCAAGAAGAATAGCAACAACAAAAACAAGGAGGGGACATCCAGCCCCGAAGGCGAGTACCTGGCCTACACCGTCTACCGCAAAACATGGGGAACCCTGTCCCGCAAGATGCAAGTGCTAGTCTCCCGCACAGTCCTACTGGCAGGCATGTTGTTCGCGAACACAGTCGTGCAGGTCGCAGGGACAGTGAACCAGGTGGACGCCGAAGGCGCAATGGTCTGGGGTGCGGTGTGGGCTATCGCGGCGGGTGTTACGGGCGCAATGTTTGGATGGATTGAGGCCGTGGATGGAGTATAGTTCCATCGATTCATGCATCAACAGGTTGAGAAAAATTAGTTCTTTTCTGACTGTTTTAACATGTTAGTTGGTGTTAGTTTCTTCCTGCTGACTCTTTTCTTGTTTCCCATACTTTCCCTTTCTTTTGGCCCATTTCTTCCTGTTCACTGGGATGTTCAATGCGAGCTGAACATGTGAGCAAGAACAAGGTATTCCTTCCGGTTATTTTCCCGCTGTCAGTTAGCCAGTCAGTTAGTTATTTTCTCCGAAAGCCAACCAAGCTAGCTAGCTAGTCAACACCCCTGCTTTTGTCGCTTCTGGGTTGCTGTTTATTATTCGTTGTTTGCTTAGTCCATTTCAATTCTAGCCGTGGCGTTTTGCGAAACAAAAAAAAGAAAGAAAGAAAAGCACAAAAAGGCGGAACCAGGAACAGGGATGTGGAAATTGAGAAGGAAAAAATTAAAGTTTGGTCTGAGTATCAGGATCAGGGTCAGGAACAGGGACAGGGTAGTCTATCTATTGAGGTCAGTGTTTCGGCGGCGTGTTTCAAGTTGATGTGTTTCAGCGGGTGTGTGTGGTCATGGTCTTATTTTTGAGGTTTGTTGATCCATGAGTTGAGGTGATTTATTTGGTGCGATGGTGTGTCTGGTCTGCACTCTAGGAGGAAATGTTAACGATGTTATGCTTTGAATGAATACTTATTTATTACTTGGTTATGATTATTATGATTGTCAAGTATACCGTTGGTTCAATGATTAATTATAGTTGATGGATTTCCATGGTGCTGAGCAGGGGGAATCATCTAGTTCATTAAAGTTGGAAAGGAAAAGCTAATTACACAATGCCACACTCCAATCCATCTATCGACTTTTAAAAAACGCTGCGTTGGCATATTAGAGACCAGAGGCAAGGCACGTGGACTTGCTTTCTCATGGAGAAATGGGGTCAGATTGAAGTATAAATGTCTGGAGTTTGAAAGTAGGAATAATGAGAAGCGACGAAGTTACCGCATCTCCATTCCACTGGCTACCCCGTCAGGAGAGTAGATCTCGCGGTGGAATGGCTTGACCTCATTCTTAGGTAGCAGCCATCCTGGATGGAAGATGTTAAACACACCCACAGCTAAGACCATCATAATGCCGTCCAGGACAATGAAGTACCGTTCGTGCGTGATCAAGTAGCCAGACCACCCCTGCGACAGCTCAATGGTTCGATAGATACTCCGGATGTAGATGCAGAGGACAGAGAAGATCATCGCACCGAGAAGAGGGATGATCGTGCCGGTCATGGTTTGCAAGATCCGCATACGGAGAGTGCGACGGACGAAATCAGCGGCGAGGAAAACAAAGACCGTGATAGACGCCAGCTGGAACACGATACCGGCGACCATGGTGTGCGTGCCTGGAGCAGTATCGCCGTTGACCTTGTTGACTTCCATCGACGCCATGCCACCACCCACAGCCTGGACAACCAATGAGATGATATCGCAGGTGACGAAAATCCAGAGATAGAGTTTCGGACTCAAAATTGAGGTCTCGGGCCCCAACAGGTGGATGAAACGGCCCAGGAGCACGTAGATCCCGGCGGTAAAGAAAGTGGGGGCTAAAGAGAGAAAATTAGTATCTGTTTCATGAATTTGATATGCGTGGTCCTGCTCGCGTACCGATGATCAAGGTAGAGATTTGCATGAGAAAGGCGGTTCCATTGTATGGACATTCAGCAGACCAGGTACGTGCTGCCCAGCCCAGGACCTCCGCTGTAATGGTTGTGTTAGCGTATGGTTGGAAAGGACTCTTGCAGGAGGGGTTCACATACTGATACATCCAAGAACGAAGACAGAGCACCACCAGGTCCTCTTCCACACCAGCTGCAATGTATGGAGCAACATCGACAGACCGAAGAGGACACAAAATACAATGCCCGCAGCCAGCGAGGGGACGTAGCCATATGAGGTGCCGTAGCCATCGATCTTTGCATGGCAGCCATAGGTCAATTGTTTCTTGAATTCATATTCTGCAGTAGTATTAAGGCCCGACATATTGGCGCAAATGGAAGGCCGGGGTGGTCGAGACCCAGTATGTCGAGGAATATATGAGGAGGTCAAGTGCGTCTGTGGATAGAGTAAGGAGAGAAGGCGATTTTGAGGCAGAGAAGCACGCTGCAGATATAATGTACGATTAGGAATTAGAGAACGAATGACACCGAAGAGGCAGGCTGAGCGCTAATCGAGCTTAAAGAGGGGTTGAGCTATTTGCTGTTGGACATAGATATATGCTCATGAATATGCACGGGGTACCAATCGGCGAAAAGAAAAGGGAAAACAGGGCACCAGGAAGGAAGAGGCTGTGCCTATAAAGAAGAAGAAAAAAAGGAAGAACTGTGATAAGAGATTCTTCCAAACTCTGCCCCATTACTCTATTCTCGTCCGTTCAATAGTGATCCCCATCCTCCTGACTGCCCGTCTCTGGGCGCCACCTGGAACAGCGGAGACACCCGTTGCAGGGAGCAATCTGATTGAACCTCATGGGGGTACTCAGGGCCTGCCTTGCAAAAGCAAGCACTTCATTCGGCTAATAGACTGGCGAGACCCAAAAAAGAGTTGGGGGACGAGATGATTCCTCGCAAGGTTCGCTCAAAGAGGTTTAGTGCGTCTCGCATGAAGCCGGTAACTCCGGCCTTTCTCCATCAGTCGGTTTCGCGATAGAATTTTGAACAGACACCTCCCTAAGACGATCATCCTGTTGTCGCCATAAGACAGCTCATCTGATAGGACCCTTAACTGTCAAGGATTGCGTTTAGGACCGTTATGCCGTGTCATTGCTGGACTCGAATCAATATATGCCATGCAGCCCAGGCAGTGATGCATGGCCAAGACCGATCGGGAAACATGATCCCGGGAGTCCGTCCGTCCACCAGCAATAAGGAACCGTGATAAGTTCTGGGACGGGATCGGAACTATAATTAGGCCCGATGTTAGGTGCTGAACATCAATGGGAACCTGAAGCTAGGCCTCAAACAGACACGATGGGGTGGGAAATGGTCGTCATCATCATCATCACCATCACCACCATCAACTCCAGGCAGGGAGAGCAAATTGAGCATATGAAATGAAATGCAAGCGACAGACTGATTGATCGGGAGTCACATGCTGGGAAGGGCGGAGAACTTCCTGCAACGGCAAGAACCAAGTAGGGAAGGCGCGACTCCAGCGGAACCCCGCTGCCCGCCTCAGGCATCGAATCAATACTTACACGTCCTATTGACTCTCTCTCTCTCTTTTTATATATCTCACTCTCCCCCACGCAGCCTTCAACCACCAGGGTTTAGCCTTGCGCAGTTAGAAACTACTAATCACAGTATTTGGCACGTCACAGCAAGACTCAGGATCACTCACATCGAGTCTAGCCCCTTCCGTGAGAACCTAGGTGTCAAAATCTCTACGGCCGTATGCTATGGCTACGTTACTATTATTCCTGCTCAATCGACATGGCGCCCCCAGAAACTGGAAAAAGACAGACAGTTTGAAATTCGTTCTTCCCTAACGCTAATAATAGTTCATGTCTTTTGAATGCTTCACGCTTAGATCATCTTCTTGACTTTACTCATTCGCTATCCTTATTCAAAGGAGGGCATATCATACGTATCATCCGGGTCTGTGCACCGTCAGCATGAGCATCATTCGACTGCTCCACGGCAGGTGAAGTTACTTACCTTTGCGGTTGGCCAGAATGTATTTGCGTGTCTCCACGATGTTGTGGCCGAATTCGCTGACCAGTTCGTGCTGCCGAACTTGAACCTTCTCATTCCGTCTGGACGCCCCGATCACGGCTGCCTGCGCCACGTGGTATCGTGAGACGCGGTTCAGCAACATCATATCGAACGGCGTCGTCGTGCTTCCTTCCTCCATGTATCCTTCTACTGAAACTCGGTCCAGGCGGGGCCGCCCAAAGAGCAGACCTTTGAGCTCGCCCGGGTATCCGTGGTAGTTGAAGTGTATCGGCCGGTCCGAGCCAAACAGACTGTCGAAAGCTTCGGTCGTCAATGCATGTGGATGTAGACCTTCCTTCTCCAGAATCATCAAGTCGGTCACATTGACCACACGCACCCGGAGTTCTGGACAACGCTTGCGGAGGATGGCCGCCGCGTAGATGACCTCGAACATCACCTCTACTCCAATGCCAACCAGCACGACATCCGGGTTCAGCCCATTGTCGGTACTACAGAATCTCCAGATCGATGCGCCGGCTCGGCAGTGGCTCTCTGCTTCCTCGGGGCTCAAGTACACGGGAGTTGGCTGTTTTGAACCTACCATGAGGTTGACATAATTCTTGGACTTGAGACAGTGGTGAAGGGTGGTCAAAAATGTGTTAGCATCAGGTGGCAGATAAACTCGCGCGGCGGTGGGCTTCAGCCTGAGCACAGCTCCGATAAAGGAGGGGTTCTGGTGAGAGAATCCATTGTGCTCCTGACGAGCCCACGTACTCGTTTCGATATAGTTGATGCTACTAACCGGCTTATGCCAGGTCGTCTCTTGAGCCTGTAATGGCAGCATCCGTTAGTCTTGGGAGATGCAGGGAGAAGCACAGCAGAAACATACCATTTTGTTAAATTTGGCATATTGCACCATCATGGTATGGATGATTCCCAAGAAGCTTTCGTACGATGGGAAAATGCCCACCCGGCCCGTCAACGTGTATCCCTGCATAAAGCCCTGGCACAGGTGCTCACTGAGCACCTCGATGACGCGGCCGCCTTTGGCATTCGAGAATTGATCCCACTGAAAGTTCCTTCCCGTGTGCGCCAGTGCTGCATCCAGCTTGTTGCTCTCTAGCTCGTCTGGCGAAAATACACGGACGCCATGAGGATTTTGGGTAAACACTTGGTCAATGAACTTTCCAATTGTTTTCATAGCGCTCTGCTGGGAGCCCTTTTCTACGCCAAACTTGCGCCAGTCTGGGAGATCGGGTGCCCTATAGCCCTTGTAGGCTTCTGCTCGCTGCCCAAGCTTCTTGGTGTCTTCCAGAGGGATCACTGACTTGATGTCGTCAATGATGTCTCCCGTCTCAGTGAAAAGTTCGTGCGGATTATACGAGGACAGCCATTTCTGCAGAGCCTGAAGCTCCTCTTTATCCTTCTTTGCATTAGGTAGAGGAACCTGATGTGAGTGGAAAGATCCCTCTATGAATGACCCGTGGAGCTCTTTAGGTCCTGACCAACCCTTCAACAAAGTTAACAGAAATCTAAGGTCGGGGCGGATATAACCATACCTTCGGTGTGCGCAAAACAATCATTGGCCATCTAGGCTTCATAATTGGCTTGCCGGAACGCGCCGCTTTTTGGATCTTGTGGATCTCCTCAACTGCCCACATCATAGAGCTATGGAGATCTGCGTCGATGTCATCCAGGTTCTCAACAATGCGCACCTGGTATCCATAACCCGTGAAGAGGGAGACCAGCTCTTTGTTGTCCATGCAGCCATAAATGGTGCGCTCGCTGATCTTAAAGCCATTAACGTGGAGAATCGGCAGGACGGCACCTGATTCTGCGGGGTCAATGTACTTGATTGCATGCCAGGACCTGTCTGCTGTCAGATCGTGCTCGAATGGGGGATATTGTTAGGTGCTTACGTCGCGGTAGGACCAGTTTCTGCTTCCCCGTCACCAACCACGCAGGTGACGATCATGTCGGGATTGTCCATAACAGCACCAAAAGAGACAGCTAACGCATAACCCAATTCACCACCTTCATGGATTGCACCGGGAGTTTCCGCATTGATATGGCTTGAAGAAGTTAGCTTGGCTTCAGCCAGATTCCCAACAACAGTCATACCTTGGTAATCCAGCACTTGTGCTGAAGGTCGAGATGAGCTCATGGAGACCATCCATGTCTCGTGAGTAGTGGGGGTAGAATTTCTCTAAAGAGCCCTCAAGCCACAGTGAGGCCAAAATAGCTGGCGCGCCGTGGCCAGGCCCGACGACATACAACATATCCAGGTTCTGCTTTCTGATGATGTAGTTCAAGTGAGAGTATACAAGAATCAACCCGGGACATGTTCCCCAGTGGCCTGTAGATATGTGAGCGGAGCTTGCGCTGAGGACAGCAACGAGAGACTGGCTATACTAACCAAGAAGCCTGGGCTTGATGTCCTCGTGCCTTAGATTCTGCTTCAGCAGCACATTGTCTTGGAGAAAGATCATTGCTTGCAACTAATTAGTGAATGTAGGCCGAGTAGCTAGGGATCCTCGATCTCACCAGCAGCAATGTAGGCCGCTGCACGGCGGAATTTCAGAAGGGCATTGTAATCAGTTTCCTCCAAACGCGTCTCTTGAAGTTTGACCTGCAATTGATTGACAAGATCGGGGATGTGTGAAGGCTCAGCCTTGGGATTTGGCCTGTCGATGACCTCTCCAGGCATGATGAGTTGATAGATGTAGATTGGTCAATCGGTAAAACAAAAGGTAGTAAATCCGTGGAACTAAGTATCAGGGTCCGTTCGAGATCCAGGGTCTATGGAGGGGTTAGATCTAATAGCACGTGGAAACAAGAGAGTCCAGCCCAGTTTCTGCATCTGCCAAAGAGAATAGAAGAAAAAGAAGATCACACCACTGTCTCTGCATTGATTAAAATAAGAGCAGGGAAGCGAGGTGGTGAAGTTGTTCTCCGAAGACCCCTGGCAATACGTCACCCGGGGAGTGACATCACCCGCCGTCGCAACCGGGAATTAAGCTGCCACCACCAACAAGCATCAACCCACGACTTCCGAGATCATGACCCGACAAGGATCCAGAAAGGCTATAATTTGATCGCTTTTTCTCTAGCAGTCAGCACGCCAACTTATCGAGTCCCCGTACCCAATTGCTCTGCAACAAAATGGCGCGCAAATCCATCCTCTCCGTCAATGCGGGATCCTCTTCGGTCAAGCTTACCTTCTATACCTACGAGAAAACCCCCAAGGTCATTGCTGCAGCTCAGGTCTCTGGTATCACCGCCCCGCCAGCAAAGCTGAAATACACCAGTGGCGACAAGCAACACAAAGAGGAACTCAAGGAAAGCATCAGTACTCCTCAAGATGCCTTCAAATTCCTGCTCCAGCGCTGCATCTCTGATCCCGAGCTTTCCGAAGTCGCCAGCACAGACGATCTAGCCTATATCTGCCACCGTGTGGTGCACGGTGGAGACTACGAAACGTCTGTTGTAATCACTGACGAAACCTATCATCACCTTGAAAAATTGGAAGACCTAGCTCCATTACACAATTACTCCGCCTTGGAAATTATCCGGCATTGCAGGAAGGAGATTCCATCCGTCAGGAGCATCACCTTCTTTGACTCGGCGTTCCATCAAACCCTCCCCGAACACGTCAAGACCTACCCCATCGACCAGAAGATAGCCAAGTCCAACGGGCTTCGGAAATATGGCTTCCATGGAATCAGCTATTCGTTCATTCTACGCTCCGTAGCCGAGGTCCTGAACAAACCTGCTGACAAGACCAATATCATTGCAATGCATATCGGAAGCGGTGCTTCTATTTGCGCCATCAAAGATGGCAAATCAGTTGATACTACGTGAGACTCACAGTCTTATCGTCGAAGACCTATCATACTGACATCGGTTCACACATAGGATGGGACTCACGCCCCTAGCCGGACTACCAGGCGCCACGCGAAGCGGTGACATTGATCCATCGTGAGTTCCAATATTATTTCTCTGTCCAGAAAAGAGGCTGACCAGTAATCCAGCCTCGTGTTCCACTACACCAACGATGCAGGCAAACTTAGCCCCGCCAGCACCAAAGAAATGCACATCAGCACGGTATGTATCGTATACAACTTCTGAAGAGTACATTCAGCTAACCCATGACCAGGCCGAAGAAATCCTGAACAAGAAGTCCGGCTGGAAAGCCTTGACTGGCACAACCGACTTTGCTCAAATCGCCGTCGAGAACCCGCCGACACGGGAACATAAACTGGCATTCGACATCCTCGTTGACCGCATCGCCGGCTACCTCGGCAATTACTTTGTGAAACTAGACGGCCACGTCGACGCCTTCGTCTTCGCAGGCGGAATAGGCGAGAAAAGTGCGCTGCTTCGCAAAGCAGTTACGGAGAAGTGTCGCTGCCTGGGTTGTGCGGTCGACCCAGGGAAGAATGACAAGGGCGCGGGGGATGGGGAGACGGTAGTGGATATTTCGAGGGGTGATGACAAGGGCCCTAAGGTGTTGATCTGTCAGACAGATGAACAGGTGAGGCATAACTATAGTCCTACTCCTTTTGATGATGCTCGATTTGCGTATAAACGTGCTGCTAACGACGGGAATATATAGTTCGAGATGGCATACGGATGCGTCAATCAGTATGAGAGGCCGTAGACAGCTAACCAGCTACCACCTTGTCAGGACAGACCAAGTATCTACTTACGAAGTAATGAATCGAAAAAGGAAACTCGTTGCAAGACTCTATACCCGATGTAGGTATCCCTTTTCTCCCAGGCATGTAGCCTCCTGTACAAAAATAAAGTTCAGTTCACCTTTCACTTTACTATCTGAGTATAGCCTAGCCCTTACTAAGTAGTACAAACTATGAGAATCTACTTTTCAGCTTACTGGATTGAGGGAAAAGAAGTTATGAACGAGAAACACATCACCCGACAACAACAGCTGGATTGAAGGAATGAACTACCCAACGAACCATAACATAACATTCCAATCACGTTAGTCACCGAGGAACCCGAATGAATGGTCTAGTCCAGATTCTATCGGCCAAGCAGCCAAAATTATCATCTGTTGAAAAGTAGTAATGACAACTGAACAAAGAATCGAGATATTAGTTAGTTACCTCGGTACTCTCTCAACATGAACTACTGTATACTAAGTATATACCCTATATCCCTGCATTAACTTAACACCGTTAAGTATAAACCCCGCTTACTACTACATACTATGTTCCCCGTACTCTCAGTACATAATCGGTATGCCCTGATAGTTGAATCTCATTGGCACACGTAGTGACTTTACAAAGTAGAACCTCAGGTTTGACATCTACAAGCCAAGAACCGTCCACCAACAAATAAGATAACCATAACTACTAGCTCCTACACTCAGACACTTGACAAGATCAAAACCATCCTTTGTCCCTATCACTATCTATCCCAAATATCAGAATACGAGCATGTCTCACAGAGTGAAGTAGAGAGTGAGTGAACCCGGGAATCACATCACATCACACATCAATCACCACCACCACCCCACCCCGTCGGACCCGACAGTCTGGACACTTCCATCAGGGATTTAAAGGGGTGACCTGTGGTGGCGTGTCCGTGTAAAACCTTCCGCGGAAATAAGTTTGTAGATTGTCAAAGGGAGAAGTTAAAATCTGAATCATTCAATTCACTTAGTTAACTAGTTAGTAGATAAGAATGTTGTAGAATGCAGAATATTAGTGGCAATATTATGGTGTTGGGAGGTTGTGATTGGGTGGTTAGTTGTGTCTTTTTTTCTTGTTCCTCTTCTCTTCCCTTCTTTTCATTTTGTTTTCTAGTGGAGGGGTTTTTTTTGTGGAAATACTCAAAGAGAGAGAAATTGGTTGGTGTTGGGTTGGTAGTAGTAGGATTGAGTTGGTAGATATGATGGACGATGACCCCGTGGGTGTCAGTCTTACTTACTCACTCACTCATTCACTCACTTCTTCAGACTCTGATAGGAGAATGCAGTAGTCAGACGGACAGTCAATTAGAAATCCTCTGTAGTTGTCGCTTTGTTCCTTCCCCATCAGCTGATAGAAAGAAAAAGAAAGAAAATCAGAAAAAGCAAGAAAGACATTAGTTTGACCCGCGGAGTTGGTCACTCTTCTCCGTCTGACAGGATAAACTAATACTCAGGTCGTACTTTTGATAAAGAAAGAAGGAAAAAAAGATAGATGCACGATTATCGCGTCACTCCCTCATGCAGCTAGAGGGTTAGCTGGGACATACTGGTCTAGACGGGGCGGCCGCTATCCATGTATAGCAGCACTAAGCAAATAATAATAATAATATAATAATAATGATAATAATGCCCCGGTTCCATTATAGAGATAAGTACGGAGTAGTAACCCGGGGTTTTTACTCAGTAGTAGTCTAGACTATTATGGAGTAACTACAGTAAGTACTTCTGACGGCAGACATGGATGTTTCTTTTCGGGTGGAGCATCAATGTGGCAGCTAAGAATACATCCGAACGGGATGGGATGTGTAGTACTCCGTAGTATAGCTGCTATATGCCGTGTGAAGAGAGAGGATCAGTGGATGAGGGCTCCACTGACAAGGAATCCAGCATCTACCTAAACAGGTATATGTCGCAAGGTCTACACAAATCGCGTAGTAACTGACTATTCTAGAACTTTCTCAATAAGATCAATGCTTCATGGGCAGAGAGTGGAGGCGGATCGCCTCATCTCGGCGGAGATGTATGATCTCTCACTTGCGCAATCATCTCCGGGAGATAGGTAAGTAGAAGGTTTACTCAGCTACTGTAAGAATGATCTGATCTATCTATTCATTCACTAACTAAACTGACTAGCTTTCTTCAGGAAGAATATTATTAGCCAAAAAAGAAAAAAAGAAAATAATAATGCCACTTTGCTAGCTGGGTCCGCCACGGAGGCGACCTGAAGATCATCACTCCGAATCGGGAAGTCTGTCAGATGGGATGGGAATGGATGCATGGACCGGCCCCTTCCTTCCCTTTGGGACGGACGGAGGGTTGCTCACCGTCCAGACTAATGATGAGGCTGACGGACGGGGCAAGGCGATCATCACGCATCAACCCGGTGGTTGCTGATGGTGGTGGTGGGTGGCTGAAGAACAAAAAGAAAATATGGTGTGAGTGTATGTGTTGAGGTGATACGGGGGAGGAAGAGATGCTACCATGACCCAAAAAGGGGAATTGAAATATGGTCCGGAACGGGGAAGCGAAATGAGGTTCCAGAGTGGCGGGTGGATGCGTTAGTCGGATTGACATGGGACTTGATACATCCAGTGGACCGTGGACCTCTTTCTTCCCTTTCCTTCCCTTCCCTTGACTTACTTTACTGTAGCTGTGTAACTTATCACGTATGTATCTATCCCGCCCGTCCGCGCCCCCATCTCTATCTATCTAGCTATCAGGAAGATCATCCTCAGCAGAAATAGGAAAAAGAAAAGAAAGAGAGGAGAGAAATCCACAATGGAGAAAGATAGCAAGCACAAGAAAGAAAAAGAAAAAGATTAGCAGGGCGACACGGGACATCCTTATCAAGTGAATCAGAAATCCCATCTATCGAAAGTCGCCATCCATCCGTCCGCACTGTAAATGGAAAAACCTCCCCTTTCCTTTTCTTTCAGTTCAGCCCCCGTTCGTAATAATGAGCCGGGAACCCAAAGGGATTTGCAGACGATCCGATCAAATTTTCCCCCCCTTCTAGAACGCCATCCCGTGGGTGAGGTGGACGCTAAAGGAAAGCCGGCTGCAATTCCGCGCGCCTCTAGTGCTGTAGCTCTGTAGGGTTATCGACTTTTCTCTGTCTGTGAGGCACCACCAAGGTGGATCAGGGGGGAAGAGAAGAAAAGAGAAGGGGGAACATCGTTACCTGGTTGGGGATAACGGGTTGGACGTGTTATTTTTGTTGTTGGTGATGTTTGGTACGGAGTACAGAAGTAAGACTGCAAATTACTTACTTTGTACATACTCACTGGATCAGTCATGTCGCATGGATTCTGATTGCATTATTAGTTATGAGTTATGGCGAGAACTAAAATGATTGAATGGATGAATGACAGACAGCTCAACTCTCAGTCAGCTCAGCTCAGCTTAGGAACTTTGCCTAGAGCCTTGGCAGGTACCAGCCGACCAGGTTTCCGGCCTTAAAGTTCAGGTTCCTGAGTTGAGCGAACGCGCCACTGTCAAGGCACGTGTTCCACTTGGATGGAGATGGTTCAAGTTATTGTGAAGAATATTATGCCTTGATTGAAGATCAATGAGACAATTGATTTCCAGCAAGGAAGTACTTACCTGTACTCATAACGGCAATTGGCCACTCACTCTTTCGGGGATTTCTTCACTCAACGCACATACATATTACTGGGTAGAGAGGCAGGTTAAGCTACCATGTAAATGCAAGACTAGTACTTACTTACTATCCGTTCATGTGAAACAATGTCTTCAGTCCTGCTTCTGCACAGGAAGTAAAAAATGGGTAAATTCTCCCAAAAGTACTGATTCACTTACGGGAGGCCAAAAAAACGCTTTGGCATTAACTATAATCAATCTAGCAAATGCAGGCAGACCTTCCCCCTGCGTCGGTCGCATAACCTCGCCCATTCCCCGTCCCATAGTTTCTGCAAGGTACTATGCAATGGCGAACAGACCTCTTCAGAAGCACATCATCCTTTTTCCCACTTAGCTATAGTAGTAGTAAGGGTAGTAAGTAGTCTCTGTTCCACAGCAGATCGGTCGATCCTCTCTAACCTTCATCTGGGATATGCTCTGCAGACTGCAGTATGTGTATGCATCTATCCACATTCATCCATCATTATATCTCTCTTGTGGCTGAATTAAAACGATCTGCTGCAGGAAAAACCCCGATATCCAGCCATATCCAGCGACAGCATACTGTACAGTAGAACAGGGTCTCGATCATTCTGTTTTGTTCCCATTCCACGGAAAATAATAATGAAAATCAAACGAAACGTTGAGGTAAGTATGTATTTGCTAGATTTGTTTTCCTGCATGGCTAATGCACTCTGCCGATGCGGGCTGAATCATGTCCAGTCATATTTGGTTATTTTGGGGTTTGCAGAAAACTAAACCATGCTTAACCCTTGAACCTTGAACCTGGTTGTGGGAACGAACGAACCAACGAACGAACCATCCGGAGGTAAAGTAAGTAAAGTAAAGTACATATCTACTTAAGTAGTAGTAGTAGTGGTACTTCTTGTCCGTGTTCGGGTTACTTCGGCCCATCGATCCATCGGTCAATCAATCAATCAATCAATCTGCATCCAACCACCATCATCGGAAATCCTAGACATGTTTCGAATGATCACAAACATGGACGTCCACACATGACAGGTCAGTTTTTCTCATCACTGTTGTCTTGTGCGGGATTAATTAGTGGCTTGCAAGAACAAAAGTCCGGAGTGATGGATCATGAAACTAATTCCAATCATGATCATGTGGCCTGATTCCTGTTTACTTACCACTTACCGGAGTTGTAAGCAAGCAACTAGCGACGGCCCTCAATGGATGGATGCATTATCTATCCAATTCAATATATCCCCAACGCCCTATTCAGACCAGTCAGTCAGTAGTCGGACAAATAGATAGTCAGATAGCCCGAATAATCAGCACAACTATCTATCTCCAGCAAGCAAATAGTTAACCATATCGGATCGGAAGGATCCCAGCCATCCATCTATGTCATGCCGTTTATCCCAATCCTCTTCAATCCTTCCAATGATTCGGCCTTCCAAGACCGACCGACCCAATAAAATTCATTATATCCACAAGTTAAAACACTCTCTAGCGTCAGCGGAACCCGGAAAGAAAACTCTACTTACTACCTTTGGCTTCCCTTCCCTTGTCTCCTCTAATTCCAATAGGGCAATACCGCCCAACGGTTCCCTTTCCCTTCTCGCTAGACCAAAGTACTCGTTAGTCCCATTCCTCCGGTTTCTAGCGCCGTTCTAGCCCCCCCGTAAGCCAATTACGGAGGATTAATCCACTTCTTGGGATGGAGTCGTGGTAGTTCGCCTATCGAGTAATTTCCTCTTTTGGGGAGATGTTCGGGCCGTTGAGACGGGGACCATGAATATTTCTGCCTTATAATCGTAGATTTTGCAATTTGTGGGTTTAATTTCGTATTTCTGGGTTACTATTTTTTCTTTTTGGGCAGCCTGCGGGTTTAGATGCATAGAGTCCCGGGGACCATGACGGATGGTACGATCCGCGAGCGAACCATGGTTGGATGGGGAAGGACAGAACCATCCGGATGGGCCTTCTAGAATCGTTCTGGAAGAGGTTGTTGAGTTGACTTGACCCATCCGGGCGCAGTGAGTGGAACACTTGCTTGCGTTTTCCTTTTGTTTATGTTTCTGTTGCTGTTGCTCGATTTGATTACTGGACGTTTGGGGCGTGGGAGGGTGATGGTCGGCTGTTGGGCCTGGATTTCTGGGGGTCAATTGACGAGTACTATTATTATTGATGTAGTGTGGTTTGTTATTGTGTGGGTGTAGGTTCGGCTGTTTGGTCCAGGATTCTGATGATAAACAAAAAAAACCAAGCTAAGGTGTCACATGTAGCCGAGGACGGCTTGTCGCAAGTAATGGGAAGAGAACAGATACAAGTCATGCCATTCCATTGGATGGGATGGTCTCATGTCTCGGAATCTGATGCTATCAGCAACTTTACTTCTTACTGCTAACGCAGTCATAACGTCTTATTCGACCGACCACAAAGAAAAGGCCAACTATGTTCCTTTCAATTGGTTCACCTCATTGGCTAGTCAGAGAAGACGGGAAAAAGTACGAACCAGTCGTGAGATAAGGTGTAATCAGACATCCCAAAACAAAGATAAAGCGCCTACTGTGTGACTGTGACAGCTAGCTCAAATCCATCGGTTGGATTGAAACACGCGTACGCGCCAGCCTAGCAGGGTGTCCCATGTTGCGAATCCCGGTACATGCGTCGCTTGGCGCTTTGTGGCATTGTTTCTCCGCGCAGATCTACAGCGACGTGAAGACGGTATACTAAGCAGTTAACTATCAGAGGATCAGAAGATAAACCCAAGTTAGCAAGAGGTTGGGCAAACGTGGGCGGCATTGAGCAGCTCGAGTCAGTCTAGAATTCCACTCGTCTCGACGTTACTACTTTGCCCCATTGTGGCGAATGTCAGGAATAGAAGTGGTAAGAATGATGTAGTGGGATGGGCTGGTGGAGTCGAATAATTTAGCCCATACTGCGTAACGACGGTCAAGCGACAGGTAATTTGTAATTCCAGCCACAATTTACAGAACAAAAGACAAGGGTGGGAGCTTGCTTACCTGAGAAGCAACTAAGCTAACTTCCTCCATACAGCCGGAGATGTCAACCCCCAGAAATCCGCACAGGGCTGCGAATCCCCCAATTTGTCGGGGGTGGGAAGAGCATCCAGATTGTTCTCCGAGTAGTTTTAGAGGGCTCCTGGACCCAGCGTAAATTGAGCCTATCGTTTACTAAAGTCTGGTAGTCTGCGATCGTAGGACCGAAAACCTGCAAAAATTGGCGCGCTGGTTCTGGTCGCTCGCAGCTCCATCCGCGGTCGCGGGGGCGAACAGGCAGGGCGAGGGCGCTAGAAGGACTAGAAGCGCGCGAGAAGAATGCGAGTTGCACAATAATACGTAACGGAGGCGGGTAACAGTGGATTTGCCGGATCATGGATCGTTATTAAGGGGCCCCACTGCCCCTTTCAGCCAGCCGATTTCCCTGGTGACCAAAGGGAAGGAAGTTGAGAGACCGCAGAAGAAATCAAGAGGGCGGAAAAGAAGTCCAGCGGGAAATGAAGAGGGAGAAAAAAGAAAAAAAGAAAGTAAAGACAGACAGTGTCTTGAAGTCAGCTTGGATTCGCTTAGTAGATAGTTGACCTGTATATGTTGATTGCTCACTCAGAGACAAAAACGAGACCAGAATTGACAGAAACCGGTGCTAATTTCTCTGTGGCTGACATGAATCAACCAGGAGAAATGGTGGGCCAGGCTAGGGTAGGCCCATCAATAAACAGTGTTCTTGGTCGCGAATAGTCTCCCGAAACTACTCCAAACTAAAGTGCAGCAGGTGACTAACTACCGGACGGAAAGCTTCTGGATTGGTTCTGAACCTGGTTAGGTACCCTGGTCCTCCGTATCCCCGGCGGCTTAGTTAGTAGGCCAACTTCCCGTAGGGTTGAATGCCTGCTTACTTACCCATTGCGGATGAAAGCAGACAACAGCTGGTCGTCAAAGTACTGAAGTACTTTTTGGACATGCTTCTACGCCCAGGATGATTAAAGTGATAGCCCAGAGCTCTGGACCTTACCTATCAAACTATGGTTGGCGCCATCAAAGTTCGATCATCTCGATCGTACAGTAGTCGAGCTCGATAGATAAGTGCGGCTATGCAGGTACTCCGGCCCTTCCAGGATGTCTAGCCGTGTTAGGGGGGAGCTACCGACAAGGGTGCGCCGCTCTAAATCTTAGCAGCCACCACTGGTAAATAATAGATCCAGCCCGAAAATTCAGAGACCCCGTTTCATAGGATGAGAGGCAAATATTGATGAGCAAAAAGGGAAGTAGAAAGAAAAGAAAAAAAAAATGAAAAATAAATAAAACAAAGAGAAAAGTCAAAACATTTGCATGGGGTCATGCTGTGCAAAAGCACCCAGAGAGAGCTGGCTGGCTAGCTAGCTATGGCATCCCATGGAATTTAGAATACGTAGGGTTTCCGGGAAACAGACTCCTTCCTCCCCCCATCCAGGGGCCCCTGACTCTGGTTCTTCCCTTTCCCCCCCAACACCACGCGAGAAAGCATCAGGTCAAGCCCCAGCGGACCCATTGGTGCTGGATTCGGATCCATCCGCGGGATCCTGTGAGCGGCTGCTTTCCCCACCCACCTGCACTCAAACCTGCCCGTCGCGTCCGAAGAATCGGTTCCTAGCTTCTGACTGATGTTCTCCGTACAGCCAGTGGAGAACCTCAAAATTTCTTCTGAAGTGGTATTTTCCTTTTTCCATTACTGGTGTGGTGGTCGCCAGAATGATGAAGATGACTGCTGAGGAGTGGCTAGATTCCCCTGTGTCATTACAGATTTACAGTACCTTTACTCCTAGTCTGAGAGGTCAGTCCCTTGACTGGTTGGGCAAAGTCTTCTCCGAACTGGGCCATGATCGATGGAATTCTCTGTTCAGAAACAGCCTAGGTAAGGTCACTTCCGTTACGGATTAGACGGACTCTTCCTGTGGTTTCCCTACAATTTCCGAGACGAACCCGTGTCTAGGTATCAGCCATTATCGGGAAGGTCTAGTAGCAGCTGACGGGGGGAAGGGGATGATGGGATGCGGAGATGCGGATAGAGAGCCATTTGAGTGAACGGGAATAACATGAGGCGACTCAGACAAAGAAGCAAAGGGATGGAATGGAAAAGAGACGGACTCGTATCAATAATGAATACCAACCTTCGCCTGAACTACCTCTTGCTTAGTAGGTGGCTACAGAGTTTCCCGTCGAGAGAGGCGTCACGACGTTGGTGACGGGGGCCAGAAACCCCTAAGAAAAGAAAAAGAAAGGGGGAAATGGATCGCACCCACTCCTCTCACGTACTACGGTACCTTACCTTCGGGACGGGAGAGCCGCCTAGCTATGCTAAAGAGAGCTGTTGCTCTACTATTATTATTATTGTTAATATTACTCCTACTGTATGCGTATTTTGCTTTTATTAATTTCTCTGTCTCTCTCAAATTTCTAGCCTTTGTTGTATTACTATTATTCTGTCATTGCTCCGTTTACACACTCTTCTGGCCAGTTTTAGCCTCTTACTCTCTCCGTAGTTTTTCCATTTTCCCAATTGGATATTTCGCCTTTTATTTTATTTTTCCTTTTTAGATTTTTCTTTTTGTGTTTACTTTTCCTGTCTATCCCCGTATCTAGATTAGGTATCTTGCTCTACCTTTATTCTGAATTTCTATTTTTTTTGACTTCCTACTTTCAGAAGTTTAGGTTCTTTTCTGTCCAGGCTGGAAAGTACCCCAATCTGAGCATTAAAAATTTAGAACTAAAAAAAATAAAAAAATAATAATAATCATAAAGTAAGAAGGTCTAGTCACTATATATCTATGGGATGGACCCCCTTCAACCATCTGGCTACTAAATTCTTCATCCATCCATTCCTAAAATCAATTAAACTCACCCTTCCTCCTCATCCAGCTCCTCTCGTCTTCCTCCCTACGTACTTCCGCCCATTCCCTTCGCCCTCGGCTCTATTCCCGATCCTCCTCGCCGTGACGTTACCAGGCCGCGTTCCATCCTCCCTTGCGATACGTCCAGTCTAGCTTGGTTTCTTTTTCTTTTTACCGGATTAGACGGAGCTCACTTCCGTGCTCCTTTCCAGGATCACCTCCTTGCCGGCTGCATTAGTCGCTCTCCGTGTCCTTGGTCGCTGGTTCTTGATCAGATCGCGCTTGTTCCCTATTACCATCATCTGCACGTCTCGCGTACTTTTTTATCTCTCCTCGCTCTCCTACCACCTGGAAAAAAGTTCCCAAGGGGAAAGGGGAAAAAAGAAAACAAACGTCTTCGAACCGCATGAGTGTCCAAAGAGAATAAAAAGGAGGAAAAAACAAAAGAAAAAAGCGACCTGTCGACTGGGTTTAAGGACTCCACCCTTCCTCATTCTTACACGCCCATTTCTTGGTACTTAGACGTCGCATTCCTGCCCTACTCAGATCTGCCTACGCTTGCCGTGACCTACACCACCCTGTCTCGTCTCCAACCCAGTGTCAGACTTGTGCGCCTTAATAAGGATCGCACTTCCGATCTCACCTGCAGCCTGCATCAATCTGTCTGCGTCGTTACCGCCTGTTCGCTGCCGGGAATCGTTTGGGTACCTCGCTAGTCGCTTTACACGATCTATCAACACGACGCACAGTCAGAATAATAATCGAGCTCTTTTTATTTATTAATAATTTCTTTTTTGGGAGGGCCCGTCGTGTGTTTATTTAATCTTCCTGTGAGTACACTTCTCCCAGGCTTGAAACACACATCTCCCTTCAAAACATCTGCCTTCGCTTCTCTATATCTTTCCCACCGTCTTCCACTCCTTTCCAAAAAAGAAAAAGACCTTCAGCATCTGACCATGGCCATTCGCTCAGAATCTGCAATGATACTGCGAGATCTGTCAGCCTTCAACATGGGACGAGGAGCTTATGACACTACCGGAGTCAAGAAGCCGGGTGCACCACCGCCGCCGCCTTCGACCCGATGAAACCCTTGGAGACATCTGCCAACCACATGCTGCTGTTCTGCTGTTCTCTCGAGCGAAAAGTTATTTGTGACTTGCAACTGGCGCATGGCTCCTGGAGTTTGACGTGACTACTATGAAGTCGAGCTTGTAAGTTGCCTAGACACAGCATTTCCCGGGTGGTCTGGTTCCCGACTAACAACGAATCATAGTTCCTGTACCACTACTATTTCCTGCTTTTACTGCGTTGTCCTTTTGCCGCCATTGGTTTCGGTTTCTACATACTTTCTAATCACGCCCTTTCCGCCGTGGACTTTTTTTTTTTCTTCTCACCATGGAACGACACGGCCACCACCTATTTCTTTTCAATTCTTCGATCGACCCTTTTTTTGCCTCCATACACCTTTAATCCGCCGACACGAACCAGCTCAGATCTATGATCTGTTCCACCAAAAGTGATTTGTCGAGATTTGTTGTTTTCTACTTGGTCTGCTTTACTACCGGCGTTGGGAATAGACAGGATGGGGTTATTTCTTTTTTTGAGTTGGGATACATGGATTGATACCAAAGACAGATTAGAACGATGGACCTCGCGGTCAAATACCTGGATTTCATTATTTTCCTATTTCTTCCAATTTCGTCATCATTTGCTCCTTAATACAGTTTGCTGCTAAAAATTGAATCTGGATTCTTCAATGCTTCTTTATTTTCTAGAGCCAGAGTGAGCTTTATTCATCGTGGCTGCGTTAATGTGGACGAATGGTGTTGTGAGTACACTACTTCTGGTAACTATAAACAGGAGTTCATGAGTTGGGTAATTACTACTATTACTTCTACACTGGCGTGTCACTCCCATAATGTGAAAATCGCAAATTCACCGCATCCGTACGGGGGAAGAACTGAGGGAAGGATTTCGGCACCCGGACGAGACCCCGACGATGACATCTAACCGTGATTGTCTTCAGGGTTGTTTGACGGGAGCCCACAGAGAGCGCCTTCAATCTGATTTGCCGGGGGAAGGGCAGTGGCATTATCTAGGTGGATCCCTGGCCGAGAATCAAGAAGTTCGAACGGCGTGCATGTGCTTCTTTTTTGGGCAGCCACCGGGTCTGCACAAATCATGTCGTGCAACGTTGGCTCCGTGACACGACTGGATGCCATTGGGGAGGCGTTTCCAACTGTCTGGCCGGCGATCATGGGCCGTTGGAGACCTATGGGCACGTCATGCTCAGACGCCATGGCATGCTGTTGTTCTGTCGGTCTTTGTTGTTGTTGTTTACCCCGTGCCTACTTTGCGACCTATAGATATGCACCTTAAGGGAATTTCTGGCGTTGAGTTGGGCCAGATCGCTTGCCTACCAATCATGGGCGCCCTGATGGTCGGGGTTTGGAGTCCTGCTCTAGAAAGATGATCTGTCGCATTTCCCGCGATAATCAGGCCCCAATGATGGAATTACAGTTGAGAATAGGGAGGAGATACTATCTATCTTCTTCTGCGTTGGAGCCGGTTGATGTCTCGATGGGTATCGACAGCAGGTGTCACGGGTAAGCTGCTTTGTTTCAGGAGATAGTTTAGGGAGCAGCTTGCTTTCCCATGTACGTCGGATGTATCTACAGGTCGAGTGTGCGAAATCCACTGGACAGAAGGAAAACACCAAACAGCCCTAAACCCTTCCAGCCTGTACCTCTCCGCTGTTGTCACCTGTTTCTACCCGCAGAGCCACAATTGTCTCATTCTCTGTCTGACTGCCCGTTCGTTTTCTCCCCATGGGACCAGAACCCATCGAAGTACTGACTGGTACCTGACGAGCACTCACAAAAATTAAAAAGATAATTTTTTCTGTTTGGAGAATTGCGGGAACATCCCGTGACTGCCCGTCCGCCTTGGGCGCGCTAACCGAGTCAGGCATCGCGCCGTCATTCTACTTCACCCTCCGCCTCACTGCGTATCTACCTAGGCCGTAGCATCTCTCTCTCTCCCTCTCTCTCGCCGTCATTGCGCTCTCTCTCCATCACCTTTTCCCGTCCACCGCCATTTCACTCTGGTACCGGTGCGTAGTATACCTCCTTCTCATTTGTCCATTTTCTCCCTCCAATGTTCCCTCCGTCACATTACCCCTGCTCGATTCTGGCCCTTTCCTCCCGCCCCCCCTCCTCATCCGGACTCCCTCGTGTGTCTTGCTTACGTCTTCCTTCAGGCTACTACTCCCGAGCAGTGCTCTCTGTATCCGCTCGGCCTGTGCCGCCCTTCGCGAGCTGAAATCATCCTCCAGATTGATAATCATTCCTAGTGTGGGCTTGTCCTGCAAGACGACCTGATCGCATACCATCATCGCCTTCGTTGGGCTCTCGAGCCATGTCTGAATCAACCAGCACAAATACCCCCAAGCCGAGTAGCAGCGTCAAGCTGGTACTTTTGGGTGAAGCCGCTGTGGGAAAGGTACGACCAACCTCGGCACTTTCCTTGCTTTGACCTCCGCGTGGTACCTGAGTAACCAAAGAAGAAGACTGACAATGAACGCAATGGATGATTGCCCATTATAGTCCTCCCTGGTGCTGAGATTTGTCAACAACGATTTCCAAGAAAACAAAGAACCAACTATTGGAGGTAAGCTTTTCCCGACTCTGGCAGTTACAGATCACCTTCTCTGGATTGGGAAAAGAGAGGGAAAGGAAGAAGAAGGGAAATTGTTCCCGGTTTTCTTTGGTTTCCGAAAGTGGCCGTATCTCCGATGCTGATGTCATTGCCTCTATCATAGCTGCATTTCTCACCCAAAAATGTTCCCTGCCTACGCGAACGATCAAGTTCGAAATCTGGGATACCGCCGGTCAGGAGCGTTTCGCTTCGCTCGCTCCCATGTACTACCGTAACGCCCAGGCGGCGCTCGTGGTCTATGATGTTACCAAACCGTCCTCTCTCACAAAGGCTAAGCACTGGGTTGCGGAACTCCAGCGACAAGCTAGTCCCGGCATTGTGATCGCTCTTGTTGGCAACAAGCTGGATTTGACAAACGACGGGAACGAGGCGACCGGGGAGTCGCCCGCTGATGCTGAGGGCGAATCGTCTACGGCCGATGCAGATGAAACCGCCGAAGAACCTCAGGAAGCACAGGATGTCACTTCCGGCGATGCTCGGAAGGTGCCTACACGGGAAGCTAGCGCCTACGCGGAGGAAGAGGGCCTCCTGTTCTTCGAGACTAGTGCCAAGACGGGCACGAATGTCGTGGATGTCTTTACTGCGATTGCCAACGCGATCCCGGAGAGCAGCCTGAAGAGTGGACGAGCAGGTGGCGCTGGCACGGGCCAGACTAGCCTGAACAGCGGTCGTCCGGCCGAAGACTCGCGGGTTAACCTGGGGGAGCGCGGCCCGGCAACTGCAAAGGAAGGGTGTGCCTGCTAATCTCGGATTGTTTTTTGCAGCGTGTCATGGGCTTTTGGTCGTGCTTCTTTCGTTTTTGCAGTCCCCTTTTTACTGTTCAGATACAATGTCAGGTTGATTACACGGTAATGTCCTGCGGCAGTGATTCCCCGACCGTCAGGACCAGACTGACATGCAGCTTGAGCCATTCTCATTTCCCGGCGTCTTGAGTGTTCTGTTCTGCTATGATACTGCATTACCTGTTTATCTTTTTCTGTTTGTTTTCGATGACTATGCAGAGTTAGTATGGCGATTAAGGGAATGGCAAAGATTTGTACAGAGAACCAGTCAGGTTCATTGCCAGTCAGCCATAATCATAGAATAAGAATTCTGCGATACAGATGCAATATGGAATATTGTTCTATATGATAATTAGTATGATAGACAGCAAGCATTTCTCGCCATACTGTAATGTAGATGGTTAATGGTTGATGATCCGAAAAGGGCAGAGGAGTCACGGGACCAGACATCCCCTAACTAGTCCCAAACGGGACTACGGCCACCCGCTAAGCGAGAGGCCGAGCCTCCGATCCCACAGCCGACCCAAGCGCAAATTGGAGGACGTTCGAGAGATCTCCGTTCAACCACCAACCTCGACAACCAACCTCACGACAGAAGGCAGCATCCGCAGCACAGCCAGCTACCCGTCGCTCGTCTGCAATCATGGCTGCTATCAACAAGATCGCCATCAACTCGCCGTCGAGGCAGAACCCCTCCGAGCTGGAGACCGCGATCGCCGGTGCTCTCTTCGACCTCGAGAGCAACACACAGGACCTGAAGGCCACCCTCAGGCCCCTGCAGTTTGTCTCTGCCCGTGAGGTAAGGATGATTTGGTTTTTTCATACATAGCCTCCGTCCGTGTACAGATCAGAGGCGTCGAGAGTTTTTGAATCGCGGAAATTGCCAACATACGAGACGTTTTGGGGAAATATCAAATATCCATGTGGATATTGTGCGTGTGTGCGGTCCGCACCTGGATGATGTATACGTGTGCTTGGGGACTGAATACCACCAGCATCGAGGAAAAGAAGAAAAAAAAAAAAAAAGAAACGAATTGAATCGTCCCAACAACCGACCGACACTCTGATCTGCTGCGCGAACTGGGGATAAGAAAATTATTTGTTTTCTCGGATTGTGCGCAATTTGATATTGACTCTACTATCACAATAGGTCGAGGTCGGCCACGGCAAGAAGGCAGTCATCATCTTCGTCCCTGTCCCTCTCCTCCAGGGCTTCCACAAGATCCAGCAGCGGTACGATTTTCCACTCCACAATCATCACCTCCACACCAAATAAAATCTACACCAACATCAACCCCGGAATGTGCCAGCCACATGATACCCACAACCCCCGGAGTGTTGGCAATTAAAAAAACGAAACACCAGAACCATAACTGACAATGATATCATAGCCTGACCCGTGAGCTCGAGAAGAAGTTCTCCGACCGCCACGTTCTCTTCGTTGCTCAGCGCCGCATCCTGCCCCGCCCCAAGCGCTCCGCCAGCTCTCGTTCCAACCAGAAGCAGAAGCGTCCCCGTTCCCGCACTCTGACTGCTGTCCACGACGCCATCCTCACCGACCTCGTCTACCCCGTCGAGATCGTCGGCAAGCGTACCCGCACCAAGGAGGACGGCTCCAAGACCCTCAAGGTCATCCTGGACGAGAAGGAGCGTGGTGGTGTTGACCACCGCCTTGATGCCTACGGCGAGGTCTACCGTCGGTTGACTGGCCGTGCTGTTGTCTTTGAATTCCCCCAGGGTGGTGCCGACTACTAGAAAGGATCAAATTTTTTTTCCTCTTTTTTTTTCCTTTTTAATTTGACAAGTGACAAATGTGACAAGACAAGAGACTAAAATTTGATTTGACTACTTCTTCCTCAATTTCTTCTTACTCGTCCTATTCTTCCTTTTTTCTCCTTTTTTATATCTTTCGTCGGACTTCCTCAAATCACGTACCATATGCATGTGGCTCGGGGGCATGCAGAACACACACAAAACATTTCAATCTACGATTTCCCCTCCCCATCTCCCTCCCCCCTCTTGTTTTGTTTCCTGCATGTTCTCCCCCCACCACCACACCCGTCAGTCACCTTCTTGCTTGCTTGCGGCTCTGTGGGTTGAGATTTTGAGACAGTGAGGTTCTGGTCAGGTTTCTTTCGGTCGGTCGGTCGGTTCTGGTACATGGTTTGTTGGGGGTTTCGGGCAAACCGGGTATTGAGGATTGAGGGGGGTTTGAAAGGAAGTCAAGTCAAGTGATTGTCGTCTTGGTTGCAGTTGTCATTGTCATGTTAGCTACAAAAAAAAAGAAAGGGAGAAGGAAATGTGATTGGTAGCTATAGGGCTAGGGGAACACCTTCAAAAGAAAATGCATTGTGATGTCGAGTGTATGATTTCTGACTTCCTTTTCCAGGTGTATTGATTTTCTGGGGAAGTAGTAGTAGTAGTAGTAGTAGTAGTAGTAGTAGTAGTAGTAGTAGTAGTAGTAGTAGTAGTAGTAGTAGTAGCATATTTCCATGTTGTTTTGTAAATGTAGCGTAGTTGGGACTCATACTACTAGTAGTCCTGGTTTGAGGTTAGCTCGTTATTAGAAGGCTTACTAGGTACTACTTACTGGCTGTCAGGCTGTTGGCTAAGCCTTATACTATTGTGGGTTCGTTGTGTGTTGATTAACCATCGTATTATCAGGCGTGAACTACAACCATACCCACCAGCATTTGATACTATGGTATGCTCTGGAAATGAGAATTAGTAAAAAGAAAATACGGTATATGTATATCTAGAGAAAACAAGGTATCACCAACATCCATCACCATCTATACAACCCAATGGAACCAAACAACCATCTATCTATCTACACAATCTCCCTCACAATTCTCCCCACCCCCAACACCATCCAATACGCCAACTCCCTCTTAACCGTATCACTCCCACCCGTCCCGGCCCTTCCGACCGCCTGTTCACTATCTATCTGATTATCCGAATCCCACTCCATATGCACAAACACCGGAATCTCCAGCACATCTTCATCCGGCTGTAACTGCTGGTTGGGATCAGATGTCTGTCCGCTCCAGTCGAAACCCGGGTCAGAGTCGGACTCGTCATCGTCAGAGTTCTCATCTTGGTCGTCTAAGTCATCGGTAGGGCTCTTCTTCTTCGTCTTGTCTTTCTTGGTCTTGTTGGTAGAGGAGGAGGGTTCTTTCGCACCACCAGGTAATGTCCCTGGTACGACTTCCAACACCACGGTGGTCCAGTTCCGTCCTTTGTCCCAGACTTTCCCGGCCTCGGCGACTTTCTCATACACGCCTAGCCCTCCGGATCGGGATCCGCGGGGGTCAGTTCCTGTGCCCGCGGCAGCAGTGGTAGTAGTGGTAGCCGAAGTACCCTGGAGGGCTTCGTCCCACACATCGCTGTTGGCGCCAATGTCGAATTGCGGACAGAGGATAGTTACTTTGGAGGCCACGCGGCCCGGGGTGACGGATGGCGTGGCGAGTGTGACGCGGACGGGATCGAACATGTGATTCTTCAGCGTGAGGAGGAGTTGGATGGGTCGGAGCGGGGAGAGAGCGTCCAGGTTCGGGTTCGTCGTGGAACTTGAGGGCGTCGGGAGAACGGTGGTAGTGGTGGTGGTGGTGGCTGGGGAGGGACTGGGATTCAGCGGCCGTAACGTCGGTAAGGGAATGTAGCTGAGGGCAATCAGGCGGATGCGGAACCGCGTGGACTGTGGTTTCAGTTCGGGTTTGACAAGGATGTGCTTGCACGACTTGCATCGTTTGGACCGCTTCGTGCGAAGTAACACGGGCAGCGGGAGGAGGTCCTCTACGAACCGGGCATCAGGAGATTGGAAGCCGCGTTGTTCGATGGAGGCGAGGCCGTCCCATCCGCAGTCCGGGGAGGACATGCGTTGGATCAGCGTGTCTTCGGCGTCTGGGGAGGGGATCTTGAGCCCCTCGCTGGCTGTGAGGGCCTCTCGCATGACGGGTGGTTTGGTTTTGGGCTTTTTGTTGGCTCCGCCGTAGAGGCTGCTGAGGCGGGATGAGGAGGTGTAGAGAGACATGATGCGGTTTAGGGCACCGGGGGAGGAGAAGCCGGAGCCGAAGTCCATGCCTAGGGGGTCGGTTGGGGAGGAGGATGTCGCAGAGATTTGGTTCTTGTAGAAGTTCTTGAGTGCGTGGAATCGGGCATCTGGGGTGAGAGGAGCGCTGGGCTGGTCTAGAGGAGAGTCTTCGGGCTTATTCTCTCCTGGCGGTGGGAAGTGCTCGTCGATAGAAGAGTATGTGGAGAGGGGAGATTTGAGATCCCCGAACGTCCGGGACATTTGTCTCGAGCGAGCAGGAGTGATTTCGGTCATCTTGGACAATTGAGTCCGAATGTTGGTCGGTTTATCGAACTTGATGCCAATATCCAGCGTCGACCACATGCAGTATCCGCAGGACAACACCCAGGGGCCTTGTTGGCTGGTGCCGCCTGTCACGACGTTTTCGAGGGTGTTGACGCCCAGAGGGGCGGTGCATATCGGGCAATTGAAGCAATTGCGAGCACATCTAGCATTTACCGCATTAGAACACACTTGTAAAGGCTTGAGGACGTGTATATCCTGCTCAACCTACCGATTTCCCTCACTCCGGACCATACTGCTGGGCGTCTCGAACAGGCAGTTCGGACAGTACCAGCACACAATCTCCTCGGTTATGCATCGCGGGCACTTGATCTGATGGCAATCCTCGCAGTAAAGCAGCTGCTCCGGGGGATACAGAGAGAAATTGGCGCGCGGAGACCGAGGATCGAAAGCCTGTTCATCTTCGTCGTCATCCGGGCGCAGGAGAGGTTTGGGTTGATCGGGGTTGTTGGATTTCTGCGGCGACTCCCTGGACCTCCGTTTCTTCGCCGGGTCAGGAACGGGGATATTGGCGCAAGGACAAGATATGAAGGTGTAAGGGAAGGGGCGTGACATGTTGAAAAATTCAGTCAAGATATTGCTTATTGCATTCTGGGCGCATCATCAATAAATCAGTATGGGAGCCCGAAAACAACATCAGGGGGGAAGCAGGAAGCACCATACCTAGAACACCAGTAAATATAACCATACAGGACACAATTCAAGCTGATATCTCACTGAAATCTGCTTCCAACATACCCATAAGACCCATCACACATAAAAAATCGTAGAGAGAACAACCCCGCGACAGGAGGACGCGACGTGGCGGGAGAAAATGCGGAGATCGATTGGATTTCTCGCCGACGTCACGTTCCGCTGCTGAACTGCCTCCAACTTTTCCCCTTCCCTCTAAACCCATCCCTCCTCTCAATCCCGGCAATTCAACTCCAATACATACCCAGAGACTTCAAAATGTCTCTGTCTCACATATTCCGACCAGCACTGCGCTCCCCGCGCATCTACAACAGACGCACACCGTCCTACACATTATCACCATCATGCCCATCACGCCGCACCTACGCCAGCCAAACGCCCGGCAACCCAGTCATGGAAATCTTCAATCGAAAAACTAAGCATCTGCAAAAGGACCGCGCAGCCCGCAATGTCGAGGAGAGCCGCAAGACCGACTACATCAAAGATGAAGTAGCCATGCGGCTATGTGAACGGTTGCTGGTATACCTTCCCCCCAAACCTACAACACCAAATAGATAGAGAAAGCATACTGAATGGAATGCAATAGGACATCAAACGCACCTTCCCCCAAGTCCTCGACCTCGGCGCCAACAGCTGCAACATTGCCCGCGCTCTCACAATGCCCGACCCAGACCCCGACGCTCCCAACGGCAGCTCCCCGCCTCTCAGCACACGCATTGGGCAATTAACCTGCGTCGACACCTCCGAGGCTCTTCTCTACCGCGACGCAGACGAGCCTTTCAACGACCAGATCTCCCTGAAGCGACAAATTGTCCCGGATCTCGAATCCCTTCCCTTTCCGGAGAATTCCTTCGATGCGGTGCTCTCGTCGCTCTCGATCCACTGGATCAATGATCTGCCCTCGCTGCTGGCGCAAGTCAACTCCATTCTCAAGCCTGATTGTCCGTTCATTGCGGCTATGTTCGGCGGGGATACGTTGTTCGAGCTGCGGACGTCGTTGCAGTTGGCGGATTTAGAGCGGCGCGGGGGTGTCAGTCCGCATGTGTCGCCGTTGGCGGATGTGAGGGATGTTGGGGGACTGTTGAATAAGGCCGGGTTTAAGATGTTGACAGTGGATGTGGAGGATATTGTGGTGGAATATCCGGATACGTTTGCGTTGATGGGCGATTTGCAGGCGATGGGGGAGAATAATGCCATCTTGCATCGGGAGTTGGGGCCCATTTCGAGAGATGTGTTGTTGGCGAATGAGGCTATTTATCGTGAGTTGCATAAGGAGGAGGGAGCTAGGGGAGTGCCGGCGACGTTCCGGTTGATTTATATGATTGGGTGGAAGGAGGGTGAGGGACAGGCGAAGCCGTTGGAGAGAGGAAGTGGACAGTTGAACTTGAAGGATTTGTTGGGTGGTGGTTCCATAGGTAATTGATCATGATCAAGTGGGTTGGTTCATGTATAGTATAGAACATGGTGCTTGTATAATATTGACGAGAAAAGGGAAAATAAAAGGGACATCTAGGATATCATCCTGACGAAGAACATGAGTACACAAAACGCACCTCCATCTTCAACATACAACGAACCAAACCACAACAACAGAGAATCAAAAGATTTAAACAGTCCTCCGATCCGTCATGACCCTAACAATGGACCCCGTCCCCGCAACCTCCACCAACTTCTCATGCCAGTTCAACAACACACTCATCTGCTGTCCGCCACCTCCCTCACCCAGATTGCGGGCCTGAATCTGCGAAAATCCCGTGCTCTGCGGCGACATGCGAGGCGACTGTGCCGCGTTACTAGGAGTCGGCGCCGCCATGCCCTTGTACCTATACAACAAAGGTCATTAGCATGCACATCCACAACCACCAAAACAACCACTTCTCATCATCTAGCAAAGAAGAGGGAGCCATACAAATACTTCATCAAACAATCCGCTCTCTCCGACCCACCCTCACCGGTACACACAGCCTCCAACACGCGACTCATCTCCCCTTGACGAATACCCTGCAAGACCTCCACGACAGCTGCCAGATGCACCTCCTTCGCGCGGTCATCGCCGCCCAGCGGCGCCGTCTCGAGCACGTACCGCAGAGCTCCCTCGTTGTCGCCGCTGCGGAGGAGCTGGCGCACCTGGTTAACGACGGAGGCCGCAGCGCCGGAGGTCGTCGGGGCTGGGAGGGTAGGCGGCAGGAGAGTGTCCATGGGGAAGTTGATCGAGGACTCGGGGTCCAGGACATCGATGTTGATTGTGCGGTAGTTGAGTTGGGCCATTGTTGCTGTTGCTGTGCTGGAAGTTTAGGGGTGGGTGTATAAATTGAGTTGGGTTGTGGAAGGGTTTGTTGTGTTGTCAATTGAGGAAATCTGGATCTGGTAGTGAATATCCCTGGTTAGTGGTTGTGGTTGTTTGGTGCTAGAGCTAGGAGGTAGGCAGCGTCATTACCAGGTGTCCGCGGGGAAAGGAGATGACGGAGGTGGTAAGGCAGAGAGATGCGGTGGGTGGCTAGGAGGGGATGGGTGTGGTGTTCCTAGCGAGATATATGGGTACAGTCTTGCTGTAGTTTGCTGGGATGAATTGACAGCGTGGACTGGAAAGGACAGAAGGAATCAGGAGCTCCTGGGGAAGATGGTGGTGATGGATGAGGGTGAAGTGGCGGCGGAGAGCGAGAGTTGCTGCGGAGTGCGGGCCGGCGGGCCTGAGGCAGCCCCTGTCAGGGCCAGACTATTCAATAAGTACTTACTTGAAACAAAACCTCGAGAAGGATAAAAATCATCACAAATCGGATTGAACATTCTTCATCGTAAAAGGTAATATTTTGGAGATTATATTTATCTGTTGTACATATACTGTTTGTTTCGAATCTAACAAAATGCCACCAACTCCATCCACTATCTGCATACCCACGCATGCTTAATCGCTGAGTACCCATATATACAAAAACTGAAAACCCGCTAATAAAACATCAAATCAAATCATCAGGATGTCGTAATAGTAATTGGAGGCACCGGAATTGATGTAACAGGAATATCCGGCGTCGTCTCTCTCTTTACCTCATGCAACGATGCTGTGCCTGCCTCCTCGTCGGGCAAGGCATCAGTGGTCATCTCTTGCTCCTCCTTCGCACCGCGCTTCACAACACGCTGGGCTGTCCTCTTTACCGGCCGCAGACAAGAGCGAATCATGGCTGCAAGATGGCTCATAGCCCGGCCGATAGGTTTGAAGATAAAGTTCATGCATCGGACGACAAAGTCGAGAGCAACCTGGCATGGCCCATCAGGGACCGTACGGAGAACAACCGCCCATGGAAGGCAGCCCAACGCGCAGATGATGCAGATGGCCCATTGGATCCCATCGAGACGGGTCACGCCAAAAGCTTCTCCACCCACGAAGATGATCATGATTTGACCGCCGACCATGATGCAGTTGATTCCCAGAAACCAGTAGTTGCGAAACATGCCCTCGAAGATGTTGAACTTGTTGTCCAGTCGTCGGTTGTTAAATTCATTGAAGATCTGCATCCACACAAAGGTATTGAACACAATAGTGTTGAGCACCGTCTGCGGGTCTTCGGTGCCAAGTCGCGAACCAATAATGTGGTTTCCACCAAAGTAGAGCATGAAGGTGATAGCCAGCTGATAGAGGGCTTGGCCGAGAATCATTTTCCACATGATCACTGTGAATAGTGACGCGCTCTTGGGAACAGGCTTGCGGTTGAGGATCTTCTCCGTCGGCGCGTCAGTCGCTAAGGCAAGAGCTGCAAATGTGTCCATGATCAGGTTGACCCATAGCAACTGCACCGCATTCAAGACACTCTTGTTCTCGCTACTGTACAAAGACGACACAAAGGTCAGGACCACGGCTGTGATGTTGACCGTGATCTGAAACTGGAGAAACTTCGCCACGGCGTCGTTAACGGCCCGGCCCCATGCGATGGCGGTGACAATCGACTTGAAATTGTCGTCCAGAAGGATGATTGAACTGGCTTCCTTAGCGACTTCTGTTCCGGCAATCCCCATGGAAAAGCCGACATCAGCTGTTCTCAGCGCCGGTCCATCATTAGTACCATCGCCAGTCACGGCGACAGTTTCGCCTAATTTCTTAAGTCGTGCCACCAGAATCCGTTTATCTTCAGGTGACGAGCGAGCTAGCACTTGAAGGCGAGGAATGACTCTATCCATTTCATCATCGGAAAGCTGACGAAACTTGGGGCCTTCCATGACAATTCCATCCTCTGTCTTAATACCACATGATGAAGCTATCGCGGTGGCGGTTACGATGTTGTCACCGGTGACCATCTTCACCTGCACACCTGCTGCATGACACTTTTGGATGGCAGCGGGCACTTCAGGTCGGAGAGGATCTTGAATACCCACGACGCCAATCCAGGTCATTTCACGGAAGACATCCTCGAATTTGGCAGAAGCCGGGTCATCTTCTATGCACCGGGCGTCTTTCGGGGGCCAGCTTGAGAAGTCGCGGTACACTAGTCCGATTGTCCGTAGAGACTGACCCGCGTAAGCTTCAACTGTGCTTAGAATAGCCTGTCGGTTTCCTTCGTGTAAGGCATCAATGGAGATTTGGCCGTGAGAAGAGTCTGTCTCGACCATCTGCGTCGTGCATGAGCCGACCATTATCTCAGCGGCGCCCTTGACAAGGAGACGGTAGCCCATCGTAGGTTCTCGGTAGACAACTCCCATGCACTTACGTGCAGAGTCGAAAGGAATCAATTGGACAACTTCCGCAGAGGCACGCTCTGCAGTAACGTCCAAGCCAAGATGATCTTTGGCCATTTGTAGCAGAGCAACCTCGGTCTTACTGCCGATGAATTCCTTCGACCCATCTTTCTCTTCCTCGAACGCAGTAGAGTTCAAGGCGATGCTATGAAGGATGAGGTCCCGCTGCTTGCCTGAATATTGCTTGAAAAAATTCAGCAGGAGTCGAGACGTCAGAGGAACGTTCCTCGCCAGGAGTATGCTTGAAACTCTTTGAGCCCAAGGTCCCTGCCACAACAGTCATCTTGTTTTGGGTGAGTGTCCCGGTCTTGTCGGAGCAGATTACTGTTGCATTTCCCATTGTCTCGCAGGCACGGAGGACGCGAACAAGGTTGTTCTCCTTGACCATTCGAGTCGTGGCAAATGCCAGTGCCAATGTTACAGCAAGAGGCAGACCCTCTGTGGATATCAGTTAGTAAAAGTTATAAGTCTAGCACAGAGATATTACTGACCAGGGATCGCAACGACAATGACGGTGACAGCAACGATGAGAATGTCGACGAACTCCTTTCCCTTGGCCGCAGGTGTTGCGGAATTATGTGATAAATCCGCCACAAACCTAAAGAACAGAGCGAAGAACAAGATAATCGCAGCACTGGAAGCAGTTAGCCAACAATCACTACTGAAATAGAAGGAGTGCCGTTCTTACCCTGAGCCTAGCCAGCCTATCCAATTAGCAAGTCGACCCAACTTGACCTGGAGGGGTGTGGGATCATTCGATTCTTGCAAAGACAGCAAGATCCGGCCGTAGGTCGAGTACGGTCCGACACTCGTAACTAGATAGGTCCCAACTCCTTCAAGTACCTTGCTGCCCGAGATCATGAACGGGTCGAGTTTCTTCGTGGCCTTCCCGTTCATGATCAGCCGCCCGACTTCATGTCCATCAGTCTTCTTCATCTGGTCAGATTCTCCTGTAGCAGAAGACTCATCACATTTGATGCCGTGACCCGAAACGAGAACTCCATCCGCAGGAATGGAGTCGCCCGGCTCGACATGAAGAATGTCGCCGACTGTAATATCGTGTATCGATATCATAGAGACCTTGCCGGACCGGACAGCCTTGACTTCTCGGTCATTGTTCTGAAGAAGTCAGTAATGGCCTTCACTAGCAATATTGTGCATAAAGGGGAAAGGTAAGCACTTACACGCTTATTCAGCTTAGCAAACTGTCTTTCCTTCTGCCAGTCGTTTGCAGCAGTCACAATGGTGACGATCAGGATAGCCACACAAATCGCCACTCCTTCAATCCAGTCCACTCCACTACCTTCGCTCGTAGTCTCGTAGATACCTAGAGAAAGCGATACGATAGCAGCTATCGTCAACAAGATGATGATTTTGTCGTTGTAGGCTTGCCAAAACAGCTTCAAAAATCCCGTTGATTTCCGAGCCGGCAGTCTGTTCTGGCAGAAAACGCCTATGCGGTCTTGAAATTGCGTACTAGACTCTGTGATCGGGGCGTTAATGTGTGGAGGAGCGGTCTCCTTGAAAGAGGCATAGTCAGGGGAAGTCGCTTCCGAAAAACTGATCGAACCCTCCAGGAGAGTCTCATCGACTGACAGACCCGATGTTAGATCTGTCCGCAGCCCTCGTTCCAACCCCTGCATGCCTCCAAGTGCCTGGAACGCAGCCAAAGATTTAGGATTCTGCATCTTGTTCAATTGTCCTGGAGAGAAGGCGAACTTATTGTCTGGCACTATGAAGTCCTGTTCGTTTCGAGGGTCGGGATTCAAGGCATCGGCCACCGAAACATCATCGTACTCCATCTTGGTCGGGGCATTAGTGGCTTCAGAGTTGGCCCTCGATCTCACGGCTGTATCTGCACTGGAGATGGTAGAGTCTGCACGCGGTCGTAACGTCTCGCCATCAAGCGACTGAGCCGACGTCCGCGTGTCACTCCGTACCCTGAGCCTGTCTGGCGAAAGAGTGGACGCCATGTCTGTGGGTGAAGAAGGTCGAATAGATGATATGCTTGTTCGTGTTGAGCCCGGTGATACAGGATGCTGCTGTTGGTAAGTGTCTGAATATATGGCTCTCCCATTAATCTCTAGTGCCATCGAACATACCTCTCTATCTGAAACCCCAAAAGGGTTCAAGAAGTCAGACTGAGGATGCTCGTCTGGGGTCTGCATTGATGCGACCGGAACGAGATCTGATTTGGCAAAGACAAAGAAACGGGCATAAATCCGGGTAAATGCAGTATCAACTTCAAAAAGTGTTGCTCCTGCTACTGTTTGGTTCTGTGCCCGAGAGACGCCTGTTATTAGTAGATCTGGTCTGGGGGCTGTGCTTCCGAAAAGGGTAGCCTAAAATTTAATAGTCTGATAGTCTCATATCGAAATTCTTCGTATCAATACTTATGCCTGGTTCGTATGCCCATGGCACTGAGAAGAGAAAATATAATGCCAAGGGTCCTTCCAACCAGCACGGGATGGAAAAGGAAGCGGTTTCAAGGTCCGAGGAAGAGATTAGCAAGCGTTCGGCTTTTGCCATACGCCAAAACAACCATGAAGTGTGTGTGAGTTGAGTTGACCCATATGCTTGGTAGCATTACATCGCGCTGCACAGCCTCCTTCAGTCCTCCTATCATCGGCGGCGTAGGCCAAGGGGTGGAGAGAAGTATGACCCATGGTGCAACTAACGAGCGGGGGTATATACCCAAAGCGCTTTATCTTAAAGTTGAAGACGCCATGACACCTCCACTCTACCAAAGCAAGTTATATTGCTCAGTCTAGACGCCGACGGAGCTCCTGTCCATCTCCAGTGTAATCTTATCTCTCCTATGAGAAAGCAAGAAGTAACCAGGAGGGAGGGTCTACCTCCGATCACAAGCCTGCAATCACATTTCATCAACTGTATCGAGGCGCGCGCAATCCATGGACAAATGACGCATGCTGAACTCTGAGTGGAGCGTTGCAATCAGCGCATACTCAAACCTTCCAGATGGGAAATGCCGAGAGAAAGTGGCCCTTCGAAGTTGCCGCCGGGTGAGGTATAGTTCCAGCAAATGAGTTTCTAGCGGGCGGCTGCGCCTCGTTCGTTTAGTTCGGAAGTCAGACGATTAGTCGGTCAATGAGGAGTCGCGACATGCCGTTGCCGCCAGTGATTTTAGTTGCGTTCCAGATTGCCTAGTGCGCATTGGAGATCCGGCCTTTCATTCGCCTCGAGCATTCATCACGTTGACTCTATCCTGAAGAATGTTTGTTTGTCAAGATCTCTTATTGCACGGCCACACCTCCTGCGCCACACATCCCACAAATTGTTCCTATTCGCCTCTTCAGTTGGTTTCGCCCCCTCTGTGGCTGAGGAAATCACCGAGAGTCTGGAAAATTAGATTATCTGATGTGGCGTCATGACTTCAACTGGCTGAGGCTTTGTGCATGACGAGGCTTTTTGAGTGCGGCGATTAATTCATGCTGGTGCTCCGACCTGTCTCGGATGCGGAGATTGGATGCTCTGATCAGGCACTGCGGGTGTGGCTGGTGAGTGTCTAGCCTTTGCTGAGTGGACTTCAGGATGGCAAATCTTGCATCTTGCCAGCTGAGGTGGACGATTGAGTGAGGCTTAGAAGCTTGATCTGTCGGTTGATGGGGAAATGACACCCACGGATGCAACAAAGCAGTAATTTGGTGGGATGAGATGAGATGAAGGTGGGTAAGTTGTGTTAGCAGGCAGCACAGTTGTTCAACATGAACAAACTGCCCGAATCAGCCTCGCCAATTATACATACGATGTGTAATTTCAGTGTTATTGAGGTAGTACCGAGTCTATTTGCTGCATATGCGCTCATAACTGCGTACGTAAGTTCTATACCGTATGGTAATATAACATATAGTATTTATGTCTCTAGAAGCACATCTTCATCATCATGAGCCATCCTCAGAAGTATACTCCGCAGGCAGATGCAGTACTACAGCCTCCACAGACAGCCTCGGATCCTAATCTCGTGTTTACTCATTGCCTTGGCTTATTCGTCCACGTTAGCAAGCTCAGCATACCGATTCCCTAACCCGCAAAAGCACTGCTTGGATCGTTCAGACCCCGTATCCTCTGATCCTTTTCTACCCAACACATCCTCCATCGCCCAGGCAATACGCTCCGCTCCTAGCCTCGCTCCCTCAAGATTGGCAGCACCGGGTCCCAGACGAAGGGATCCCAACCGGCCTGTCAAGAAAAGTGGCACGTTCGATTGCCACATCAAGTCATCCGTGATGCAAGGCAATCCCTGCTTGGTTTCAATTGGATATTCACGGTTCATGCGTTGGAGCAATGGGAGCTCATTCACATCGGCCTGCATGCCTGTTGCAAAGTATATATAATCGATGCGAGGAAGTTCAGGGATCGGAGGATCTGTCGTAAGACGCCATGTGCGCGAGGAGGCGCAGTACTCCTTGCCGCAGATGACGGTGCGTGGGTGTATAGAAAGCCGATGGGCTGCCACATGTTGCTTCAGAATCTTCTGATACCGTGGCGTGATACTGCCGCCATTACGCGCCGCTTTGATCATCTCAAGGCGTTCCTCGTCCGTGTCTGCGGACCAGAATGCTGCCTTTTCGAAGTTCTTGAACTTGCCCATCCAGTTCAATGCGAGGTCGAAGTGCTTGACTAGAAGCCATCTGGTCAGCATCCCCCACCTCTGAATGGAACATGCAGTGAGGCTGTGCAACATGCCCACTTACCTTTAAAATCCGACCTCAAAAGAAACCATACTTTGGTCACCCCTCGCCGAATGGCCATGTCCACCACTTGCGCTGACGACAGTCCGCCCCCAACAACCACCACGTTCGTCTCCTGACGTTGCTTAATCTTGGCCTTCACATTGATACTTGGAAACATGCGAATCTCTGTGCTATGACAAGCACCTTGCTCCTCCTCACCGGACAGCTTGAACGGAAGTATCTTCGTCCTCCCCGGCCCAATAGCCAACACCACCACACGACTATAAAACCGATTGCCCTCAGCCGTAGTAACAGTAAAGATCTTGTCAGACGGCGACAATTCTGAATGATAGTCGTATGATATATCATTTACTTCGCACTGCCTGATCATCCCCGGCGCGTCCAGCCCGTACCGTGATACAATGCTCCCACAGTAATCTCCAAACAAATCCGTCGACGGCGAGAAGTAATCTTTACGATCTCTTTCATCAATCTCCACTTCCCCAACGGCCCTGATTACCCACATAGTTAGCAAACAGAATGACAGTCACTGTATGTAACGAAGGATTCACTCACTGCGCCCTCGACCTCATCTTCTTCTTCTTATGCTTACTCAACTCCTTCCCCACGCACCCCGAAATCTCCCATAAATCCCTCTCCCTCCTAACCTCCCTCGTATACGCCAACATCCCATCCCGATCCCTGGGATCCACATGAAAGAACATCGGGCTCCTCAGCTGCTCAATCTCTAATGTCTTGAACGCCCTGTTCCATCTCTCCATCCACTTGTCCCCTGAACTATCCAGTACGAGCGTAGATATGCCCCCATTCTCATCCCCACCCTTACTCCCCTCTCCCATATACATACCCTCATCAGACGTAACAGACGAAGACAACGACGGCGGAGCAGAGCCAGAACCAGAAGAAGACGAAGACCCCCTCCGTGAATAATGGCTATCATCATATCTCTGCCACTTCTCCGCCTTGACGCCCTTCAGTTTCCCGCGGTGCGCCTGCACCAGCGCCATTCGACCACTGTGCTTGTTGATCCAGTGGTAGCGTTGGTGTTCGTCGTCGGTGAACATGGCGGAGGGAGTTTCTTCGCGGAGGCGTGCGGCGACTGCTAGGCCGCAGGGGCCGGCGCCGATGATGAGGACATCGAGGATGTCGGGGAAGGATGTCGATGATTGTGTGGTTTTGCCTACCATGTCTGGTTGGATTGGTATGTGGTATATGTATGGTGTGGAGTTGGTGGTAGTAGAGGCTCCGCGGGAAGTATAATATAGTATAGTAAATTTATTGATTGATTGTTCAAATCTGTGCAAGTAGCAGGGTTTATATTCGATAGATAGATAGGTGATATATGATGGTGGTACTCATCACTCCCCCGGGTACTTGGATCCCCAAGGTCCTTGTCGCCCAAAATGGAAAGTCGGGATCATCATTATTGATAATGTGTTTGAGACTGGGGAAGGGGGTTGAGGACCTTGGAGGCGATTGCAGAGCATGATCTGCCAGAGTTTATATCATTGTGAGTGATTTTTGACGCTATTGATAAATTGCTCTACTAGCTACAGTATACTATGGAATAATGCTTGGTTTTAACACTTGGAAAGACATTACATTACTATAAAACAAACCCTATACAACAACAAACGTAATTAGCAGCAATGAGAAACCTGTCTCCGCTAAGATTATCGTATATTATTTGTGCCACTTTTTGGTTCTGGGTTCCGTCGTCATTGCACGGGAACGAGGAGCTCCTCCCCCTTCTCGACGATGCCACGCATCCTGAGGCCACACCCAGCCTCGCACGCGCTTCGCATCACGGCGTTCTCCAATCTGGGGCTCTGGAATCCATTTGTCTTTCTTTTCTGGTAGGATGCGCTGCCGGGTCAGAGCACCTGGGCCTCCCACATTGAGATGGGCAGACGGTTGTGACGGCAAGGGAACCGATTTTGAAAGCATCAGCAAAAAGTACAAAGCTAGACTGGCGGTCATTGGCACGTCCAGCTCGTCGGAATCCGAAATTGGATAACTATCCAGTACGGGAGACTGACTCGCCAAGGAACTGTCGCTGGATGGAGTGGGCGAATGCGGATAGTCATAAGTACTGGAATATGGCTCTGAGGCGTGCCCACGCTGGTTGATCGCGAGCTTTGTCGGAATTGGCGCAGACAGCTCCAGGAAGCCAAAGTAAGGCACATCGTCGCCCTCGTCACAGCCTGCCCGCACACACACGAGCTCGATCTCGGTAAGAATGAAGCCGTAGCGGCAGGAATGTTCGCGCATGCATCGTTGCAGGTGTGCCAGGCCGTTCAGATACTCCACCCTGCGATGAGGCGCTTCGTTGCGCATTCCTGTGTTCCAACGGTCGAAGGTCTTGACAATACCAACGAGCCGTCCTCTGGTAAGGCCTGAGCTTGTTCGTTCGGTGTCTGACGCATAGTTGGCAAGAAAATGTGGCCCGCCATAGTTCTTGTTAGGTGACCCTCGCGGGATAGGAACAGCGTAAAGGGACAAGTGGTCCGGGCCTTGCGAGACTGCCAAGGCAGCATTGATACGAGGCGCATAGATGTCTCGGATGACGTTGACTAGAGCTGGCTCGCAATCTGGGGACAAATAAGAGCTCGGAAGGATATTGAGGGGCGTGAGATGTGAAGGGATTGCGGTTTTGAGAAGCTTCGGAAGACCACTGATAGAGTTGAACGTGGCTAGGGAGAACGAAGTCCAGCTGCGCAGGTTCCGAATGTCCCACCAAAAGTAATCGTGCAAGCCTCGTGTCGGAATTACGTTCACGTTGCGCACGAGGTTGATTGCTTGTGTCGGGGTGGTAAGATACGAGAGCAAAGTGGTTGACTGAGAGTTCGTCCTCTCGGTCTGGTGAACGAGGCCGATAGGAGAGCATTGTGCACTCGACGCTCGCACGTAACCGTATGGAGAGCCAGGAAGCATAAGTGGCACCTGCACCGGAGGCCACACTTTGGGATTGTATGGCTCGGCTGGCGAGTGTGGCGCATAAGGCGGATACACTATGATGTTGGGTGTGGCGGGTGTAGCTGGTGTGGTAGGGGAACTCTGAGGTTGAGAGGCGTATCTGATGACCTGTCGATATGCTGGATATCCGCATCGACTTGTTCTTGGATCCTCAACGTTGGAGGCAGATACTGATCGAGAGTGTGCGCTCGTCGCCTTGCGCTTCTGCGCCGGCGTTACACTCACGGGAGATGATAATGACGAGCCATTGCGAGTGGTATACTTCGGCGACGCCACCGCCGGGGATGCAATAGGAATGCATCCCGAGGCCTCAACAGCAACCCGATGGCTTGACCGGCGGTTGGGGTGAAGCGATAAAGAGCCAGGGGGATTGCGTGTGTTTGACAGCACTCGCCGTTGACGATGGGGTCCACTGGTAGGTGGAGGCTCAATCACAACGTCTTGAGGTCTGATCTTCGGAAGAAGAGTAGGCCCATGGTGATGCTGCGGGGGCGAATCAACTACAGGGCTGGTAGCCGACGTGATGACGGACCAGGGCGACGAGTTGTTGGAGTAAATAGAAGAATCAGAAGCGTTGCGGCTATGCCCCGTTCCGGTATATTCTTGCAAATGCAATGCAGGGGGGGTAGAGAGCCGGTAATAAGAGTACTCCACAGACATCTTGTTATATTAAGTCACCGTAGGTCTGAGACGATATATCAAAACAAGGTTGCCGACTGATAGCTTGGGGAAAGTCCAGCTTCCCAAAACGCATCAAACAGGGAATGCTCGAGTAAGAAGCTAAAGTCGAAAGAATAGAGAAGAAAGAGGTGCACTAGGCGAAAGAAGATACAATGTTGTCGAGTTCGATTTGCCTTGGTGAACGACTTCACAGAACTGTGGCATATCCAGACTGGAGAACGGTTGGATATTAAATGTTCTTCAACCTGGGGCCTATAAGTCCCTTGATCCAAAAAAAGATACAGAATCAATCGAACTGTCTGCAGGGACATGAAACAGACATGGCTCCATTGCGACAGCCAGTCGCTAACCATACTAGGTATCCATGATAGAGATGGTAGGGCCATCGACGCAGGAATGTCGATAGCTGCTTGGATGTTGTGCAGAGCAAACGATCCTAGGGCAAGCGAAAGCGTTTCATCGACAGTCGCGCGTCAAAAAGTTTCTATATTTGACATCTTCGTCGCTTCTTCAGATCTGAACCAGGCTGTCGGTAGTCTATTCCGACGATGGTTCGTCCGGAATCTGCACAGGATCTATATTGGGCAACATTGGGTGTTTCGTCTATTCTGGGTAATTGTAGCTAGATCGATGGGTTCCCGCAAAGGCGTCACGCCTGTAGCATCTATTAGTCGGCGGCAAGCAGATGTTTGACGTAAAAAATAAAACGCAAGTGACTGGTACAATTCCACGGCGTGTAGTGCTTGAGGGGGTGCCGTTGTAGAGTTAGCCGCCGAGGTTTGATAGCAGGGCCTGGGGGAGCCGCAGCCCACTCAACGGGCATTGGCTATTGCAGTCGAAGCTCGTAGATTGAAATCGAATACTAATCCACTGATGCGATACTCTCAATACCAAGAGGTTCTAAGAATATCCCCGCCTGGGTGTGCCGATAAATCAGAGGTCTTGAAGGTCGTCACAGTAGGCGCCGGCTATGACCCTGGACGGCGGCGTCAGGACGCCTCAGTGGCTCTTCCCTGTCGACAGCCTGCAGTGTGCTTGAACTCTCTCCAACTGGACCAATCACAGTCATCTTAGATGAACTTGAGTGCTTATTGTGTGACGAGGTTTGGCTGTAGATGGGTCAGACAGAGACTGACAGATACTCTAAACGGAGTCGGCGTGAAGTAAAACAATAGAGCGTCCTTGTAGCTCAAACTGCTGCTATTCTTGGTCATGCCTGGTTTCACGCCCACCGATAAGTCCCTGAACCTAGCAGGATGTCTACCTATCCATTTTCCTGTCACTTAGGCGCTTGGGTCAACCAGTGCAACTTGCAACGGGGTGAAGGTGCAGGAAGAACACGCCACTCTTTGCACCCATGTCACATGACAAGGTATGCTACAGTAAGCAACCAACAATCCGGTCGAGAAAACAGAGAAAGACTACAGACAGTTATTCAAGTTATACATCTTGATTAGCCATATTATAATCATTGTCCTTTCATGACTCTTGATGAGTCTGGAATTATTGGTCATCGTCTTATATAATTGCATTCCAGCTCCTGTCTGGACAAGAGAAGGTCTCCTCCCTAGGAGGATACATGAACAACGTATGAAACATTAAGAACCAATGTAAAGGAGAAAAGCAGACCCGGAAATTGGTAGGAGCATTCCGCTGCCCCCAAGCTCTATTAAGGCGAACCACAAATAAACAATGCGCATGCTGAAGGGAATCTAGTTAAACCGTCTAAGCAACCGGTCATGTCCAAAGAAGCAAGGTCGAAAGCAAGTCCATCATATGCTCATAATTCATGCCTTGACGTCGTACTTGCGGCGGAACATATCGTCCACCTCAGTCAAGTAGTAAGTACCAGGGTAGAGAGTCTCGGTGTTGCCGGAAGGCTTGAAGTTCTTCTTGAGGTGAGCATGCTCACGGAGGGCACACATCTAAGTGGACGTTAGCAACTAGAGTTCAAGGTGTGGGTCAAAGATAGTCGTTGAAGTACTTACGTCAACGTAGGACTGAGGAGGGAGAACGTTGCGGTTGCTAAGACGGTTCTTGAGATCGAGCTTCTCCACCAGGTTGGACACGTCTCCGACAATCTTTACGCTAAGCAGGGAGCTGGCAAGACCACTGCCGTAGGAGAAGAGACCGATGCGCTTGGACTCGCTAGCATCGAAGGGGACGTGAGAGATCAAGCTAGCCAGACCAGCCCAAACGGTGGCAGTGTACATGTTACCGCAAAGAGTGGCAACCTCGAGAGCGGGCTTAACACGCTCAGCGAAGCGCTTCTTGGTCAGGCCCATGAAGGTCTTCTCCACGTTCTTGTCAGTGAGAGAGGTGGCGTAGTCCAAATCACGGAGCTCAGGAGCCACTTCGGCGAAAGCAGGGTGAGTGGGGTTTGTGAGGTAGTCGTTGTACAGCATACGAGCGAAGGATTTCTGCACCAGCTTGCAGGTAGGAGCATGGTAGCAGAGGTAGTCGAAGCGGTCCAAGGCAGTCTTGGAGTCGTCCTGGGCGGTGCCGTTGGTACCGTTCTGAACCTTCTCCTTCAAGGTCTTCTCACGAGCATTGTAGGCCTTGTAGCAAGCGTCGACAGCCTCAGTGTAGCATCTGAGGGAGAAGTGACCATCCACGACAGGGTACTCGCTGGTCAGGTCGGGCTTGAAGAAGTCGTAGGCGTGGGTGACGTAGGAGGCACGAAGACCGGGCTCGAACACAATAGGGGCGTCAGGACCGATCAGCATGGCGACACAGCCAGCACCACCGGTAGGGCGAGCAGCACCCTCGGCGTACAGGGCAATGTCACCGCAGACAACAACGGCATCTCTGCCATCCCAGGCAGAGGACTCGAGCCAGTTGATGCTGTTGAAAACAGCGTTGGTGCCACCGTAGCAAGCATTGACGTTGTCAACACCCTCAACGTTGGTGTTTCCGTGGGGAGCCAGAAGCTGCATCAGGACGGACTTGACGGACTTGGACTTGTCCAGCAAGGTCTCGGTACCGACCTCCAGGCGGCCAATGGAGTTGGGGTCGATGTTGTACTTGCGGAGAAGGGAGGAGAAGGTGGTCAAAGCAATGGAGTAGATGTCTGCCGGTAAGTGCATGTTAGCATTGCCACGCAATCATGACATGCGGACGATGTCTGTCATTTCCTCAAAAGCATACCTTCACGGTCATCACAGAAGCTCATCTTGGTCTGACCAAGACCAATGGTGTATTTGCCTTCGCTCACGCCATCGAATTTCTCAAGCTCGCTCTGGTCGACACACTAGAAAGCACGGGGACATATTAGAACACAGCTCAAAATAGGAAGCAGCAGATAGTCATGGGGTGGCAAGAGGCACGAACCTGACGAGGGAAGTAGACCTCAATGGCCTTGATACCAATGTTCTGAGGACGGGCAGCCATGGTGAATGTGTAAAAGGAGGAGGGGTAAGTATTAAGCGGAAAGTGGGACAGTAGAGTTTAAGACACAAAACACTCAAGAAAGAGAGCTATTGCGGAGAGTATGATGTATGGGGGGGAAGAAGGAGAATAAAAGAAAATGATTAAAAGTAAGAGGAGAAAAATTTGTTGGAGGAGAGAGAAAGAAAAAAGGAGCTTGAGAGAAGGTGAAAGAGGAGAGTATAAGTAGTGAAGCTCACGATATACTAGAGGATCCCCCCCGAGACCAGCGGGCGAACGGTTTCCCAGGTGGTCACTGACCATCGGCCGGAGGCAAAAGAAAAAAAGAAAAAAAAAAAAGCAACGAACTGGGTCGGCCCCCGTTCCTATGCAGCCAGACAATACTTACGGATCAGCTACTTTTTTAGTGTGCTTCTAGTGCGTGGCCTGGTGGGCCTGTCTGGCTCAGTCTGCAAGCTGTGGTTGGTCGGCGCCCTGGCCTGCCCTGGGGTGCCTGAGGTTGTCCCGCCGGTGTTCTCGCAGTCACGCCGCCTCAGATCTATAGTATAGATGGTCTTTGGGTGATCGAAGTCACGGCGCATCATATCAACAAACTTCTTTCGACGATACACCATTTCTCCCCCATGACGGGGAGAAGAAAAGGGGTCGAAATTGTGGATGGGAAGTTTCACCGGACAGGACTCCCAACTCAGAACGATCCACCTCCTAATTTCCACAATTGTTGAGAGGGAGAAAATCTGATGGTGTCCAGGATCTGGTATACGCCGTACTCTTCATCCTATGTCCCGAAAACGGGGGAGCAGGATACGGCTGCCTCCAACCACAGCTCTCACACCCAACGCATCATTGCACAACCTAGCTCCAAGTGGTCTTACCGACAGCTCATCTTGCTCCGGGTGGATGATTCTTTTTTGCCTTTTCCTTTTCACCGACTCTTGCCGCCATGTTCTGTGATATGGCATTCACCCTAACTATACACCCGCCCTCGATCAACATCGGCCCATGTTACTCTCCCACACTGACCGATATGAACGTGAGGATTCAATCTCCACACCACCGTACTTTTTGGAGCTCACTGCTGCAATAATATTACCCTACTTACACAATCCAGCTTAACTGCAGACACATGATGTAAACCCGCAATGTACCCCTCTGTCCCCGGGATGCCAAGCACTTTAACACGGCAATGGGATGCGTTCCCTGGTATCCTTTGTCTCTCCCCTGCGTCCCGGCCATTGATTGCCCATGACGACAAACCTGCTTGCGAGGAAAACTCCGTCTGGACTCGGAGTATCTTTTTACGGGTTATTGTTTCGGATCAGATGGCATATCTAATAGACCACACAGGATAGATAGGCTTGTCTGATGGTCTTGCCCGATCCGTAGGCTTTGAGTGTCGCATGCCCCTCGTCTTCTCCCTCTTTCCACACTTTTCCCTTCCACCATGGCTCAGTTACTCACTCGAATGGACGAAGGATCGTCGTAATGGCCAGGCAAGAGTTATCAGCTGACGCCTATGGTGTGCTTGCAGTGACATCTACGTTCTAAAGCGTAAGTAGGTCAGCTAAAACTCCCGTTCTTCTACACCTGCATACGCCAGATACCAAACAAACGGGATAACGCAAGCAAGCAGTCAAGAAGAAACCTTTCTGGAATAGATGCAATCCCAACCAAATCTAGTTCCGACCACATTCACCCGGTATAGCCTGACCGTGGAGTGAAACAGTGAAACAAGTTGAGGGATTAATCAATCTTATCTTGTGGAGCATTTCGGTGCCATTGCTGTAAACGAGCCTCCATCTTGCCGAGCTCTCAGGCACAAGTAGGGTCCTAGTGGGTTCAGATGCGGAAAGCGTCGAGAACAAACCCGCCATTGAAGAATATACCCGATCTTTGGCCGTGCCCCTCTGGCGGAAAATGGGCCGAGGGGGCGCTCATTAGTCGTTGGCGAAAATCCCACATTGTTCATGCAGATTTCACTAAACGTAGTCAAGTACAAAGTAGACTACCTGGTGGGTGCGGATGGTAGGGGAGATCCACCATCATTCAATTGGATCAGGTCTTTTTTTCCTTTCGGGATTCAGAAGTAGCGCCGAGTGACATTCTTGGGGCTGCAAATTGTGTGGTCAATATCGGATCTCCATCGTCCAAGTGGGATGTGCGAGGCAAAAAAAAAAAATTAGATCCGTGTGAGGCGTTACCAACGTCTGAATTGCGTGTGCTGCAGATGCTGTGAACCGGGGTGGGAGCAAGGGACCAGGTCAAGCAATGATGTCGGCTGTTCGATTAAGTAGAGGAGTAGTAAGTCGGCATCTGCATGATTAAGAGCCTTGCAGCATTTATTTTGACGATTGGAATTGCCCAACCATACTAAAGTAGTGGAGAAGTAGTGAATAATATGTGACGCAGGATGTTCAAGTTAGATCCTGGTGGTTTACTAACGAGCTCACTGCCAAACTACTAGGTGTGCGTAGTAGTAGTCAGGTATCGGTATCACTACTATATACTAGTAGTGTTGGTAAACCAGCATGATGATGCTAGGAAATAAAAACATATATGATAAGCCATTACTATCCGCTTGCTCTTTGATAGTGCTGCTCATGACCCTTTTCTCGTCTTCATACATACTACTACTAGTAGTTACTGTTATGACAGTTCATGTTACTACTGATACTACTAGTAGTAGAGTATGACGAGTAGTACTACTAATGATAACATATATTACTACTTCCTAAGTCAACGAGACTGACGGCGTTGTCTCGGTACTTACTAACGGTACTAGTATGTATGGCCAGCGTTACGGTATGTCTCCAGTTCCTACTGCTAGTTAGTCAAGTTCCTTTCTCTATTTCTATTCTATTCAATCCATACCTCTGAATTGCTCTCATCATGGCCAGTTGCAACCAACTCACATGGACACAATGGACGCAGGCAATGGATGATTAATCCACACACATCGATCGGTCGGGAGAAATCTGTTCCAGAACCCTTCTGCCTGCGGATGCCGAGCCGTGGCCCCGACCAACTGCGCCACGCGTAGCCTCAATGTTCCCCCCCAAGTCAGTTCGAAGTGACGGGCGGTCCGGGGAACTGAAGTGAGTTCTCACTGCTACTACTCGAGTTCTGACACTGCGATTCGACTACTGACCATCCTCGTCCCTTCTCCATCTTCAGGAACACCTCCCCCTTTTTCTTCTCCAACCCCTCTTGAGATATTCTACACTCTCTTTATAACACGCTATCCCGCCTCGTCGTTCGTTCCCGCCCCTCCGATCGGGAGCATGGCTGCATTGGCTGTCACTCCTTTCCCATCCAGATCATGATCCCGCTTAGCCCGGTATCTGTGATACTACCCAACTCGCACGGCTCTCGGGAGCCCCGTATCACCCGCCATGGGCAACGACAATAAATTCGAATATGAAGCCCTTCCAATCCCATCCTACGAAGAGGCCATCGGCGTTCGTCCAGGCTCGTCCCGATCGCACCTCGATTCTTCCGAAGAAGTGAGCGACAACACCGAACGACAAGGCTTGCTCCAACGCGGTCCCCAGACGGGTGCCCGCGGAGAGACTAGACCTCATGGATATCACCCTCCCACCGTCGAGTCCGCTCGGAATAGCCTCGATGACCTCGAGTCCGGGTCCGGATCGGATAGGGGCTCGCTCGAGGAGTTACAGCGGGAACTGGCTCAGATGGACGTGGAGGACGCTGGTCAGCAAACGTCATCTCAACGCTCTCGCCTGCGGTCTCGGTTTTCGAAGCGATTCAACGATTTGACCCGTACATTATCCTCGTTCAATCTACCGTTTCGCCGTTATTTGCCAAGATTGCCAGATTTCAGGTTTACCATCCACCTAGACGAAGCTCGGTCGGGCTTAAAACACAATGGATGCATGATCTTGTTACGTGTCTTTGGATTACTTCTGGTGGTCACCATCGTGTATATCTTCTTCATTTCGGACCTTTTCAGCATGAATAACCGTTTTATCATGGGCCAATCTTACAGCGCCGCATCCGTCGAGAACTTCGTTCAGGGTCATATCAATGAGACCAGCATTGCAGAAAACCTGAAGAAGCTGACCGCATACCCTCATATTGCCGGTACGGAAGGCAGTTTTGTTCTGGCGGAATGGGTGGCATCGGAGTTCAACAAGGCGAACTTCGACGAGGTCGAGATGGAAGAATTCCAGGTCTACTTAAATTACCCCCAGCAAGACGGTCGGAGGGTAGCGATCATCGATCCTCCCGACCTTACCTGGGTGGCTACTTTGGAGGAGGATAACGAGCAGACCTTGGTATTCCATGGCCACTCGAAGTCGGGGAACGTCACTGGTCACCTCGTCTATGCAAACTACGGCTCCCGAGAAGATTTCCAATACCTCAAAGATCAAGGAGTTGCCTTGGACGGCTCCATAGCGCTGGTCCGTTATGGTGGGTCAGAGAGCGATCGGGCCTTGAAGGTCAAAGCCGCAGAATTGGCTGGTGCAGCTGGTTGTATAATATATTCCGATCCCGCAGAGGATGGCTTTGTTCGGGGCCCCGCCTTTCCAGACGGACGCTATATGCCAGCAGACGGGACACAAAGAGGCGCTGTCAGTTTGATGTCATGGGTGGTCGGTGATGTACTCTCGCCAGGTTTTGCATCGACACCGGATGAGAAAGTGAGACTCAAGCCAGAGGATAGCCGGGGACTGACGGCTATTCCTAGCATCCCTCTCGCCTGGCGCGATGCCCAAAGGCTCTTGCAGGTGCTCAAGGGCCACGGTTCGAAGGTGCCAGCCAAGTGGGTTGGTGGTGTTCCGGATGTGAACCAGTGGTGGACCGGGGATGCATCGTCGCCCACCGTCAACCTCATGAACATCCAAGATGAGGTAGAAAGACAGCCCATATACAACGTGGTTGGAAGGATCATCGGGTTGGAGCAGCCGGAGAAAAAGATTATTGTCGGTAACCACCGAGACTCGTGGTGCTTAGGAAGTGCGGATCCAGGTAGTGGCACGGCTGTGTTTCTTGAGCTGGCTCGAGTTTTCGGGGAACTGCTGACATTTGGCTGGCGCCCACTACGCACCATCGAGTTTATTAGCTGGGACGCTGAAGAGTACAACCTCGTTGGCTCGACGGAACACGTGGAAAAGGAATTGCAAGCACTTCGTGAAAACGCATATGCCTACATCAACGTCGATGTTGGTGTAAGCGGCAAAGAATTTGACGCCGCAGGAAGTCCGCTTTTCGAGAGCGTCATAATGCAGATACTCGGTCGCATATCGGATCCTGACAGCAATGAGACGCTCAAAGATATTTGGGAGAAGAAGAAGAAGAGACTCGGACCTCTCGGTGCCGGAAGCGACTACGTCGCTTTTCAAGACATCGCCGGAACTTCCAGTGTCGATTTTGGATTCATCGGCGAACCTTTCCCCTACCACAGTTGCTATGAGAACTGGGACTGGATGACCAAATTTGGTGACCCCGGATTTCAATACCACAAGATCCTAGGCCAGTTCTGGGGTCTGTTACTTCTCCAGCTTGCAGACAGCCCCATCCTGCCTTTCGATTTGGAGGCATATGCGGCGCACGTTGGTGGCTACATTTCTGGCCTGGAAAATTATGCCAAGTCAAGGAATGTCCCAATTGCCGATAACACACAGAACGCTGCTCGGGATACCTCTGTGACCTTCAAGCCCTTGTATGAAGCCGCGGCGAAGTTCAAGGACGATGCGTCTCATTTTCAGGAGTGGGCTAGGGTCTGGCACGATGCTGTTTGGGGAGCTGGTGGGTTTGAGAACAACGTTGTTGCTGTTCAGCGGCTGGCACATAATACGCGGATGGCTCATTTCGAAACCCATCTTCTCGACGACAGGCCAGATGGCGGCGTAAGTGATTCAACTCTTTCCCATATGGAACAAAGACTAACCACACCTGAATAGGTCCCGAATCGCACGCAATTCAAGCATGTCATCTTCGGCCCTGAACTTTGGTCCGGCTATGACCCTACTCTCTTCCCTGCTATTCGCGACAGCATCGATTCTGGCAATTGGACGCTAACCCAGGAGTGGATTGATCGGGTCTCCAATATCATCAGTGACGCGAGCGACCACCTCGTCCATAAGAACTGATCATACTGCTGCCACACGGAATAAATCCCTCCCCACTTTCTCCTATACGACCTTTGGCCTCTATCTACCTCCTAGGCCTCCTACCGCCAAATGACGACCCTAATCTGTCATAAACGCAACGCCCGCTATAGACGCCATCTCCCGACTCTGCACAGTATACCTCCACATCTCTCGCCTCCTGTGTATCTTCTTTTCGCGCAAAAGATTCCCTT